GGCGGTGCCTTCTTCTCCTTTCGACTTCCCTTTTTGGGGGTCATCTGCTTGGCTTCCATGGGAATCATTACCCTCGTTTGAATCACTGGCGGCCATCTTGGCGGTGCCTTCTTCTCCTGTCGACTTATCTTTTTGGGGGTCACCTGCTTGGCCTCCATGGGAATCATTATCCTCATCTGAATCACTGGTGGCTGTCTTGGCTGTGCCATCTTCTCCTTTCGACTTCTCTTTTTGGGGGTCATCTGCTTGGCTTCCATGGAAATCATTACCCTCATTTGAATCACTGGTGGCTGCCTTGGCGGTGCCTTCTTTTCCTTTCGACTTCCCTTCTTGGGGATCATATGCTTGGCTTCCATGGAGATCATTACCCTCATTTGAATCACTGGTGGCTGTCTTGGCGGTGCCTTCTTCTCCTTTCGACTTCCCTTTTTGGGGGTCATCTGCGTGGCTTCCATGAGAATCATTATCCTCACATGAATCACTAGTGGCTGTCTTGGCGGTGCCTTCTTCTCCTGTCGACTTTCCTTTGGGGGGGTCATCTGCTTGGCTTCCATGGGAATCATTCTCCTCATCTGAATCACTGGTGGCTGTCTTGGCGGTGCCTTCTTCTCCTTTCAACTTCCCTTTTTGGGGGTCATCTGCTTGTCTTCTATGGGGATCATTGCCCTCCTTTGAATCACTGGTAGCTGTCTTAGCCGTGCCTTCTTCTCCTGTCGACTTTCCTTTGGAGGGGTCATCTGCGTGGTTTCCATGGGAATCATTATCCTCACATGAATCACTGGTGGCTGTCTTGGCTGTGCCTTCTTCTCCTGTCGACTTCCCTTTTTGGGGGTCATCTGCTTGGCTTCCATGGGAATCATTATCTTCATTTGAATCACTGGTGGCTGTCTTGGTGGTGCCTTCTTTTCCTGTCAACTTCCTTCTTTTGGGCTCATCTGCTTGGCTTCCATGGGAATCATTACCCTCCTTTGAATCACTGGTGGCTGTCTCAGCGGTGCCTTCTGCTCTTGTTGACGTCCTTTTTTGGGGGTCGTCTGCTTGGCCTCCATAGGAATCATTATCCCCATTTGAATCACTGCTGGCCGTCTCGTGGGTGCCTTCTGCTCCTTTCGACTTCCCGCTTTTGGGGTCATCTGGCGTCATGTTTCCATTTCCTTGAGTGGTTTTGCTAACAACGGAAGTAGCTTTGACGTCTTTACTCGGTTTCTTTTTTTTCTTTTTGTTCTTTTTTCCTGATTCATCGTCAGTTTTAGGCCTCTTTTTCCCCAAGCAGGGGAATGATTCGACATAAGTTACTCGTGGGTGTCCCTCGGGAGATATCTTCATCTGTAAACATTCCATTTCTATTTCCATCTCGTCATGCTCTGCACCTTCTTCTCTCTTCTCCGACAGTTTCCCATTCAATGGATTTTCTTTTTGCAGTATCTCGAATGTTCCTTGTAATACCGGAAGTTCTTTCTCTTTACCATTGACACTCTCAAGCTCAAACAGGAAGCAGCCAATATTCACATTGTAGGGATGTTTTCGTGATTTCTCTATGTTGGCGATGAAAATCACGAACCTTTTCAAGTTGTAGGTGGGCATGTTGTTCCACACGGTATTCTCGTCTCCCCCGCTAGGTCTGGCGAGACCAAGTTGATGGTGAGAATGCCACTCGCCAATATGACAAACGCCTTCATTTTCTGTCATTTGAGAACCAATCTCCTCCAAGTAGCTGATATCTTGGTAGAAAGAAACTGAAGATCTTCGACAATTTTGGCCAGGTCCGACAACAAACTGAATAACAGCCGTGTTTTTGTCAGCCCACAAACCAAACAAATCTCCACCAGTTTCGATGTTCGTTTTCTTGAGCACCCAAGCGCATAGCTGTTTGTAATCACTTTCGTAGATTACCACATTAAAATTCCCTCGCTGCGACTCGGGTGACCTGCTCCACCACGACATCATTGAAAGAAATGGTTAAACTGGTCTGAAGCGCTTTCTCGAGGACCCTTCGCTTACGATCTACGCGTTATAAGGATTACTGCGGAAGTTGGTTTTCTGGGAAAGTGTACCGTGACTGTAAAATATGCAACAATGTCGCTTCCTTACACAGCTTCAATAAACTTGTTGGAACAAGATGTTTCGTTACCAAACAGGCTACGCTACTGGTTTTCGAAAATTTTAGCGCTCTATTCTTTCGTTGTGAGTGACGAAAGCTTAGAAGCTTCAGTTTTACAGTCCCTTTTAGTTTCGTTGGGTTCCCCATGCTAATATTATGATTCTTTTCCCGGAAAAGACTAAAACTCTTGCGTGAATGTCACAGCGTGACAAGAAAGAAAGGAACGATTAGTTGGATCCTAAATTTCTTTCTGTTTTAAAAGGATTCAAAAATTACTTATGCCTATCAAAAATCAATTGATCGCCTCATACACGCGGAATAAAACTGGGTAGCTAAAAAACTCATTGCTTTATTTCTGATGCAGTGTTAAAGATAAACTCATTGTGACATTTTTTTCCGAGAATTAAAGGCACCCTGGCGATGGCCTACTTATCAAAGCAAAGGGAGGAGCAAATGAAGTTGATAGCTGTCTGCTTTTTCTTAGAACAGTTCCACCCAGCGCTGTTAGCTGATTAAAATGATGCTATTCTATTCACAAAAAAACTTGCAGGAGACTGAATGTAATCACGTGAAATTCATTATTCTAGGCTACAATTCCCCTGCTTTGAAATTCAATGAAAGTATTGGAGGGTTTCTGACGAAGAGTTTCACGACAACGGCCTACTGGTCTGTATCCAGTCGGATCAACTCATTCAGCGCGTTTAAACCCTCACGTAGTTTGAGAATTGAGTTATGAAAGAACTGTCTGACCCTAAAAATTTGTGTAAGACTTGTTATCTTGACATAACTGTTCCATGCCCATAGTTGTCTAATCAGAACGTTACGGATGCGTTTTTAAATTTCAGCGGAGAACTTTATACTATTTTAGAGAAAATGTCCTCAATTCAATTTCTTCATTTAATTTGAGAAACTGTATAAGTGTACATAGGGATAACGTCCAACACATGCCATGATCTACGGTTGGAGAACGCTCATAGCTTCTGAATTATAGCACAATGCACAACACTTACGCAGTTTATATTTTCTTGTAAGTATTTGGATTGTTTGTTGATAAAGATCTCAGGTTGAAGAGTTAAATTATATATTACATATTTGCGGGTAATATTGCGGAAAATCTAGCTTCGATAACTTTCACGGGAAAACGACATCATTAAGCTTCATAGTCTTGCGTTGAGGGTCCTCGGTTCTTATTTTCGTGGGACTAAATCTCAAGAGTAGAACTTACTAAGATATTGCATGCATCGAACAAAACGTGAACAAACAGGGTGAATGTTAGTAGTATCAAGCGTGAACTTATCTTTTGACTTTTCAGTTTTTTACCGGGAATGCTATCGATACCCTGTCTCTAAAAATAGAAAGTAATACAGACAAAGTTGACAGTTGATTGCTTGTTTTCTTCGAATATCTTCACAGCTGGATCCTGGGTGAATGATTGGCATGCAGTTTAACCTACGAAAACATTTCCACGAAATTACGCTTGGTCATAGACAATACGTTCTTTGAACATTGTTTCATGGAAGCCCTACGTTTTGACTGATACGAAATGCGGAAGAGATCAAAGAGAGGAAATCTGTTAAAAGTCAGAGGACAGTAGTAGTTCATCTTTAAGACTGGATTGAACAAGAAAGGGAAGATCATGTCATCCAGAAAAGGTTAGCTCAGGATGGCGAGAAGTGAAATGCTGTTTGCAGTGCTCTATGAACGAATGCGATGAAAGCGACTGGGTGATGTCTAAAATTTGGAGTGCTTTGTGTCGCTGCGTTTTAAGATGCCACAGCGACATTGTCTGAGAAAGAGGTCACCACCTGTCAGTAATAAAAGCCATTAAAACCAACAACTCGAGAACTTTCACATTCATATTTTTGTATAATGCTCGAGGGTGATGCAATCAATGTGACAATTTGTTCCTTCTTTTCTTGGAACTGCGGTGTGGTGGTGATCGCTTATAAGCATAAATTACTCCATCATGAAAAAAAAACCAGCAAAAAAAACAAAACAAAAGAATTCAGAAATTAAAGTTGTTTCCCTTAGCTCTCCTCTCGAATTGGTTATTCAGTGAGAAGAAGAGTCACAAAAGCTTTGATGAAAATAAACTACTTAGCAAAATTTAAAAAGGATGTTCCACTGTAGGGGACGGTTCAAGAAGTCACGCAACGCTTACTATCAAAGAAATGAAAATAACTACGCTCTAAAATATCAAAAGAATGCTATACTAATGGTTCACCGAGTCTGGAGGTCATTTTTAAAATTAAGGTACGTCTCCTTACTGGAAAGTACCTTAGACCGAGTATGGAAAAGATGTGATAGATCCAAAATGACGTTAGTGCGGAGATATATTTGTATAGTGCACAACCAATCAGGGAGGGTGATGCAATCAACATGACATTGTGTTCCTGCTTTTCTTGGAACTATGGTGTGATAGTGATCGCTTATTAGAATGAATTACTCCATCATTAAAAAAAACGAACAGAACAAAACAAAGAAAGTTAGAAATTAAAGTGGTTTCCCTTAACTCTCTTCTCAAATTGGTCCTTCAGTAAAAAGAAGAGTCACAAAAACTTTGATGAAAATAAACTACTTGGCAAAATTTAAAATTAGTGTTCCACTGTCGGGGACGGTTCAAGAAGTTACAAAACGCCTACTATCAAAGAAATGAAAATAACTACGTTCTAAAATATTAAGAGAATGCTATACTAATGGTTCACCGAGTCTGGAAGTCGTTTTTGAAATTAAGGTGCGTCTCCTCGCTGGAAAGTACCTTAGACCGCGTACGGAAAAGATGTGATAGATCCAAAATGGAAATATGTTCAATCTATTGTATGTAGCAGAGGGCCCCTTCCTGTGTTCCTGACAGAGTTAAGTGTGACGGGAACGCAGATGCAATGTTTGAGTGCGACGGATCTACAGATGTAATATGATTAATTAAAGCGCTAACAGCATTTTCAACATTATTCCCGCCGATCATTATGTAGTCTTCCCTGTTCGTGGACACACTTGCATTGGATTTTGGAAAGTTATAAGGAAATGTAATTGTACATTCTCTTCCTCGGCGGCGAAGGCTCAGAGTGATGTCTCGAGTGTCAGTACTGCGTCGCATCTTGACCTCGCCGTCGGCGATTTTCCTTAGCGCGTCGAAAACATATCTAAGAGCGGCCTCTCCTGACTCTCCGGTATACCACTGTTCAGTTGTCACGCTTGTAGAGTTACCACACATTTCTGGAAATGGTTGATCAAAAAACTTTATACGATTGATTATCTCCCTGACTGCTGTTTCTAATTGGTCACCACCAGCCATTGCGTAGAAATCTCCGCCCTTGAACAAGCTCGCATTGGATTTCGGAAAGTTCGATGGAAACCTGATTTCCCAATGTTGTCCTTTGCACTCGAGAGTCAACGTGACGTCATGGGTGTCCTTTTCTCGACTTATTCTTAACTCACTATCAGTGATGTTCCTCAATTCTTGGGAAACGTATCGAAGAGCTGCCTCTCCTTGATCACCAGCATACCACTGCTCTACATTTATCCGTGCCACGGGTACAAGATTTCGGTCAGCCCATGTTGGTTGCTCCTCAATTATTGCTGATATCATGGCTTGGACGGCGGTGTTGATGTTGTCACCACTGACTATTTTAGAGAGTTCTCCATTTGACAAGTTTACTTCAGATCTAGGAAAATCGGGTGGAAACCTGATTTCCCAGTGATGTCCGTCGCGCGTGAAACTTAACGTGACATCATGTGTGCCTTTTTGTCGACTCATATTCACTTCACTATCAGCAAAGTTTGTCAACTCGTCTAAAACATGACGAAGAGCTGCCTCCCCTTGAATGCTCTCGTACCATTGATCTGTGGTCACTTGTGCGGCACCACCATGAATCAGCGTACCTTTAGGCTGGATTACTGTTGATATCAGCGCTCTGACGGACGTGTTTATAGCATTACCACCAACCATAGCGTAAAACACTCCGTCAACATGCAAGCTGGCATTTGAAGCTGGAAAATTCGATGGAAAACGGACTTGCCACTGTTTACCATTACACTGGAAGCTCATGCAAAGATCCCGGGAGTCTTTATTGCGACTCATATCCACCACACTGTCGGCAATTGCATTCAGCTTGCGCAGTATGTACTGAACATCAGACTCCCCCTGTGTGCTTGCATACCACTGAAAAGTTCCCTGGCTGGCGCTGGACAATCCTTGTTTAAGGGGCACCACATCTGCAAAATCAGAGGCAATACATTTTATAACTGTAGATAAAAAGAGCAATATACTAAAAATCGAAAAGTCCTCAGTGCTGGAAAACCAAAAAGAAACATCATTATCCTTGATAATTACAGAAATGTTGGCTTAGCCTTTACCTTCACAATGCAAAATGTAAAACAAATTGTGGTGATAATGGTTCCTGGCTACTTAGCATAGGTGAAAGATTGATTATAACTGAATGAGAGAGTCGTACTTGTCGTTAGACTGCTGTGGGCAACGGAAGCGGCAGAAGCATCCAGCATAGCATAGATCTGAGTTGCTTTTGGTCTTCTGAGAGGATCATGGTTTGTACAGGCATGAAAAACATCTTTAACATGTTTCCAAGCTGAAGACTGTTTGTTCTCGTACTTTGGGTCACAGGATGGACGTTTTCTTTGTTTTTGAAAGTTCATGATATCTAGTGGCTGATTGAAACCGTCTCGTTCATATGGGTATGAGTCAGCTGGGTTAATCAAGCAGTAAAACACCATCCCTAGCGCCCAGATATCCACTTTTTTCAAATCGTCCATGGTAAGTTTATTTCTTTGTACCATTGGTTCGCGCAAAAGAATCTCAGGTGCCATGAAAGCAATTGTCCCTCTGAATACTTGGCTTGCGTTAGGGTCACTGAGCCCATTTGTCTGCAGCCACTGAGAACGGCTCTCGCCAAAATCAGCCAATTTGCATACAATCGGTCTCTCTGCCTGAATTCTCTTCAACTGACGCCTGTCTTGAAGATTGGAGTAATGCTGATTGGAGATCAATATGTTGATCGGCTTTAGGTCGCGATGAACAATTTCATGGCCATGTAGATGTGCAACTCCTCTGGTGATATCAACTGCTATCTTTGGAATTAGATGATCAAATCGATGTTCTTCAGATTGTGGCACTCGAGCAATCTCCGAAAGAAATTCGTCCAAAGTGCTAACCTTCCTATTTCTTTGAAAAGGCTCAAAATCAAAAACCACGTACTCCATGATAATAGTAAAAGGGTTTATGCAAATACCATAGATTCGGACTATGTTCTCATGATTGAGACTCTTTAATAACAGGGCTTCCTTGATGAAAAGCCTTCTTGAGTCATCTCTCATGGCCACTGAGTTGTGCATGACTTTCATCACAACATGATTGGTCACATCTGGCTCGACACAGTTCGCTAAATAAACTGTTCCAAACGAACCACGTCCAAGAGTTTTACGGATTTTCAGTTTTCGATAATCCCATATCTTGATTTCCAATTCCTCACCCATTTTGACTGACTCTTAAGTTACTTCCCTGTAAAATGAGACAGAGGCAATTCTTTTCATCCAAGTTCTGCCGGAGAAGGAAATACCAAGGCCACAGGGCCAACATAGGGATGCATTACTTTTATGTTAGTAGGAGAGACTGTACATTTTAGTAATGATAATAAAATGCTGAGTGCGATGAGATGTCACTACGATACTCCCACTAGTGAAACGAAAATATTTAATTTGTTTTCATCAGGAAGCGCTTGTTACGCGATGTTCGTGAGTTAAGTTTCGAAGATCGCTATGGCACTAGGGGCAATTTGGCAATAGCAAAGGTTTTAAAGCAAAAACTAATTCAGATATAGGTGTCAACCGAAAAGCATAACTTATGTGATTGGAATGTTTATATCATATTGCTTGACTTGCTCGCTCAACCTTCCTATTTTTGAACTTACCTTTATTTGAAACTAGAGCCTTCTTTTCCTCCGCAAATTTCCTATTTGTTCCAGTTCCAGTCGATGTAATAGTCTGTTTCATTAAAAAGAAATGCGAACGCTCTTTGCATCAAATGAATGAATACTGTTTACAGCGGAATAGCGACTCATCGAATATATTTGTATGCCGGGCTGGCTCGTCTCCGAGGATCATTTGGTCTCGGGTCGCTTGCAGTGATTATTCTGTCACGGTCCTCTACGCTGTTTCGCGGTAAACAACTGTGGCAATAGTTTATTTTGGTTCTGTGATTTCTTTCACGGCAAATTTTGCTTTCGCCAGAAGCGTTACATATTTCAAAGGTCTAATCACAATGAGCAGCTTTCGAATTTCCTAGAATACCTGAAAACAAAGAAGACCTGTCATTTAAAATACTTGAGAGGGCGGAGCAAAGGATATTGACGGTCAGTTCCGATGTTTCTTAGAATCTAGTCGACGCGAGATACAACATTAGGACAAGCAAGGCATCTTCGAGAAATTGATTGAGATCCCCGATCAAACATACATTCACTAGCTCGTTGTTGGCTTGTGTGTAGTCAGTAAGGTTTTCATCAGTAATCCAGGCTACCAGAGGAAATCGAGGAGAACATCAGCTTACAGCCTTGTCATAGCATTAAGCTCTTAAAACGCCGATAAAAGCACAAAGATGGAGAACATGACAAACAAAGAAAGCTTGTTCTTCGACCCTGCTACAGGAAAGCTTTGCACTTCAAGACCAGCAAATGATAAAGCTATAGCTGTGGACATGAACAAACAAGGATCTGGTGGATTTTTCAGCTTTACCGTGAAGGAAGCAAGAGATTGTTTCATGTCTTTGACCCTGCTTAGTGATGTTGTTGAAGAGTTTCCACGCAACCAAATGGAGAATTGATGATTTCCGGTGGACCTCTTATTTTAGTCTTTGTTAGGAGCAAGAACTTTGCATAATTGTATATGGCTACTGCTGGGTTCAGTTCTGACCGACTTTGATTTGTAAAAGTGAGCGAGAGACATTCATACTGTGAAGCATCTGAAGCTAACAATAGGAAAACGTATTTATTTTAAAAAGACTTCTGTTGTGAATCACTGTAAAACTATTTTCCTAAAGGAAAAATAAGTTGTAATCTTCAAGCGAATGAGGGGAAACTGCCGAGCATCATTAGCGATGATTGACAACAAATGGCGTTGTGCTGATCTTATTTGGGAACTGAGAGCTGGCAGAGAACAGCCAAAGAGAGAGAGAGAGAGAGAGAGAGAGAGAGAGAGAGAGACCGGAACATCCAATTCAGTAATCTGATGTTATTTAATTAAAAATAAGATGATATTTTTATAGGATTTGCTGTTTTTCATTAAAACAGATTTAGCCTAAAATAGAGTAATAAATAGCGCATATTAGAAGCGAAAACCTTTAAGAATTATAAATTATATCTGGAGAAGCGTAAGTGTGAACGTGTTATTGCTGAGAATTACTTTGCCGCGTGCGAACGGCGTGGGTTGCCTGATCGAAACGTTAAAACAATCAAACATCCAAGAAACTTCATCAACAAGCGAAAATAACCGTTTAATTTATTTGATATCTTAAATCTACTATGTGCAACCTTTACAGATTGTCTCAACTCCAGCTCGCTAAGTGTGTATCCCTATTAAAAAGAAAATCAGACACAAACTTGTCTAATTTTTTAACTCTGGGCTCCTATCTGGCCAAGCTTAGTTACACATTCTCATTATGGGTAAGGTAATCCGATTTGGACCAGGACTAACTCCAGAAATCGAATCACAGTTAGAAATTGAAAATCAAAAGTTGACTGTCTAGAATGTAATAGATATTATTATCAGTTCTTATCAGTTCCTTTCATATCTTCTCTCTGGAAAATTAACTTCATAGGAAAGATGACCGCTTGATATGGGAAATCATATTCTTCACTGCCTGGTTTTCATTAGTATAAGTAGGCTGCTGAAGCTTCTTGCACATACTTGGCAAGTGTGGATTTTCAATCAGAACTGCTCCCATACGGGGAAAATTGAAAGGAAAATGGACCTGCCACCTCTTTATGGCATTCTGGTCTTTGAACGCCATCGAGATATCCTGGGTATTGATGTCTCGGCTCATTTCCACTTGGTTCTGATAAGCAATTTTCTTGAATTCTTCCAAGGCCTTTCCCAGTTTTTCATTTCCCTTTGGATCAGAGTACCACTGAGAATTTCTAGTATCTGCTGGTTGCAGCTGAGGATGTGGCTGGGGCCGAAGCCAATCCCTTCCTTGTGCTGCGGTGGATTGTCCTTGGTGATGCGATGACTGATGGATATGTTGTCCTGTTGATTGCTGAGGATCAACATCGGAGCGATTAAATGGGTTTTCGCCTTCGAGGGATTCCAATTTTCCACTTCTCCACTGAGTACCGCCCTCAAATAGGTAAGGCTTTACGTCAGTCACATCCACATCAAGAACTAGAAATCTTTTCGGGTTTCCACCTTTAAAATTTGATAGAAGATGTCTTCTGTCTTCAGTCTGTCTTTTAAGTGATCTAACTGATCTCCATTCTCCAATATGGCACAGCCTGTAGCCATCCCAAAGCTTTGTACCATATCTCTCAGAGTCAGCTCGATAGACCGCGGAAGGTACTATATAATGTACTACAGGATTACCCGTACTCGTCCACTGACCGAACAAACTTCCACTTTTTGGTACGGCGGAACCAGTCTCACTTTTAAGCTTTCGAACATCTTCTTGAAAAACGTAAGCTGTAAAGGTAAATTCCGCCATGTTGATGCGAAGGGAATGAATTCGTTCTGTTTCTTCGTAAGCACCGAGAGGAATAACCGAGCGTAGCGCAGATGTTAGGAACAATTCTCAGTAAACTACGACGCTCAAGCGCTTTGATCGATGAGAGTGAATTATTTTGTTGTTTACCTCTTTCTAAGAATCGAGGTTAACAGATATCTTGTGGTGTTAGTTTGATAGACAGTTTCTTCCGCTCTTTCTCGGAAACGTGACTTTGAAAAGATATATGCAAACTGCTGAACTGCGATAAAAACATTTCCGAGAAAGTCATAAATATGTAAATTTCACTTTCGAAAAGAAAGAACAGGAACATTATTTTTCTGGGCTTAAGTTTTAAATCGTTTTCAATCAACAACTACGATGTTCTCAGAAACCTCTCTGTATCACGTCACGTTCTCGAGACTATTTTGAAATTTCTTCAATAATTTTGCCTTTTGTGAAGAAATTTATTTAACAAACCGGGCTTACATGGTGTAGAGGACTAAATGCCTCCATAATCTAAAGCGATTCGTCGAGGTATAAGCGATTTACCAGTTCTAATCAAAATTATACAGACTAGTAAATTTGGGGAAAGTTCAAATCTATAGAAATCAGTTGTGATTTACCCCAGAGTTGTCACGCAATGAGGTAAATTCGTTCGCGTGACTCTTGTTTCATTTTCTCGTCATGACCTTAGACATAAGAATCCCTTTGTTAAACCAAAATGTCTTCAAGCGATGGCCGTAAATTTACTGTTTTCATCAGAGCAAATGACATCAAAAGGATTTTTAGCTGGGTGATGAAGCATCCAAACTTAGAGACCGGTGGAGACGTGTTTGGTTTGTGGGAAAAATCTCACAACTCTTTAGAAAATATATTACATATTCACTACATTATTGGACCCGGCCAGTTGTGTCGTAGAACTACTTTTTCATTTCACCAAGACGTTAGATATGCGAGTCAAATGGAGGATTATTTTCATAGAAATCATGGCATGGAACACGTTGCTCTTTGGCATTCGCATCAGAGTGGCTTGGATCGACCAAGTGCAGATGATAAAAAAATGGTTTGGGAAACGATGCCTTCTCACGATATTAATAGATTCGTTCTTCTAATTGCTAGCATTGCGGACAGTGGCAAAGAATCAGAAAGTGCAGCTGTTTCTTTAAAGTGTTTCCTGTTCGAGATCGATGACAAAACAGAAGAATGTTTGCCTGTTCTGCTTGGAAAGTTTCGGGTTTTAACGGCGGAGGAAACCGAGCGGACACATCGCTTTGATTTACATGACATAGAATTGGAGGCGGGTGCAGAGTTTTTGATTGCAGACGAAGATCTCGCACTTTCTGAGATTACTGAAACCGAAACGAGTGTTATTGGTTATAGGAAAAGAGGAAAAAACATTGGACCTTGATGGGCTGTCAATTGTTTTATGCCTCTCTTTCAGTTTCATATAACTGGAAAATAATTATTAAAAAAAAAAGACCAACGCAAAGTTGACATAACGTCGGATGATCCATCTAATCTTCCCATTCAAATACGTAACCGACAGTTTTCCTCGCCCTTTTCTAAAACTCAACTTATGGAATCCGTATCCTGTGACTCTGTCTTAAGCCGGAGGTAACCTTTTTTTTTTTTTTTTTTTTTTTTTTTTGGGGGGGGGCTTTACCCCTACTCCTTGGGTAAGGGGTTCTTCCACAACCAATAGAGACCACATAGAGATCATAAAATGTATTTTTAACTCCCTTGGCAACAAACTTGGCAACAATTAACCTTTTAGTTCATCTCTGAGAATGCAGTACAATTTTTCGAGTATGTGTCAGTGAAAATCAAGTTAGACTTTGAAGATCAAAAACTATAAAACATTACAGTTTCTTTCGGCCATTATTGGATCGGTGACAGTGGCAGGCTGCCAGTCATTAGAAAGAAAAACCGGGACGTGCGGGACAACCGCCATTTTTCGCTCCTCCGCTTTTTTGCTCGTTTAAACTATCCGGGATCCAACCAAGTGATCATCTCAGACTATAAGTCATCAGGTTTGCTTCGTTTCAATTCCCACCAAAGATGAAGTTTGTCTCTTAGCTCTCAGGCGCAACCAGTCTAGTCTGAAACTTTCTTTCTAGTCTCGTTGTCTGTGCGAGGTCTGGGATGAGCCTTTTTGGTGACTTCAGAACTGTTGGTGAGATACAGGCTTCACCGTCTGAGTCGTGAGCGATGGTAAAGAGTGATGTGGAGCATGGACCTGATCAGAGGGTGGCAGTCAACAACAGTTAAAGTACTTGAAGTCAAAACAATAATTACTTGGTTATCATAGAGGAGGTTTTTATTTTCTATCGTTTTCACGCTACGATTTACTGTTAAATATAGACGACTTTACCTAGTAATGATATAACCAATAAAACTACGCACGCGATGAATTAAAACTTTTTAAAGACGGCATCAACATTTCTTCAGCAAACCTGTTAAATGTAAAAAAGTGGAGGTATCTTAAAATATATCTTATCGAAAATTAAGTACCGAGCTTACGCACTTAGAAAGCATATAATAGGTAAAATACATTTTTTATCTCGTTTTTTTCAGCACGCTTGATTATCAAGTTAGTTAAAGTTAACTGAGAATTGGCTTAAAAAGTAAATGAAAACTTCTCAACCGATCAAATCCAAAGATGGGTCTGGATCTTCTCCTGTACAAGCGTCAGTGTCATATATTTCCTCAATTTTTTCTCATCGGCCGAAGTAGAACGCATTTCACTTGACTGCCGTAAATAAATACCATTGAACCATCAACCAGGCCAAGAAATATTTTCAGTTGAAGGAATTCAAAGCTTAATATTTCAACATGCAATTAAACTGAAACGCTGAGAGGCGGAAGTGACTGGATCGAAATCAGTTCTGGCTTGGATCTGATTGGTTGAGAGGGTGAACAAAGTTTTCTACACCAATTACAAAGCTTTGTTAATCAAAACCAATGCAATCACGGATTGCGTTCAACAATTAATTGAGAAGCACTCTATGCCTCTTTGTTTTTGGTGTCGGTACAGCTAACTAAAAACTGTTAAAAAAATGTCCAGCCCTAAGTGGTCATCTGATAACCTAACTCCTTGAATCGAAACTATTTTTCCTACAAAGATTACATGTAAAATGGTGGGTATGTATAATGTGTGCTATATCATTGCGTTTAATTTTGGCTAGCATATCCTGAAATTCCTCAAGCGTCATCTTTGGACGCCGAGCCTTCAGTCTGTCTAAGACACGCTCCGCCGGATTTTGACTTCCTTCAAACGTCTCTTTCATTTCAGCATCCATCCTGGTCCAAATAAGCAAGTTTCTGTAATCGTTGTTTTTGTTAAGCTCTGTACAGATTGGTTCTTTGAGGCAGGGCCGGTCATTGTTGATGAGTGAAAAAAATAAATCGCTCGATTGTGGGCAACAATCTGGAATCAAAGAAAACAACGAAGTATCACTTTACGTTCTTCAACAGCATGAGAGCTGTAAATATTGGTTGTGATAAGCGTCAGAAACGAGTCGACACGTCCATATTTTTCCTTCTTAAACCTTTCACTCTCAAGATCTAAATAGAAATTCTCTCTACTCCCCGCCGTATAGTTCTCATGATGTTAGTTTCGAGAATTTGGTATTGGATAAATTGAAAATCCCCTTATTGATGTTTTCCTTTATTCTCATTACCTGTCTGCTTGATATTGTATTTATATTGTAAGAAGAAATTCTGTCTTGGTCACTCGTGGGAGTTAAAGGGTTAAGACAGAGAACTCCGAGATATTAAAAGAAGATGTAATCCTCTGGATATTGCTCTCTGATGCTCTTCTACTGAGTAACAGAATTCTATTGTGGAACGGCCAATTCTGGGTTCATATGCACTTGCGACATGCATCCTGAAAACAGCCAGGATCAGTCATGGCTCCGCTCGCCGTCGACTTCTTTGCAGCTCCATGTTGGGGCATCGGTTCATAAAATCCAAAGGTCTCGAGTTCGATTTCTAGTGGGAAATTATTTTTTTCTCTTGTTCGAGTGCCAGCTTATCTTGTTAATCGAAGATCAAACTTAGCGTTTACTAATTCCTCATGATCAATTCCGAGTCCGATGTTTCAAGGGCTGGAATGACATAAATGACATCTAAAGGAAAGCTACAGCTACATACCTCGACAGCGATGCTCGACTTCGTGTTTGCGACAAATCTTCTTGTACTTACATTCATCGACTAAAAGAGAGAAATAAAGAGAAAAGTCTGTCAGAGGACATATGCTGTTAAAGTTACTTTGAACGCCTATTGGAAAGGAAAATAATCACCGTCCTCCTATCTTAAGACTGCAGTAAGAAGTTCACGTGATGACTACATGGCGAGAATGAACTGCAGTTAACAACCCAAGTGGCTCATCAACGCCAGTTTAATTTACACGAAGCGACAAGGTGCAATACCCTCCCCTAGAAGCGTGCAATGTGGGATGCCAGACATCGCCTAAGCTAAGTTGTCAGAATGAAGTGCCATTAGCATCAATCCAGAGATTAAATGTTCAACAACGTAAATTTTTTGTATGCAGTTCACCCACGATTAGTACTCATCGGGTTATGGGGCTTGCCTTGCTCAGTACTTTTTCAGGTTTCCCCTCCGGTTGATAGCGAGGAAGGTAAACAAGGTTTGTGACAACTTACCCGTACTCTTGGCGTTTTCGCTTTCCTGTGCTGTCTCGTCATCTTTTACTTCTTTCCCGATTTTTGCTGCAGTGACAGAGTTAGCGCTTTTGTCAGTGTAACCGACCAAGCGTGGATCTTTCCCTCTGTCTGCAACCGCCTCGGTGTGGTTTCGACTTAACGGAGGAACTTCTTTAAAATCCACATCCTGTCCACAGGAACAAGCCAGATCTTTCTTCGGTTTGCTGCCTTTTTTCCATCCATTAGAGTTCCCCTTGATACCTTTGTTTTGCTTAGCGGGGCCGCTATTTACGCTTCTCAGTGCCGTGTTGTGCTTCTCATCACAGGCCTCGATGCTCATCGGAAAACTATCGTTACTCTGATTGGAGATTTCCGGTTCTTCCGAAGACTCGGAATGGACCTGGCTACTTGATATGGAAGGGGGATTAGGCGACCGTCCACGCTGAGGTGTCGCACACGGGGAAAATGTAGAAGATGTCACGCAACTACATAAATGATCAGTGGACTGGCCCTGAGGAGTCATACGTGGAGAATTTGATGCTGAACGAGGCAATCTACAACAATGATTTGGCGACAAGCAACCTGAAGGACTTGACGTCTCATTTATTGAAGATGAAGAGGAGTTGTAAACCGCATCACGCGACCACGCACGAGAGGGAAAGCAAGGTGACGATGAAGACGATGAATATCCTGCGGCACTGTTCTCGGTGGACACCCCACAAACAGGTGTTGCACCCTTTCGAGAGGATGCTCCTAGGGTTGAAGGGTTTGAGGAACTTCTGCCAGATGGAGTTTGTCTTCCGTTCTGGCAAGACTGCAGATCTTCTAAGGATGAATAGTGTCCCTTCTCGTCCATGAGTAGATCTGAAAGTAATGTATGTTGCTTTTTATAGATGAAAACTTGTTTGAAATATTCTGGAATTTCAATCCATCGGTCGAGAGAGGTTAACAGAAAGTTGATTCAACTTCTCTTAGAGTATATCTATGAATATGGAGAGCATTCAGGGAACAGTTATTATTTATTTCCTGTGAGGGGGGGGATTGCGTCACAACCAAATTTACCTGATCCTCTCATAAGGCTCAATGATATCCTAATGACTCCCCCTCTCAAAAGTATTTGATTGGCAGTCAATTTTATATATTTCCGCGTTTATGCTCTGTTGGCCATGACTGATACCCTCTCTGCAACCCCTGAAAACCTCTTAGTCCCCCAAAAATCCTTCACCCTTCTTCCCCGGCGTTAAATAATAACTGATATCTTATGTTATACAATTATGAAATGCATAGGATTTACCTGGTTCATTTATGGAACAGCCACACTGCCTCTTTTCCTCGTCGATCTCCTTTGTCTGTCCGAACCTGGGATATCTTAGCTCTAACCAAGAGAGGTTACAAATGAATATGGATTACAAACGAGACACACCGGAAACTAACCCGTCCCACAATGACTCTGACTGACTTTTTTAAATTCAAAGTTAATTATACCGCTCGCGATCGATTACAGCTCATTGGATGGTGAAGTAATACTTCATGACAGGAAAACAACAACTACTCACCGGTAGAAGGAAAGGGTGACTGTGCCGCTGGTGATACTGCGTCGTCTTTAGGAAAGAAAGGTTCAGCTTTGTCTGGAAAATAGTTGATCGAATGATTAGCTAACTTTGAAACTATTTGCAAAGTTCTGGTATATCACTTTTTTTATCACATTTTTACATGTTTTCCACCGTTGTTAATATCTGTTTGTGTTCCTTTCCTTTTTAACGGCTTCATGTTTTGCAACTGGCAGCATTTTCAGCAAACGCGGAAAGCACATACCACTATCGCGTCACAGTTAACTAACGACAAACAACTGATGGTGAATTCAATTTTTAATGTAACTTACTTGTCCCATGATCTGCCGGTTCAGCGTAATGATCTTCTACTGTCAGGGGAGCCGACAAAATACCACGTTCGACATCATGATCGGACGACAATTCTCGATACTTACGGCAAGGCACACGACACAATGCTGTAATTTGTTTCCGTTTGCGAAATGTAACAAAGGTTAAGACAGTGCCCAACAAGGATCCCATCAGAGAGAAGAAAACCAACCAGCCAGGTTTACCAAAGCGCCTTTCGGAACTTCCTATGAAATTCAAAGTTTAAAACTATTTTACTTTAAAATTAAGATCACATGGGAGAACGGAGATGGGATCAGTCGTTGTCAACAAAGCATAAAGGGAAGACTATTGAAAATCGACTGCTAAATAACTGCTAATGAGTGGAAGAGGAGGGGGGGGAATCAAGAGAATATAAAAGAGCCTTATGGGGGATCAGGTAAATTTTATCATGACACAAACAAGATCCTCTCACTTCCCTCCCCCCCTGACTAGAAATATGGACCGATCCCTTAGTCAAATGAGCGCGCTCATCAAACATTACTCACAAATTTTTTTTCATCTTCAATTGTGATCTGCATAAGTAACACACTGAGCCTTTTTAGGTTACTGTGCACGATTGTCATTGTCGGCAGTTGTGTTTGTTGTTAACGCTGGCGAATCCCACTTTCTTGACTTATTTCAGGTATTTAAATCTCACGGATAGTAGATTGAACACTTTAACCTCTAAGACTGATTAGCATCTAATTTCTCCTGACACAACACTAGTGATGCAAGCAGTAAGGTTGTGAGAATAAAGGAAATGATCACCAACCAAAGAAGCTCTTAATTGTTAATCAATTTCTCTTTGTCAGCACTGTTGGAAATGTATAGAGAACAGTATGGAGAATATGCCAATTGATATTAAGGTGTAAATTAAGCGCCGGTTAACTTACCCTTCTGCGAGGCTTCTGGTTCATTATCACTTTTAGGTTCTGGCGGAAAAAAGGCTGATGTTGTCGATTTTGACGGCAGTGTTATCTCAGTCTTCTGGCTCGAGACCTGTTTTGTCGTCTCTGTGGTCGAAGGTGAGGTAACTGGTGTAGTCACCGGTACAGTAGTAGGTGGGATTGGACGACATACTTTATCAACTTCATATGTCCTATGACGAGACATGACAAAACAAGAATTTCTGATAAAGAAACCAGCACGATATCCCATAAGAAGCCTGGTACTGTAGTATCATTAGTCTCCAGTGAGTCCCAACACAAGATTGTACAGAATCTAGTGGAATGCATAACAAATAGCGCGAGTGAGTTAAAAAGAGCCCTTCCGCTATTTTAATCATTGGAGACTTTCCCTTTGCCACGATGAGTACCCGTCAAAAAGATCATACACTGAGGAACTATGATAGCAATTTGAAATTGGGGCAAAAAGACAGCTGACGCTTCAGACTAGACAGGGCTGAGAGCATGTTGCTGTTTTTGAGGTAGTATTGCGCGCTGTTTTTATTACACATCTTACCCTATTTTCAACGACTGACTTTGGAGAGCTGGTTTGACTTCCGCTCAGGTTATCGAAGCGTCAGTCACTAGTACCGAAAACAGTCCTCCTCAGGACTACACTCACCCGGACGATCAGACACCTAAGTCAAATATCTTACCCTTTGGGACATTCATGGGCACAAACAGTATCGCTAATCGCCGTGCATGATGCTATTTGAACTTCATCATCACTGCACGACTGGCAGCGAGGACAGCCCCTGGTAGATTTCTTGTCCTGGAAAAATCCCGTACGACACTTTTTACACATATGACCCGTCTTCGCCCCCGTTTCATTATGTCCACAGTTTCTTGTGTGCTCTTCTCCAGGGTCACAAGCCGGGCAAAGTTCACAGCGTTTTGTGCTTAGGTCATAATACGTAGCAGAGCTGCATATCTCACCCCCAACTATGATCTAAGAAAAGCAAAGAGGAAAGTGATAGTCAACCTATAAAATCTCCTCATAAGCCTTATATTAAGGTCGTGAGAGGATGAAATTTTAATCAGCTGTACCGAGTTTGAGAACTGACCAAGTTACACGGAGGAAGACTGGTTGGTATTACATGAATTATGTTTTCGGAGGCTTGACTGGACCGAACTTTCGTTTCCGAAAGGCGAGGAATGGTACAGGGAGGGTATTGTACATGAACCGAATGCCAATAGGACCTAGATGAAAATCAACATGTATGGCGAGGACGGCATGCTAAATGCGAAAGAAGGGAACGAGCATCTAATAAAAGCGTGGTGAAGGTAAATCTTTTTGCTAAAACGGCTTTGTTGAGACCGATCGAAAAAATCCTTATTGCATTTATGTCGTCGACAATCTTTCAGTTTCTGCTCATGCGAAAAAAATTTTTCTCAAGCAAGGATTATTAAAATCTATAAATACTATGCCTTTATTCAGAACATTGAGGTTAGCGTCTTTTTTTCCCGCATTTCAGCCTTTAACTAAGTTCATTAGTGAGTCTATAAAAAAAATAATTTGCTTCGCTGTAATTTTTAATTGTGTACAACTAAAAGCTACGACTGGGTATTGGAATCCTGCTCCGAAGAAGCAATATCTACCTCAATAATTTTCAAGGAAAACATCACGAATATGTAGGCCACTCTAGGAAACTCTTCGAAAATTATGACAAGATTCGCCCAACTGTGGGCAATATGACTGACCACATTGATAATCCAATGAGGACAATTAAGTTTATGGATTTACATAAAGCACAGTACTTAAACGAAAATTAAATCAGTTAAAATCCTACGAACTAAATCCGTGTATTCTGAAGGAATTATGTGCGTCGTGGAAGGGAAAGTTTTTCGATGATGGAAATAAAAGTACGTAAGTCGACAGTTGCTTATTCCTAGAAGTTTCGTGGAAGACAAAGTGGACTAGTTGACGTAATAACTTGGATTTTTTTCACAGACTACAAAATTGTGTTTCTCAAACGGGATAAAAGACCACGTGCCTTTCCTAATGCTTAGCAACTTACTTCTATATTTTTTTGTACTTATTTGAGCCTAAATTATATTTACACATGGAGACTGTTGTTGATGTTAGTCATCAGCCAAAAAATCTAACTCGTAAACTTCCGAGTTTCTTTAAATTAGATCAAATGTACTTACGTCGTGGAAGAAAAGGGAAAGGCACAATACTAACAAAATGCTAATTTTCTCCATAGCATCAGCAGATTTGAAATTGCGGTCGAGCCAGATTGCGGCAGATCTTTAGATAACTGCGCCAGGCACTGTGAAAACAGTACTAAGTGAAATGAGATACAAAAGCCAGCACACCTAAAAGCTATTTGTTTCCCGCGCGTGGGAGTGTACTTTCGAAACGTCATGTGAGTTCATTGAGTACTTTAATAGTTAAAATTAGGTTCTTTCCCATAAATAAAGACAGTTCCTTGCGATATTATTGAATCTTTTAACCGTGTTAGTCGACGTGTAAAAATTGTTCTTCAAGGCTTAAACTATCTTTTATCTAATTCTTCAAGCGGTCATGACTTGTATTAGCATAAAATAGCATAAAACATCTCAGATCAATTTTCTGAAACGAAGCTGTAACGCAACTGAAGCAGAGAGTGACGCCTTGTACGTTTATTTCCTAGTAAGCGAATGACTTCCGCTGCTAATTTTGACTTCCTCTTTTAAGTGGAACACCATGAGGATTATATGAGCCTAACACACAACTTTCAGGAGCTGAAAATGTCCCAGAAAAGCAAAAAATTGTCCTAATTAAGCAAACTGCAGTCCAATTACTTGTTATTTCTCAATATTTCGCTTTCTTGTAGAGTTGTTAACCTTGACCGAGCACAATCAGTGGCTATTTTCATATTCTGATATCATCATTTCACAGAGACGGAAAAAGACAGTTGCTGAGCACACCGTCAAACGAAAAGCTCAAATCTTGCTAAAAGAAACTGAAATTTGTTCTATTTAAAATTGAAGGGCCTGGGAAAAAAATTAGAGAATAAAGATATCTTGGTGGTTGGTTTGATAGCATACTTATGAAGTATTTTGACAATATTGTACATTCTTCCTGTATATTTTCATATCTTTTAATATTTATCAACGTTTGCTTAAAAGTTAAAATCAAGATACAAATTAAGTTCGTCGAACAGAACTCTGATGACTGGCAGAGTCGTCCAACCTAAATGTTCGGGGAGGTTTTCAGAGTCGTTGACCTATAATGTTCTTCAAAGAGGTTGGGATACCTTTTCACCGTCTCGAACCGCGAACGAAGGAGGCAGTGATCCGAGCCCTTCGCTCAGTGATAAGCGATCTTCTGCGGCTTTGACAAAGATCAAAGAACTAAGAATCGAAGCTTTCGCTTTTCGTATGGTTTTTTTCAATTGATAACCTTAAATCCCCTATAAAAATAACCCCAGCAAATCAAGTACAAAAGACACAATAGGTGTATAACACCGGCTGGCCTTGAATAGGAAAACCTCTTTATTAAAGAATGAAATAACAAAGTCTGTAATATGGTCACCTGTAAATCGTGCGTCAAGAAATGAAAGTAACTTAGAATCCTAAATCGAAGTTTCGAATTCTGTTGGCGTAAACATCGCACACCGGAAGTGAATTGTGATGTACGCTCAAAAAACACAAACGAATCTGATCGTATGCTTTTGCTTTTCGCGGGTCTACTCTTGAACTTAAACTTGGAAAAGATTCTCTAAACGAAGGGTTTGGGAGGAAGTGTGGAGCGCTCGAAATGTTTCCTGCTCGTAGGGAAAGTCCCGTGATGAATATTCAAACACTTGGACAGGAAATACACACAATTGCCTACTTAATCGCTTAGGCGAAATTTTCCAGGATTTCCATGTTACAACTTCAGTTGTAACTCCCGTAAAATACATCCCAGCTGCATCAACTTCTCATTTTCCTTTCTGTTTTTAAGTTAGAGCCTGAGTTGTTTTCGCGGAAAAAAGGTCACAAAAAGTTTCCCTGTTTGTCATTATATATAGCTGCTAACAAAGACATCATGTCTTCAATGAAGATGTCGTAAGCAGATGAAAAGTGAAACAGATTAGCGGCAATTAAGGAATGTACGTCATTCATCGAGTCTTTCCTTGTCACTTGTAAAACTTGTTTTTGTTAAAAATAGATTCCAAAATATCACATCGGCAAGAAAGAAAAAAAAATAACTCGAAGAGGCAACAATAAGTTATGAATAAGGGTGAACAAGATGTATGAGGTTGCAACTGATGAACGAATGTAATAAATTCGTCTTTCGCATTCACAACAACGTACGTTATGGTAATCAGATATGATCGCGTTAGATTATATTAAAAGATAATATCACTATTGAATTCTGTTGAAGATGTCGTAAAACGAATTGGTTTTCTGTTTAGACTATACATGATGCCCTTGAGAAATATCATTCAAACATTGAAAGACATATTTACCACAGAGGAACTGCAGCACGATGGGTATTTGATAATCCAACTCAAATGGAATGACTGAACTCGGGAAAAAACTTATCTGCTTACAATTCTACTCGCTTTATTTAAATTACACGAACAGGAAATTTTTAAAATAGCCGCAAGCAAAAGGATATCCAATGCCGTCATAAATGACCCTCCTCTTTGTGTATTCTGTTTATGCTTAAACTTGAAAGATGAAGGCTTGGAATGGAGAAACGAGAGGATCTGACAGATACACAATCGAGCACTTTGTCTGTTTGTTCTTCCATCATAATTTCGTCAATATGGCCCATGACTGTGCTCGCATGACGAATCATTGGCTTACTCTCTTTTTTCCACTTTAATCTGCAAAAAGCGTCAATAAAAAGCGTTAAAGCGAACTAACGATAACATGATTCACATCTCAACCCCGTTGTTTCTTACTAATCAAAACTACAGCTCTTTAAATTTCCAAGTTTCTTCTGTGCTTGTGCTATGCGACGCTCGAGTGATTTCTTGAGCGCGAAGTCGTGCCTAGTGTATGGGAAAAGTGGGCATAGGGCTCCTATGAATTAAGGCCTTAAAAAACGAATCCCAGCTGCCAAAGATGACCTCTTAAAAACAGTCAGCTAATCACTAGCGAGCGACCGGTGTAACAAAACATGATAATTTGATTTTATCGACTGAGTTGATAACTTAAATTGGCCTCCGTAAAGAGTTTCTAAAGCTCACGTTTCGAGTGGAGCCCTCCGTCTTTTGCGCTGTAAGAAGGGCTAACGCTCGAAACTTTCGTCAGAGCAAATGACGAGGGGCAAACGCTCGAAACGTGAGCTTTAGAAACTCGTACAAAAAAATTTATAACTCGGTTAATAAAACCATGTTTTTTTTTAATACCCCCTCTGCCGACGCAGCACCACAGTTTCTATTGCAACCTACCCCCTTTTAGAAAAATAGGAGACAACTTGCTTAAGAAAACACCTCTAAAACTAATTGATTCTGCCAGAAAATCATCCTTGCCTACCTGACAAAAAGGATTATAATTCCCGCAACAATGATGAAAGCCACAGCCCCTGACACCGAACCAATAATAACTTGCTGCTGAGCTTGCACTTTAGAGACTCTTGCTTTCGCTGTCTTTGGTGTAGATCGGCCTTCAGCTGATGTAGATAAAAAATTGACAACTGCAAGATCAAACTATCACCTCATGAAACTGGTTTCGTTTCATTACAATCACTGACTGGTTTAGAAAGCTTTCCCTAACTTTTGCGAATTTTCTCGTGCTTAAGGCTCATGGATTGTTTTTTTCAAATGAGTTGTCTCTGATTCCTTGTTTTATTTTCTTTTGTCTTAACTGGCCGTAGTGATTATTATCTGGTTACGGGGTTTTACGACTCTCAGTTGAAAAGTGCTCTCAAAGATCAACGTCCCTTCCATTAACAGAATAAGCTTAGCAAAGGGGATAAATATGCGGACGATTAAGGGCACGCGCAATCTCATTCTCAGAGGTCACGTATCCCTAATCCCTTGCGGGTGGGGTCTCCGCCCACAAGGGATAAAAAGAGCGTGACACCTGGGAACGAGATTGGTCCACAGGAGGAACAAGTGTTCATTACCACGTGAAAAATACCTGTGCAGTTGTATCCGTCTCCAAGGAATCCACTTTTACACTGGCAGATGTAGGATCCGTTTAATTCTGTACAATTTGCGTTTGTGGAACAATCCGAGCTTGACACACAATTGTGGTGAGGTTGACAGGAGTTTCTGCTCTCATAAAAACCTTTATCACATTTGCATTTGTAAGACCCTGGTGTGTTCAGACATTTCGCGTTTTCACCGCAGTGATAACCGTTTTGGGTACATTCATTAATGTCATCGCAATCCAAGCCGTTTCCATTGAAGCCCGGTGAGCAAATACAGCTGTGCGACCCATTTGAGTTCACACAAATAGAATTAACATGACAATTATGTTCTTCACGTTCACATTCGTTGATATCCGCACAGTCAACACCATTACCTGTATATCCTGTTTTACAAATACATCGGAAGGAGCCAGGCGTGTTAGTGCAAGTTGCATCGGAATGGCATTTATCGATTTTTGTTTGACTGTTGTTGACATCGGTGTAGTTGGATTTATTTCCAGTCAAACCTGAATCTGTATTCAGCAAGCACTCGTCGACATCTTCACAGTTAGAACCATTTCCGGTAAATCCTGCTTTACAAGAGCACTTAAAGGATCCCTGATAATTTAAACAGGTTGCATTTAAGTGACACTTGTCGACCTCCGATGCGCACGCGTCCGTATCATTACAATTAAATCCATCACCTGTGTATCCTTGGTGGCAACTGCAATTGTAAGATCCAGCAGTGTTTAAGCATGAGGCATGCGCATCACAGCTATGTAACTTTTGCGCACACTCATCGACATCAATGCAAGAATTATCATGAGCAATAAACCCTGCTGAACAGTTACATCTGTAGGAACCAAGAGTATTAATACAGTTTGCAGAAATATTGCACTGATGAGCTGATGAGGCACACTCGTCTACATCGCTACAGTTGAATCCATTTCCACTGAATCCTTCGTTACAAAAGCATACTGTGTTATTGAAACATGAAGCATTTGGTCGCTCCTCTGCGTCTAAAAATAAGGGAAAAACAAGATCAACTCTTACATATAAAATGGAGTCTGTTTGGAAATCCGAATATTGGTCTGTTGTTCTAAAATGTTTTTGACTACTTTTTCGTTGGGAAAGACTTTCAAAGCTTGACATCCTCCTTGCGATTTTCCTTCAATTCCATGTGCGACTTTCGACAAGTAAAATAATTTGAGAAGATTTCTTTTGAAGTTTTTAGATGCAGTCATGATATTTGGATGATATCTGGGAAAAAATAAGTCAGTCAGTAAGTTTTGTGAGAGAGGGGAGTGAGAGACTGCGCCCAGAATTGAACTTAGGGTTTAAATTACTGCGTAGCTTAGTATCAAGAAGATGCAATTTCCGGCGGCCATTTTCTATAATGCAATTCCTTCGTCCTTTGACTAGTTTCCCAGTCTTCCTCAAAATGTACCCCCTCGCCTCGAAGTTCTAGTTTTATTTCAACGTACCTGTCTCTATGCTTAAGAACACGCCACACGTGATTATTAAAATCCAGATACCACAATGCAACCATCCGAAGCAGCGCATAACTTCAAGTCAAAATAGAGAGTGTGCCGAAAGCCTTCAAACCTCGGGCCATGTCTGGGATATCCTACAAAGAAAAACTTCTCAATGAATTATAGAATATACAATATCTAATGAAGCGCTTTATCTTACTTCACTCGTGTTATAATGAGGGAAATATGGTGAGAACAAGACAAAAATTGCTAAAATGCGACAACCTAACTGCGTGACGGGATGGAAAAAAATTGAAGAATTATCAACTGAAAGTGTGATAAGCCGTGCAACTGAGTTGGAGTCAAGTCAAATAAATTGATGGGAGGCCTACTTGACCTTTTTTCCTCCGGAAATTGTGGGTAAACGTGGTCTCTCATCATGTTCTCTTCTTTGATGCTTCGGAGAGACACGTCACTATCAACTTTCGCAAATGAAGAGGATAATTTTGTAATGGTGAATTGTCCGGAGAAGAGTTCATCAAAGCTAAAAGACGGAGGTTATCTTATCACATGTAAAAACGCGTGACGGTTCAGAATTTTACTGATTCGCAAGGGATCGGTAACCACCTGTTCAGTCAGCCTTTCGTTGCTTTTCGCTCCAAGTAATTTTTTGCAAAATAAAATTATTTGATTATCAACTACAAGTTGAGCAGCGAAATTTTGAAAAGCTGACATTTCGTGCATTAATTATTTCTTCTTCGAAGCAATTAGATGTCACGATATGCAGTGCTTTTTCTGATCATTTAAACGACACAGTGAATAAACAGAAAGCTTTTCAATTGATCAATTTTGTTGATTAAATTCCGCCACACTACCAGGTCCTCTCGCCCTGACTTCAACTTCGACAACTTCTGTTTAGATCCCCTCAATTTCTACATTAAATGTTGCTTTTTCGCGATCCGACTGACACGAAGAGTTTCTCACTTCCAAGCTTTTTGTGTTACCAGTGTGAGAAGAAATCAGCGAAAAGAACGCTTGTTTCGGGTTCGGCTTCTTTTGGCGCCAATTCTCTCGTCCGTTTCTTTTCACTCGCGCGGCGGACTAAGTCAGGTTAGAGCGGCTGCGGGTAAATCTCTTCCTCGCAATGAACAAGCATGCTCGAATATTTTCCATCTGCATTTGCATAAGATGACAGAATACTATCGAAATACTTTCGAGACTATCGAAAGCTTTCAATGACTACAGCGTTACAAGCAGAATAAAACCTGCCAGTTTGCTCTTAATTGACACTAAATTCATGTAGTTTTGCGTATAAGTGACGGTGTATCTCTATCTGCTTTGTTCCTATTGTCTTCCTTCGAAAGCGTTCGTGATTGACGCTTATCTCTTCATCTAAACCTAGCACCTAGCACCATAAGCACCTAGCGCTTAAATACATTCTTGTACCCACAACACTGAAAATAAGAATTTATCACTAACAAGCTATAAAGTATCGCATCAACGTTTCTTTTTATCAAGTGTTACCTGACCTAGCGCAGGAACCTAATCGCTATAAACACTGATGGCATGTGATGCGGACATGATAGAGCAAAACAACGCCGCGGATCACAACAAAGTGTTACTCGATCGATTGGAACCTGACCTGGATCCCCAATTGCACCAGCTCCAAGAGGATATCAGAACTTACCTAGCAATCTATCAGCAGATAAGACCTTCGTTTGGTTGTTTCAGCTAAAAAATTTAGCCAAAATTGATGCGTGTAGTCTTCAAGTGAACACAGGAAGCGCTATAGATGTAATGTTAATTTTAGCTCCATTCGATCTCCAGGTAGAAACACGATACTGATATAATGAAGTTGAGTACTCACTCAGTTAATGGTTAATAGAGTTTCGCAATATTTTCCAAAAGTTTTGAACTTATCGGCCTCTTTCTTTGACCCCGCAGTCAGAGTGACTTGCTCGCAGTTTCCAAATCTTGCCTCAACACTATTTGCTCTATAATCACTTCAATGTTCCATATGAAGAGGCAGGCGACCGGCTCAGAACCTTTTTTTCTCTTTTCTTAATAAATAATCCAACCTGATTAGTGGGAGTAAAAAGATTCCGTCTTGTTCATATTGGCAATCACCGAGCTGAGATCTTATATACCAGGGCCAGTATGAACAGATGACAAAATTCCGCCCATTAGCGACTGAGCCGCCGACCTGTGAGCAGATTAGTCATTAATATTCCTAGAAAAATCAGGAAGATCGTAAGTGACTCTGCTCTGGATAGACGTGTCAGATAAGTCAACATTACTTAGGGTTGCTTGCCGCTCGTATCCAGAGGGTACAGATATAGCAAATATTGATCCTTGATTTGCTCAACTTTTACCAACCAGAACGAAGGAATAGAAAACTCAAACAGGTAACCCATCCTGAGCGCGGGAAACTGCGATAGCCGAGTGTAATTGGGTTTAGTTTTGCATCAGTTGTTGAGCCTTGAAGCAAATTCTCTTGAGCAAAATCAATGCACTGTAGATCGAGTTCGACACTCAATTGTCAAAGAAACTCGCCCTACCCTCCTTTTAACTGGATTCTTCTTAGACCACAACTTTTCTCAGGACAGTACCGTAATGTGAAAATGAAAAATGTTCCCCTCGTTTACAAAACTGTCATTGTAACAGTCACCATGATTAATACTAAAACTCTTACACAACTGAAATGGGCGAGGGTGGCTGTCTACGAGTTCTATCATATTTCCAGTCCTAGTCCGACGATCTTGGCAAATATTGTTTCTCTAAGGCATGTCTATTGATAACGTTTGGCTAGGGGTTTTGCTTTGCATCATTTTATTTCTCTACATCATGTGACGCACTGTGACGTAACTGTGACGCACTGCGTTTAGATTTAAATTTTGGCAGATCAGCGAAAAATCAAAGTTATTTAGCTTGCGACCTGCAAATTTTTGTTCAAACGCGGCTTTCAGGAGAAAAGATTCATTGGATAGCTTTTTCGATGAAACAGTGATCGCCATATATGCAGCGAATCCACTCAGGTAACTCTGACATTACTTTTGAAGCCCTTACGGCGATAGCGGTTACTAAGTGATATCGTATAATGCCACGATCAAAGCGGAAAGTTGTAGCTTCTCTGCTTGCCAAGCTTTAATAGAAATTGGCCAATTTCCGGCGATGAATTGGATGAAGATTGATCATCGAAGATCGGTGTTAATTGTCTTTCAACAGATCGCGCGCGCGGTTTGGCTAAGATCACCACAGAATGCTTGATTGTAACAACCAATAATTTTGTCTAGTACATGTCATTTCAGGCTCTGAGCGTCATGACGATTGCTATGCAACCAACTTTGTTCCTGCAGATCTTTAGTGGTTATTTGGTGAGTAAAACAGCTGTGTTTTTGTTTATAGCTAGGTATACAGTATGATAGCAAACAATACTATTTGTAAAGCAATCTAACACTGTTCCCAAATTGAAGGGTTGGAAGAATTAAGCTATACTGCCATTACCACTGGAAACGCAAACTCAGTTACTAAATTTAGTCTCTCTCTCTTAAGTCACACACCAGTGTCCACACATTAGTGTCTTTGAAGCCGTACTTTCTTGATTATTCGCGTAGTAACCGAGTTTAACCACTATTTTACACACTGAAGCCCTCAATCAAGACACTTCGTTTATTACATTTAGTGAATGAGCGAGACTTTGAATTTTCCACGGGAATATTGCAGATAATTAAAATATGATCCTACGCGCGGGTTGCAAAAGCGATGATAGTTTGTAGATTGTTCTGTTTACTCGTTGTGATATTATGCGTAATGTTACAAAAACATGCATTGCTAATCGAAACTAATGTCGCAAGTTTTTAATATAATATTTTGGCCATGATATAATATTTTGGCCATGAATTCTCGGGTCAGAAAAGAGCTCTGCGTATATTATTTCCGGCGTTGAGCTACAAAGACGCCATTGTGGCTGCAAACTCCACTCGCTTAAATGTGAGAAGAGACGAACTCTGCAAGAAAGTTTGGGACGGTATCTGTGTGCCTGGGTCACGGCTGTACCACCTTATTCCACCAAAGCGCGCCGATTGCCACGTTTATGAGTTGCGCAACAAAAACCATGTATCACTCTTTAAATGCCGGACCGAAAGATTTAAAAAATCTTTCTTTCCAACAATGGCGTCTAACGCCCAGTTCTTGTAGTCAAGCAAACCTAAGCGTTTTTTATTGGTATATAACTACTGACTCTTGTAATTCCCAGTCCCCTTAGACTTTTAATTTTAAAGTCAAATGTAAGATTGTCGTATTTTTTAAATAAATTGTAAATTCACATGTATTTCACCACTGGGGTGCTATTTTTGAATACTTTTAATAAACCCTTTATTATTATTATTATGAATAATTATATATTGTTTTCGTGAGGAAAAACTTACATTGCGTGACTCCACTTTCCTTAGAATAATTTGCTTAGTGATGTACTTAAAATGGCCCTTTACTTCCCCAAAGAGTCGGGTTCAGATTTGATCCAGTGAATTTGCCCAGCGTTTGATTTGTGCGGATCGTGGTCTTTTTATTCAAGGCTCAAAGTTTTTTTTTGTTTTTTGTTTTTTAATTTAAACTAGTAATCCCAGCAGGTGATACAATAATTTGGTATCATAGGTATTATCAGAATATTTTTATTACCTGCTTTTTCTTGTTCATATGCATCTAAAATTATGGGGTGGCCAGTACAAAAATGAGTATTCTGGTATTGAAATTACTTTACATGAAGTGACTTTATTTTAAGAAACTGTGGTGCTGCATCGGTGGGAGAGTATAACAGGGTAATTAAGTATTACCAATTGAGTTGGTAACATGAATTGGCCCTTGTAAAGAGTTTAAAAGCTGATGTTGCGAGTGTCAGCCCTTTGTCAGCTTTGAAACTCGTAATGGTGGTCAATTTACATTATATCAACTCAGCTGATAAAACAAAATTACCCAAGACTTAAAGATTCTGTACTTTGGTTCTCTGTAGCTGAACCATAGAGGCTCCAGTAAGCTTAATTTTTGTTAGCCAGAGTGTAAAGGGTTGAAGATGCAGTCCTGAAGCAACCCAATTACACAATCACATTTCTACAATCACCACTATATAGCAGTAACAGTTGAACCAGTCCTGTAGTAATTAAGAGGCACTGTATTAAGTGGTCACTCTGTATTAGGCAGTCAGTTGTCAAAGTATCAAAATTTTTGCAGGTAATTTAGTGTTAACAACTGAGTTGAAAATGTAAGTTAGCCACAGTAAAGGGTAAAAAAGCTGACATTTCAAGCATTAGTCCTTCGTCTAACGCTCAAATGGTCAGCTTTTTTACCCTTTACGGTGGCTAATTTACGTTTTCAACTCAGTTGTTAACACTAAATTACCTGCTATACTCTCCCACTGACACAGCACCACAGTTTCTTTAGAAACTTACCCCTTTATCAAATTTTTACCCCTTACTCTAAAAGTATTGTAATTTTCACCTCTATTAGGCAGTCACTTCTATCTAGCAGTTGTAGTCATCCCTGACTAAGTAACAAGGGGCTGTTTGTATTGTCTTCCACCTGTATTGAACAGTCACTTAAAGCTTAACCACTAAAAGAAAACGAAGAATAATCTCTTAACCTTTTAACTCCCAATGGTGATTAACATGTTGCTTTCCCTATAATATCCATTCATTAACCAGCAAACAGGTTATGAGAATACTCAAACTTATCAGGTAGAAGTTGTTATCTTGATCTAGTGCCAAATTCTGGCAACTTACATACAAGGAAATGCGTGGCAGCTAGAGGGAAGAACTGAAAATCAGATCTTGGGAAACAAAGGGTTAACCCTTTAACTCCCAGATCAAATTTGTAATTCTCCTTACTGTCAACAATTCAATGCTTATAATGTTATTCAGAGAATTCAGTATCGAAGTAGCTTATTATCCCCAAATTGAAATTTTTCTTTATTCTCATAACTTATCTGGTTGATATTGCATTGATATTATGAGGAAAAATTCTCTCTTGGTCACTCATGGGAGTTAAAGGGTTAAGTCTAATTTAGTCCTTGTTTATCTCTGGGGAACCAGTTTTACTCATTTGAGTTCAAATGTCCTCAATGCATTGCAAATTATCTTTCTTCTTTGGACTATTAAGATGAATATTTTGCACGAACATATCACACGTTCAAGTCATTTGCTGGTCAACCTGTATTAAGTGGTCTCCCTGCCATTCCTAATGGGTGCATGATGGCTTCATACAAGTTTGATTGTATGCTAATTATGATGTCTTGGAAATCAATTAGTTTTATTACTATGTTTTTTGCAGGTCGTCTCCACACATCGTTTATGTGGCCCTGATGAGTATCCTATCACTGGTTATCCAGGGGGGAAATGTTTCCCTTGTGCAAAATGCCAGGAGGGTCAAGGGCTTGTGCCAAAATGTGGAACTCACATAGTATACCAAGTTGACATAATTGATTGTAAACCTTGTGAATCAGGGAACTTCAGTGACAAGTATGACAGTTCTTCTTGTTATGTTTGTCATGAGTGTGTTGAAAATGAAAAAGTTACTGTGCCATGTAACAGCACATCAGACACTGTCTGCAGTGGAACTTGTAAGAAAGGATTTTATTTCAGCAAAAAGGATGGCACTCACAGCTGTCAGAAATGTTCACACTGCTGCTCTGATGACCAAGATGAGAAGGTAGCTGAGTGCAAAGAACAAGGCTTTACTGAATCCAAACAGTATTGTGCCCCTCGACCTGACAAAGATTGTGCTCCAACACCATATGCACCAACAGGAGGCAAACATGGATCAGATACTTCAAATAATAGCAAGCTATCACAGACAACTGTAATTATTTTAATTGTGGTTGGTACAGCAATTGCCTTGGCAGGAGTGTTATCTGCAGTGATATTATATTGCCGCAAAAGAAGAAAGAGAGAAAATAGGAATTGTCGGATTAATTGTAAGTTGAGCATGATTATGTGAGAAGTGTATCTCTACAATTTTGAAATAGAGTTGGTTTCCTTTTTTTACTGGTCTAGTAACATGAGTGGGAGAAAACAAGTTGAGTTTAATCATTTAAATAGATTTACAAACTATCTGAGACTGATTTTTCTGCCAACATCCTGCATGGGTTACTAAGTCAATTACTCAACAGAAACTACAGATTGTCAGTTTTATAAAATAGCTAGTACATGTTATGTGTTTACTATGACTATGAACAGTAGCTTTTTGAGAAAAACATGTACAGGTAGTGTCCTGGGTATTTTGTAATTCAGAAGTATAGGGGAAGCAACTTTTTCTGGGTTGTTTTTATAAATGGTAACTGTTATCATAATTATAATGATTTCTTTTAGCTGCCCAAAATAATGCAAGTGAGGGTGCAGAAGCAGAATCACAATATAAAGCAGCAACTGTACCTCTCAGAGACATGCAAGGACAAACTGTTGATGCTAGTGCCAGAGAAACATGTGTCAATGGAGATGAAGAAATCTCAGGCATGTGCTTTGTGGCTTTCTTTGCAAATAAGAGCTTAGATAAATGTAGCAGGAAGTGATGTGAATTGTGGCAATCAGTCTGAACACATTATGCATCATGCCCTTCTTCCCCATTAGTCAGTCATGGATTACTTTCAACACTCAGTTGAAAATTGTCCTATGTACTAGATATCATGGAAATGTTTTAGTTAATGTAGTAGTATGTTGTTTTGTTCCTGTAGCTTTGTTTGCGTAAGGGTGTTATGACTGAATTTGATTAAAATCTAAAATTTTTTTGTACAGACAGCGAGTAACATTATACTAATATGCACTCATTAGACAGTAGATAATCAGTACTGACTAAATTATTCAACTTAATAGCATCCCAGAATGTAGACACTCTGGTTACTTCCAGTCAAGATCAAGAAATTAGAAGGGCTCCTTCTGTGCCTGAGCCTGGTGTCTCAGGAGTTGTGACTATAATAACCAATAGTGTGCAACATGAAACGAGTGCTGAGTCAGTTTCTGGTGCTGAAGTTAGACATCCTAATAGTGACGGTGGTCGAAAGAATTCTTTAAATCGTTCACTTAGTAGGGATTCTCAGAAAAGTGGTAATTATTCAATGTATTGTGGTGATGTCAGAGGAGAAAATGATAATTTCAGTGTGTTTGACATAACAATGGCTTTCATAATCAAAAATGTTTTTGCTACATGTGCATGATGTAGTTTGGTATAATAAGAAAGGAATTTTGATAAAAATAATGCCTTAGTGAACCTTGCAATCATAATTGATCATTATGAAATGTAAATGCAATGTCACATAGAAAGATTTATTTATTCCAGCCTTTGAACATGATTTATAATTTTGTGCTGCACAAGTGAGCCCTTTTCCACTAGGATTGTAACTAAAGATAATTTCCCCAAATGGATGGCAATACATTTCTTTGTTTTTTAGTGTTCCTGAGAATTTGCAGTCATATAAAGACAATATCCCCAACATGGTTATTTCTTTGTTCTCAATTTCCCCACATTCCTGCTGTATAACATATTAAAAGTGCAACTGTAAAATGGACTATTAAGTATGTATCACTCGATCATCTCTAGGAATGAAATTATGACAGGTTAAGGTGAACGATAATTGAAACAAATTTTTTGCGAAGCATCTTAGTGGGTTTGAATCTTAAATTGTCAAATCTGATTGGCTCATTGCTCACTCATAGCCATTTGTGCTTTTCTTAGTGTACCATTTGCAGCAAAGGGGAAAAAAGAAAACCAGCAGAAAACTGAATAAGTTAATTATTGGTAAAGGCAGGTTCATATGGGAAAAACCTTGGTATTGAGTACAGCTTAAGACCCCCAGCAAATTTTTCCCCATAAGAACCTTCCACTGGGCAAATAACTTATATGTATTCCCTAAATTTTTATCTTGAACTGCCTATAGAAGTGAAAATTCTGATTTAGGCATGATGTACTACAAATCTTCATTTCTTAGGAGATGATGCAAGTGGAGGTAGCTACAGAAGTAGAAAGTCATCAATATCAAGCCTCACAGGAACTTTTAAGTAAAGCAATGAAAACTCCAAAAGGGATGGATACACATAACTTGGTGGTTAACATACATGTAGAAGAGGTGCAGTTACAAATTGCAAATTCTATATCACATAATAATTGTAGAATCATATTATTCATTATCTATGAACTATTTGTACACTGTACAGTCATGTGAGATTTAGTGTTACAAACTGACACTATGTGGTAGATGTAAACTTTAAGCTGCTCTTAGTTGACTTATACAATTACAACTATTGAAAGATTAACTTTTAAATGAAAGTTTGCTAAATTTACTCTTTTAATATCTCTTTTAGCATGTGGATGAATTAGAACAAGGTAAGATATTGTTTGACAAGACAATTAGAATATCTAGAACTCTCTGATTATTTATGATATGCTTTGTGGGATTTTAAGAGGCTGTGATTTAATGCAACATCATTCACTTGCAATTTCGTTTTTTTTAATTTGTACAATTTAAGTTACTTTGCCATCCACTCCAAAAGTTGCTTGAGCCTTTATTCCAAGATTGAATCTCTGACTGTTGGATTCTATTTTCTGTCCCACAAGTGTTTATTGGTTTTTTAATATTTATTAATATTTATTTGTCATTAAAATATGAATTCCATCTTTGCAATTAGATAAGTTATGCACAGTTTGAATTTATTCTGGTTTAGGAGCTACTTGGCCAATAACAATTATACAGCAACCAGAATCTCAAAAGGTAAAAACAGGCACAAACATGGAGTTTGAATTTAAATGCAAGGCCAACAGCAGACTGACCTATCAGTGGTTCAAAGATGGAACACTGCTTCGTTCACCAGAAAAGAATAATGAAGCCATATTGCAACTAAAATCTGTTAAAATGGGTGACTTTGGTTGTTACAAATGTTGTGTGAGTTGTCAGGATAATCCCATTGTTTTGTGGAGTCAGTTGCAGTAGACCTTGATGTGACTCCAGGTGAAGGAACAAGTAAGTACATGAGTTACCTATTTCAGCAGCTCTGCTTAGTTTCATAGCTGTCAGCAAGTTTTGTTTCTGTTGTAAAGGGAGGGGAAGGACTAGTTAGGTATATTAGTAATAATTGAGGTTTTTAATAAGTATACTGTAAAAACCCTAAATTAAGAGATGGAACAAGTAAGTATTTGGATATAGCAATCTCAAGTGTTTTATAGTTGAGAGTGTATTAGCTCAATATAATTATGTTTTGTCTTTTTGGGATCATTAGAAAGTGCTCAGTTGATGAATTGCAGTCAGTTATGTACATAGAGTGTAAACCACAATAGAATCATTAATGAAACAAAAGTGCTATAAATATTATGGTAATTGCACAGCTTCTATGTATTGGTGTGAAAGTTCTCTTGTATATGCTTACAACTTGAGTTTTAAAATAATGTACGTTTTGCTACACTGTGTTGTTGGTCTAGGGCCAGCTTTTGTTTTTGTTGTTGTGTTCTTTTCTTAAGCATGTAGCATGTTTAGTTTAATTCAGTCTCACAAGAGAAAAAGTAATATCAACTTTACAGGTATTTAAAACTGATGAGCATAATTTGAGCTATTTTAATTATAAGAATTACAGCAATAATTTTGTATATTTTTCAAATGAATATACTTATCTTTGTTAGAATACAAATCTCTGACAGATGTACAGGAACAAGACTTTCAAACCTATGAGAGAGTTGAGCGCCTATTGAGTCAAAAGAAGTACGGCTTAGGTGGATGGAGGCAGGTGGCACGTAAGTATGGGATGGATCAACTTGTCATTGATGACTTGGAGAACAACCCAGAAGCAGGGAGGAAAACATTAGAATTTCTCAAGTCGTCAGATCCAGAATTGAAGGTGTATGACTTTTGTAAGACACTTAAAGAACGCCACATTAGGCGTCTCGATATAGTACAAGAATTAAAGAACCACCTCTCAGCTCCAGGAATAGCCTTTGTGTAATTCAATGTAACAATTAATTTGTATGGATATTTTAGGTGAAAACAAAGCAGTTTGTGGCTTTGTTTATAGAATGTGAGACTCCATAGGCAGGACTTATAGGCAAGACAAAGGGAACAGACCAGCACTCTTATAGCAGGCTTAAGGAAATACTTGTTTGTTGATTAATCACAGTCATTAATCTGATAACTGTGTGATAAAATGTCAGACCATCCAATGCTAAGGGGATTACAGACTCAAGTATTTGAATCATCCAAGAATCTTGACAGTCAGCTCGAGTGTCAGCTTTCATGAGAAATTGTGATATCTTTTCAAGCTGAAAACTACACAACAACACAAACTTTCTGGTCAAATAAACTTTTTTGTTCAAGTGATACTAAGAATTGTTGTTATGAGAACGTCCAATTTAACACATTCTTAATTCTTAATTAGGAGCAACTCCAATAGAAAATACAGTAATTATCCTCAATAAACTTACTAAGGCTGGCTATAGTCTACATGTACATCTTAGCTTACCACTGACACAAACTCACGGTTTCTCCAAAGTTCCTTGAAATGAACAATCCAGTAGTTCTCTCTATAACAAAATCTTCACTCAGAAGATAACTTTTATGTTTGTTGTAAAATATATTTTGAGAAGTACCCAAGATTGAGTTACATAGTCAGGAATTACCAGTAAGTAGGTATGGTGAAATATGTCATACTGTTAAAATGTCTGGACTGAAAGTTCAAGTTCTTTATTTGTATCTATGTTTGCTTTATAATTCTTTATTTGAATTATGAAGCTAGTGTGAACATTAAATATTTTCTTTTTTTTTCTTTTTTTTTCTTTGAAAGTGGACACTACAATTTAATAAATAGCTGTGAGGAAAACTTGTAAAGAGTAATTCCTTCTTTCGAAATTTTTTTTTTATACAGTATTTTTGTATATGGAAATGATGACTTCATGTACTTAAGAGACTTTTGAAGCTCCCAAAGTTGTATAGTACTTGCATATAAGTTCAATTATTTTTAGAATAGAAATAGTTTTTGGTATCTACTTTATTCAATCATTTGACAGTGTAAATTGCCTACGTTCCAAATATGCAGACAATGTATGTCATATTTGATGTGTTATGCACGGATTTGTCCATACAGAAGTTGAGAGAGATGTTCTATTGTAGGTTTTTCTAGAAATCATTTAGAACTTGTTGAAATATTTTTATAGTCAAAAGCTGTAGCTGGTTTACAGTACTAGACATTTTTAGAATTTTGAACTTTTTTAGATATATTCTGTGGGTTGTTTGTTATAAAGCTCTAAACTATTAGCACGAGCTATTACAGTGTAATTTTTGTTGACAATAGAGTAAATACTGAAAAATTTCTCAACGAATAAAATGACTTCTACCAAAAAAAAAGCTGAAGTATAGATAATTGTGTACATATAGAGGGGCAGGAGTTGACGTCTCCTTTGTTAACTTTTCTAGCTTACCTAGCCTTTCATAGCCTAGCTTACCTTAGAGTGGTATCTGGAGGTTTCATCCTTGGGCAATATCGCTCCCTTTCCGACCTGTAAGAAATGCCCTCTTGTTAAGGTGGGTCAACAGCATCTTTGGGCCGTACCAGGAGTGATTGTAATATAGTCTCCGACCTGAAGAGAGTTGTTTGCGTTGTTGCCACTAGAGATAGCAATATTCACTGTGGGCTTGTACCAGTGGTGACTGAAGTTTAAGTCAGTAGCGATTATATACACTGTAGTCTAGTAGGTGTTATCAAAAGAAATATTTCTTCTTGGCATCATGAACTTATGAAAACCAATATCTCATAAGAGTAGGTGATCATGTTTTTTCACATCTTTTTAAATTTGTGATAAAGATTTCCCTCTAACTTCAACACCTAAATGATTGTCGATCAACTCTTAAGCACATGTAAGTTCTCCTTGCATCGGGTAATCTATTAAAACCGGCTAAGCCCGAATCCCCTTTTGGTTTGAGACCGCGAGCACGTTCTCATTGGTGCTGCAACAGGAGAGACGAAGCCCGCGCGTTTCGCGCCAGCGCGCGATCTACAAAGGTTCTGGCTGGTGCGAGCTGGTGCTTAGATCCCTCGCGGACCTCTCGCGCTCACTTTGCCGCTCCTGTCACGGTGCTCATAAGAGCTTATTGGCAGGTTACTTCGACGAGAGTTTGTTTCTTTGGCGGACTTGGTAAGTAAGTCCTTCGCCTATTTTGTCTTACATTGCTTCTGTCTTACATTGCTTCTGTAATTTGTAATACCCCGAACTTTTAACCGTTTATGTATCTGATATGGCAAATACAACAGTAACGAACGCACGAACAGCAATCAAACCGAAGAAGATAGAACCAGCATTTGACTCTGTTGTTCATTTATTTCCGATCGCCCGTAACAGTTAAGCACCCCCGGTCTGAGATATTATAATTCACTTCGTTTGAAACACCTGGGGATTTATGGGTAGGTTGAGCAAGATGCATGATTTAAGGACCTTAAAGAAAATGTTCGGTTTTTAAAGATAAGTAAACATTTTGTAGCTTGGAAATTTCCCACACGTTCATACACGGTGGCTACTTCCGGGTTAGATTAAAATTTATATGCTCAGGGTGAATGATTCAGTGCTAGACTAAGAGTAATAGCCAGAACCATTAACTCTATAGCGAGTGGGCTCTTGAAATAGAAATGGCCCTTGAACATTTTAATGCTAAGCACACCTCTCGAACGAGTATAAAGGCAACATTTGTTGTCAAGCTTTGTCGATCTGCTAAAAAGGTTTTCAGAACTGTGGTCAATGATATCAACAGGGTTTAACGGAAATTTACAAACCACAAAACCCATGTTTAATGTTTGTCTTAAATGCTTCGAGCTGAGGTTAGCTAGGGTTTGATGTGCCTTGTCCGTCAAATACAAAAACACCCAACCAACTGCTTTTTATGTGGTCACAGATTGGAAATGAAACAGAATGTCTTCCCAAGATGACTTACAGAGTTAGATCTGTGCATGTTGGACAAATTTGGTTGGCCATATTTTTGCCTCAACCGGCAGAAAGTGAAAGTTTCAATTGAGCCATTCTGTTAAATAACTTATCGAGCTCATATGGGTTCGAAATCCTACTGAAGTAAAGTAGTTTAAATTTTCTCAGTTTACTTTATGCATGTCTGTGAAAAATACAACAACCGATTCTAATTTTAACAATGGGTATTCCTTGGTGTGACGAAACCTGTCTGTGAAAATATGTCTACTATCAGTCATTAAATTCTAGACTAGAGAATTTAATATCCTATATGATCTTGTGGAGACGTTAATCCGCGAAGTAAGAAATGTTTCTGACTTACCCAGGTGATAACAAATCATTTGTGGGATCGCTGCAATCCCTTACTGTCAAACGTAGGGGTCTTTTCGCACTAGACTGGTCTCGGTTTCGCTAACGACCAGTTTGCAACGTCTCAAGTCCCTCCGCTAACGGCCAAATGGGTCATTGTTAAAGTCACTCATAAAAATTTCCATCTCGATTCGCCTGGATTGATGATTTGAATGAGCAATTAAAGCACTAGAAAGACGCTTAACCTACGTGAAGTATAATTATTCCGTCACCTGTAAGGACGTGAACAAAGCTAGCTGCTGATCCCTGATTGCTAGGAAAAATTTATCCTAGACTTTTCCTTCCATATATTTGAATAATCTGCAAATCCAGGAAGGATTCTTACTTAACGAACCTTTGCCTACCATTACGTCACATAACGGAAAGTTGTAAAAATACACACCCGACTTCTCTGCGAATTCACTGTCCCCACGTCCATTTTCGGCCACTTTAATCCCTTTCACCCTAACGTCATTATGTATATTCTCCATTCTGTTCTTTAGTTTTTTACTGATCCCACTGTTGTTTCGCGATTTCTACTCGTAATACCGCTGTAGCTTTAACCCTTCAATGTGTCCGTTTGGGTAAACAAATAACTAAAGCTTACATCACGAACGCACACAAATCGCTAAATACAGTAAACAGACGTTTGCGATCGACTTTGACAGCCGAAAGCCCTCGGAATAATGTATTATAATCGTTGTATCGTTGATACAGATTGTGGCTCGTAGACCTGGTTACCATCAAGAAAGGAAACTAAGTAATCCGATTTCATAGCGAAGAGATGGCTCACATATTTACGTAACAATAACCTAGTTCCGGGTGGAGAGATTGAAAGTGCCAAAAACTATTGGTGAGTGCCTTATTGTATTGTTTGTTTAGATGATTCTAGTTAACAGGGCTCTCCCAATGATTTGATGTCCCAAAAACTGCTTATTGTACGACAATAATATTCAACAAATTCTCAGCGCGCTTCGTATGATTTGTTCGTAAATCACGCGTGAAACGTGCTCGCTTTAAAACAGTCAAAACCAGTCAGCGAGAAATGTTATATGCATTTCAAAGGATATTTGACTAAAATTGACGGCCAGAACCTCTTAATAGCTCAGAATTCCATCACAAAAACATTTCAAAACCATCTTTTTCAGTTCTTGAAGAATCTAGTCCTAAGGATTTGACTAGCTGATAAAAAACGTACATGACGGCCGATGCCGAGCATACGATTACGATTACTAACAACTGAAGTAAATTTAGCGAGGATCATACATTAAATACATTGTTAACGTCGGTTAGGTTTAATAAATTCATGGTACTCGGCTGAAATCCAGCTCACCTAGCCGGAGTCATAATTTTAAGATATGCAAAGGAGATATGGCAACCTTTTGCAGTTGATAAGCATGCGTGATTCAGAAGTTTTTTCGCAAGCGTTGTTATTCACTTGTCTTTGTCTGGTTCTTTTGTGAGCATGAGTACTGATCTGTGACAGAGATAAAAGGTATCAAGAGTCAATTGTTAATGATCATGATTTACGACCTATTAAAGGTCACAGTGTCTGAATAATTTACTATTTAAAATACTATCGTGGGAACCTGGATATCAATGATCTTCAAAACAAGAGAAATTCTCTATTTGCTCTCCTCCAGAACATTTGTAAAGTATTTATTGCATTATAAATATAGGGATCACTTAAATTAATTCACAGTTTTCAAAGATTTAAAATATATTTGAACACTTATGGCTAGTTTGCTTTACAGTACAAAGCACGGTAAATTGTAAATTGGAAGACCGACTTCTGATTTTCTCGTAGCACAAGGCAAATCTAGCTCCTGGTAATTGTGAATAATCACTTTACTATTGTTGGCAAGGGTTGCGTAAAAACTGTAGATGGAGTTGTCAGAAACTATTATATATCGCAGTGCCGGGTTATGACAAACTCCCGATTAAGCCTGAGGCAGTCTAGGTGTGGAATAATCAGGGAATTATTGAATTAAGAGATCACTAGCCCTACACGATATTATCATCGAGTTAAAGATCAAACCCACAGACGCAATGAGTAAATTACCAGTAATCGGATCCTTGTGTTTGCGCAAAGATTTCTTATTGGCTACGGGCAAAAATTGCAAGTTGCCAGCAGCAAATAAATGGTGAAAGGTGTTTCGACCTCCAAAAAACCGATTTTGGAGAGAGATCAACGCTTTTTCACCGCAGTTTTATCATACATGGATAAAGATAATGTTGATACAAGGGAAGTGCAGGTTTTTGTTGCAATTACCGCGATATATGTTATAAAATATACCGATAAACTTCTCTCCTTGCTTAAGGTCTATTGTGAAATCGTCATCACGTACTAATCTTGACGAATTACAAAATTAGCCATAAATCGCTAAGAAATAGCTCATTTAAGTCTTTCCAGTTGTTTGCACTACCTGTTTTCATACTTGATAACGTAATAAATAAACAACTTACGACGTCTGAAAATATACCTCCTCAAAGGAGAGAAGTCGTTGTCAGCGTAGATGGAAATTATTTTTACCGAGCCATTGCTCTTTGGAAGGATGAAATAAGCGATGAAAAACATAAGGAAATCCCAAGGTGAAGTGATCCATATCTGATAAGACAGCGGTGAAAAATTGATAATCTCTCTCCAAAACCCTTTTTTGGGGGCGTCGAAACAACCTTTCGCTGTACATTTCTCACTGGCGAATTGCAATGGGTTTGCCCCGTACGAATCCCAGGAATCTTTGCGAGAGCACAAGAATTCGATTACTAGTGCCTAATTCATTCAAATGAGCTGCTAGCCTACGTGTACCCGTACCATGCCCCACAAGGGAAGGATCCCTTCCTTGCGTTTCTCCTTTGGGGTAAGTGCATGGCTTTACGTAGACTAAATAAATGCCCGTATTCTTAGTTCTCCTTTTCGTTTTAAGTGTGTCCATTTGCGTTTGGGGTTCTAGATATTTGGGTGTTATGAGGTTTTTAAATATCGAAATAAGTCTAGTCTAAAGTCAAGAACAAGCAGGAGAAACATAAAAGCATTGTCAAAAAGTATAGGTAAGAACATGATTTCGAGCACAATTTGATGTTAATAAGCACGATAATTTTTTCAAAGATGACAAATTGCACGATCCCGTCGGGCAAGTGCTATTTGTAATCTTTTAAAAATTTCCAAGTGCTTATTAGACCAAATTGCCAGAGAAACCATGTTATTACTTGTTAATAATGTACATGAACAAACATCACAGAAAGTCAAGACAGACGAAAGCATACGCGCGCTATTTGTAATATACACTCGTGTTACAACTTTGCACTTGTGTTACATGAGAATGCACTCGTTTCAGCTAATCAGAGGCGGGTAACTCTTTCATGTACATTATTAAACCCAGTATACCAACTTAATAAAACAACTTCTGTGGCTTAGGGGCCTTTCTGCACTTGCGGTCAAAACTAAAATTGTCCTGACAAATTTTTGTTTCGTCTGTTGCATCCGAAATAGAGATTTCAAAGCCGTCAAATTCCGTCATCGCCTGATCTGTTCACAAGACCTGCCAGGATAGTTGCCAAAGTTCCACCTCCAATTTCCAGGATTTACCTTAAGTCGCTTTAAAATTTTAGAATCCCCGAATTTTGCTGCAAAAGACAATTTTTGCCTTTCTAGTAACCTGATTTCAGTTCAATCACTCGCCTGTCGTAGCTTATACGACGAATGGTTGATAAGTTTATCACGGGTTTTATTTATTTAGTCGATTTTGCCAAAATTTTTACCCGGGACAACTTTTGTCGGCGGTGCTTCTGAAGATTTGTCCGCTTCGCCAAAATGTTGTAAAATGTTGGTGATGAAAGAAAATTTGTGTAAATAAACAACTTTGTCGCTAGAGCTGAAAGGCCCTCAGGAAATATGGAGAGGAAGAATGCATGTAAACATTGTGGGAAATTTTACAACTAACGTGGGTTAAGAAAACAAATTTACCGGTAGCGCCTGTTATAAAAAACCTCATCAATAACTGCAGTATCTGAATTTTAGGAATAAAACCCAGGTATTCACCCCCTGAAGATCTGTGAGCACAAAGGATATGCTCATTCACTGTGGTAAACTATAAACAAAGACCATAAAGAGATGCAGAGCAGCGGAGTACTTCTAGGCGCTGAAGGTAACTGCTACGGTGATCAATTGAAATTCTAGTCAAATGTCTTAGAATCAAGTTTCTACCATTTGAAAAAAGGTTGCACTTTATGGAGGGAAATTAACTCAGGGTTTGGAGACTTTTCTATCTCTATCATTCAAACTGTCCAAATGCTGAAAGATCATTGACTTTACTATTCGTATTACCCGAAAGCTTGATCTTACATGATTAAACTCAAATTCCCATGATGGCTCCTTCAAATAACTTTGTAAGGGAATGTATTTACAGCATTTTTCAGCTTTTCATGAAAGATTTGTTTGATGGTAAGTTTGTGGTCTCGGTTGTTTCGCGGTCCTTTGTTCACCTTTTTGGTCAGTGTTTTGTTTAAGAGTTAACGGTTCGGTTGCTCAAGTTACTTGTTTAATTGATTTGTTGATTGGCAGGATACTTAGTCATTTGGCTATATATATATATATATAAGTTAAAGAATTAATGAGGACGCATCAATTCTCCGTGACTCTGAGTTTCGTTCATTTACATATATACATACATACATATATATATATATATATTTCCTTTTCTCATCAAAACGGAAATGGACGATGTGTATTTTTCTCTTTGAAGAAACAATACTTTTTTTGTTGATGTGCGAAGGAGAAACAAAACAGCTATCGTACTTCCCTTTTGAAAAACTTCCCTCTAATTTATTCTGTCAGCACTTTTTTAATGGAAAAAGAAAAGGTGTATATGTCTCATATAATTTCAAATTGCAACGCTTTTGAGAAAGAATGTGCAAATAAATGTAAGTTTATGTTTCATTTTGTTGAATTTTTCTCCAATCAAGATTCTGCAGAGAGGAATGATCTTCTCAGGAGAGAATTCGAGGTTTCTGTGGGATCCGCTCAAATGCGTCTATCGGAAATGGGACAACTTATTGGTAAGGGTTGGCTGATGCACATTGAAGGCATCGATGGCCTAAATTACGTTTAAACAATAAAACATTAGCGGGCTTTCTTTCAATTTCTGTTCACCGAAACTTCTTTACCCAAAATTATAGAGTCTTTTGGCAAAGAGCTAGAAACTTTCAAACAACGCAAAAAGAAGCTCTCAGAGGAGATGGTTGAGCTGACAGGTAAGGGAACATCAATCAATCAATCAATCAATCAATCACTTTATTTAACGTGGTCAGAATGCTTAGCTAAAAGCTAGTTTACAGGTACGCCACGAAATAAAAAGAGAAAAGGAAATTATAAAGCCTTGTGAAGATATATACATTTAAATAAGTTAAGATTAAGAACTAGCTAATATTAAAATATAAGAATTTAACAATGTAGTCACCAAGTAAAATGTATAAAATGTAATCATTAAAAACAGTAAATATAATCAAGGATAGATCCTCACCGCACTAGAGTCCTGTGAGATCTAATGTTTCTAAGTAATTTTTAAAAGTAGTAAATGTTTGTATCTTTCGAAACTCGTCCGGTAAAGCGTTCCATAATTTCGATGCAGCATATCTCCATGATCTTAACCCGAAGGTTGTTGATTTTACTTTTGGGAGGTCCAGTATTGTGGTGCCCCTAAGGTTATAAGTGGAGCACCTTACTGTTATAAGATGCAGTACGCAAGACTGACTTTTATCCTAACTCCTATTCAAGCCCAAACACATGGATGCGCTTTTTTTGTTTTTGTTTTTTGTTTTCTTTTTTTTTTCAAACAAGCATCGACGGCGAGGGAAAACGAGTTAATGACGAACGAGCTGCGCACCTCCATGGAAGCCCGTAAACAGCTGATAACGAATAGAATTAGAGGTATGAAGACATCAAAACGCTCAGCTTTTTTGTGGTTGTTTCCTTTGATTTGCAACATTCATTATAATTTTCTGCCCTCAGAAACTCGCGGTGGTGATACTTTACTAAGATTTCGATGAATTGTAATAACTCTCATTCAAGCCTAGTTCTTTAAAGCTAATTAATCATTTTGTTTTAACTCAAGCATCGACAAAGAGCGAAAAAGAGTCACTGAACACCTCCATTGAAGCCTTAAAACAACTCTCCGAGTTGATGAATGAACTTAGAGGTAAGAAAGCAGTGAAACGCTCAGTTTTTTTGAGCTTTTTCTTTGATTTCAGATAACTATTGGAAAACATTCTGTCCAAAAGAACCCTGATAATTGTACTTATACAATTGAGTATTTGATATGTTTGATTAACTCTCATTTTAGCCAATTTTTTGACGACAAATCAATCGTTTCCTTTTGAACTTAAGTGTCCACAGAAACGGAAAAAGAGTTACTGACGAAAGAGCTGAAATCATCCAGAGAATCCGTAAAACAGTTTTCGCAGGAGATCAATGAACTGAGAGGTAGGAGCGAGACATAAAAATTTGCACCTCTTTTTTTAAGCGTGTCTTTTGACTGATTTACGACGTTAAATAAAAAATTATCTGCTCACAAAAACCGATAATTGCATACATTTATTGTCATCATTCCCAGTCAAGACACCTTCAATATAGTTAATAAAATGTTGCTCTTTCAACTTAAGCATCAACGGATAGGGAAAAAGAGTCACTGAACACCTTTAAAGAAGCCTTAAAACAGCTTTCACAGATGATGAATGAACTTAGAGGTGAGAAGGAAGTGCGGAAACGCTCAGCTTTTTGTGAGCGTTTCCTTTGATTTCAGTCAACTATTGGAAGATATTCTGCCCACAAGAACTCAGTAATCGTATAAAATTGAGTCTTTGATGTATTTGAATAACTCTTAATTTAGCCAATTTCTTGAAAACAGATCAATCGTTTCCTTTTGAACTTTAGTGTCCGCAGGGACGGAGAAAGAGTTACTGATGAAAGAGCTGAAAGCATCTAGAGATAGGGAAAAAGAGTTATTGAACTCCAAAGAAGCCTTTAAACAGCTGTCAGAGATGATGAACGATCTTAAAGGTGAGAAGGAAGTGAAACGCTCAGCTTTTTGTGAGCGTTTCCTTTGATTTCAGATAACTACTGGAAGATATTCAGCCCTCAAGAACTCGGTAATCGTATACAATTGAGTCTTTGATGTATTCGGATGACTCTCATTTTAGCCAATTTCTTGACAACAAATCAATAGTTTTCTTTTGAACTTAAGTTTCCACAAAGGCAGAAAAAGAGTTTCTGACGAAAGAGCTGAAATCATCCAGAGAAGAAGTAAAACAGCTTTCACAGGAGATGAATGAAGTGAGAGGTAGGACCAAGACATAGAAACTTGTACCTCCTTTTTTAAGCGTGTCTTTTGACTGATTTACGATGCTAAACCAACAATTATCTGCTCACAAAAACCGGTAATTGCATACATTTATTGTCATCATTCCCAGTCAAGACACCTTCATTAAAGCTAATAAAATGTTGCTCTTTCAACTTAAGCATCAACGGATAGGGAAAAAGAGTCACTGAACACCTCTAAAGAAGCCCTAAAACAGCTTTCAGAGATGATGAATGAACTCAGAGGTAAGAAGGAAGTGAAACGCTTAGCTTTTTGTGAGCGTTTCCTTGGATTTCAGATAACTATTGGATATTCTACCCACAAGAACTTGAACTCGGTAATCGTATACAATTGAGTCTTTGATGTATTTGAATAACCCTTTTTTAGCAAATTTCTTGACAACGAATCAATCATTTCCTTTTGATTTGCTTTCAGTGTCCGCAGAGAAGGAAAAAGAGTTACTGACGAAAAAGCTGAAATCATCTAGAGAAGCCGTGAAACAGCTTTCACAGGAGAATAATGAACTGAGAGGTAGGACCGAGGCATAGAAACTTGTACCTCCTTTTTAATCGTGTCTTTTGACTAATTTACGATTTAACAGTTTCAGAAGCATTAACAGCAAACACCAAGGGGCTCGTGAAAATGGTTTGATAAATATGGATTTATAGATATTAAAAAACTCACGCTTCCCTCGTATAAACAATACCTAAAACCGTTAAGGATAAAACAGCGGCGAAAAAGCGACTATTTATCTCCAAAATCGTTTCTTTGCACGTCGAAACAACCTTTCCCCACTTGCAATGCTTGCCCCGTGGCCATCCCAGAGATCTTTGCGCAAACGCAAGGATCCGATTTTTGGCAACTTATTCATTGCCGTCGCTTTTAATCATTGACAATGGTTGGCTTGGTAATTAAGGAAAGCCAAAAGATTTCTTGTCTCTGTAACACAACCATTATTCAGGAAATCTAGAAATCTACAAAGAAATGTGATTTTGTCTCTGTTCCTTTCTTTTAGCGGCAGCGCCATCGGATGAATATGATGAAACAGATTCTTCAAGCCCGACGCTTTTTAAAAAATTTAAAGGTAACATTTTTAGAAGCAACCTCGTCAAAAAGTGTGTGAAATGTTATGTGAATAATAGGGTGACAATTCTCACGGTGCATTCACGTAGTTTTATCAGTCATTTAACTTAAAAAGTTCGTACACATGTGAGATTTGCCACATGAAGAAGGCATGTGAAAACATATGAAAAGCATGTGAATAATGTTAGCGATCCTTTTCACTTTCTTTTCTCGTAAATGCGTGACAAACCTCAATTTATAAACCAGCGGTGGAGTTACATTTTCACATAATTTTCAAATATTCATCAAACAAATTTCACATAATAATTGTGCATGGATGTCTCATGTGGAAAGAATGCACAAAGGTCTTATTTCAAAAGAATTATTTTGCCGGCATTGTTGTTTGCTAGTGCTCTGTTAATCATAGCTCTCTTAACCAAATTCAGTTACAAATGTTTTCGTGCAGCCTATTCATTCCTGAGAGAAAGGAAAAAGTCGATTACATTCTGATTCGCTTTCTTGGAAGCTAATTAAGCCGTCGTGATTTGAGAGTAAATGGTCAGTTAAGAAAACTATTGCTGTCATAACAAACAACGTAATGTCTAATAAAAAGACGTGATTTTGATGATACTTATTGGTGTAGCTTGAACCAATCCGATCAAATTGAGAAACGACCTAACCAACTTCACAACTTTCGCAGTAGAATAACGAAACGTCATGTTTTAATCTTGGTACTTTTTATAGTGAAAAGTTTTCCACACTCCTGCAGAAAAATCACGTAGATATTATGGGTATCTGCAAATCTGTTGCAAGTTTGTCTTACATATACGTCGTTCGCAGGGCTGGGTGTAATCCGTTTCGCTAGCTCTTGCGCTCGTTTTTTTTTTTACATGCTTGCTTCAAGTAGCTTCTGACCCCTACAAAGAGTTTTGATTTGAATTGAAATTTCACAGACAATGGTAATTTTGACAAGCTTATCTCAGGCTATCTCAGCTATCTCGACCACCGCCTTTCCCCCGCCTGCTCTTTTAGTTGTCTCCATTGAACAAAATCTGAACCTGGTTACACAAAGCTGAGACAGAAAAAGGGAAAATGACAACGATTTTTTCTTCTGTTGTAGGCTTCTTTGTCTCAAAGTCATCCACAGCGGGAAGGCGTTCACATCAAAAAACTCAATTGAAAGAGCTTGAAGTAACTTCAGAAGGTATTTGTTTTGTCATTTCGGAATCATGGAGAGCTCCTTAAGTTTTATTCTTCTTTCAGTTTCCTTTCAACGCAGGGGTGGATGTATATTTGACTTTGTCTATACATTGTTTCAAGAAGCATTCATTTTGTTAATGATTCAAAGATTCACTAATAATGCAATGACGTGGTTTGCTGTCTGTGGCTAAATCCTGCTGTAATCGGAGTCATCTTTTGGTGGAACCTGTTAAAACACTACATTTTGCATAAAGAAGGTTGTGAATTTGAACTTTTTACGCCCCGGTAGGGATCAAATTCTCTTACTGTACCATTTTCTTTTGGTTTGAGTCTACTTTCTACTTCCCAAAGACCAACCATCGTGTATCAATGCGGGTCAAGCAAACATACAGGATTGCGCAAATGAGCGAGGAGAGTGCGTTTACCTAGTTGTACCTCATCCTTAAACCTCTTCTCGCTTTCTACTTGTGAAAACATATCCCTCGAGATGCTTTCTTGCTAAGCTAATAAATTAAGCTTATTCAACTTAAGCTTCGACGGAGAGGAAAAAAAGAGTCCCTTAAGAAAGAACTGGAAAACTCCGGAAAGGCAGGGAAACGACTTTCAGAGGAGCTGGATGATTCAAGAGGTTAAGGACGCAATGAAACGTTAATTTTATGGACTAAGCATTTCTTTTGATTCATGATCGAAATTGAGCCAAGTTGAACGAATATCTGTCCATAAAGATTGGTAATGGTACACAAGCATTAAATTTACTGTGACATAGTTCCCAATCAAGACACCTTCATTATAGCTAAGAAATCGTTGCCTTTCCAACTCAAGCATCCAGGGACAGAGAAAAAGAGTTACCTACAAATGAGCTGCAAGCCCCCAGAGAGGCCAGAACACATCTTTCGCAGAATAAGAGTGAGCGTAAAGGTAAGGAGCTATTGAAAAGGTATACCCTCTTGTGCGAGACTATCACTCTTTACAACAAACCCGACATTCGTAAGTCCACTGACTGATGGTCGACCGAAAAAGCCAACCACGACAGTTCTAGGTCACTTTTAAATCACGTCAGTAGCTTTTTACTTAATACTTCGCCGTAACTCTCAATCGTAGTTATCTTTGTCGAGTTATTGATTTTTTGGTTTGACTTCTGCTCTATATAAAGCTTCAGGCAAGAGACTAAAAGAGGAACAAGGGAACGTCAAAGAAATGGAAAAACTTAGGGGTAAGGTTTAACTAGCAATGGATTGTATCGGCGCGATAACGTTTGTCGGCAACTTTCTTTAAGATTCACAACAATGGTGCGGCAAAGTAGAATATAATGGGCAGAGACTGCAGAGAGAAGGCTCACCGCTAGAAAAGGACGTGAAGATGAGGTCAAACGAGATTTCTGCAGGGTGCTTAGGGATTTTTGAATATACATCCGAATCATCAGATTGAATTGGTTTGTTTCGCTACACTCTATGATTTATCTGAGGGGCCTCCAATCATGATTTCGTTCAAAAAACTAAATTAAAAAGAAGAACCTTTTGAGCACTTGTTGCTTTAATATTTCACAAGCTCCTTTTATTTTCCTTAATAAGCTCACTTTTGCTAAAATGAGTTTTTTCGGTTTTGATATCACGACAAAGGAAACTTGTTCTTGTAGTGCATCTATTCATCCCCTACTTCTTTTAAATAACAAATATAGTAGGAAAATATTGGATCGTGCTCTTTTGTCATCTGAAACGGAACACTGAAATGCCACGCTATGATTAGTTTGACGCCCAATTTTTTAGTTGTGCGAGAGATTAGCAGCACTCTTCTTTAAGAACAAGCACCAAGTCGTTAAGGTGGTAATTCGGGAGTGCCCGAAGGTTCATCCTTCCTGTGGCATAAGTATAAGTATTCAGGATATTTAAGCATTTAACCACACTTTCTATCACTGGGTTGCCAGGATGTTGGTAGAACAAGTCAGAGAAAAGTTTGTAAACCACAAGGCGTAGTCAAGTATTTTCAAACTTTTTGAGTGTTCTCCCAACATTTTAAGTGGTTTATTAGCCAGTAGAAAGTGTCGTTTATTGCTTCTCTGACACAAGTAATTGTGTCAGAGATAATGATAAATTTAACCTTATTTTGCGATCAAGCCGCCGATTCTCATCAAACCGGTCAGAAAAGTGCGATAAACCAATCAAAGCGTCGGAAACTGAATGAACTGCCGACCAGAAAAGAGAAGGTCTGATTGATTGATCGCTGAATGAAAGCAATAACACGGAGAAACTGAGCAGAAATTGTTATGAAAATCAACGAGAAAGATCGATATGTAAAATGACGACGCAAATTATACCGTGCTACTGAAGAATAATTCAATTTGGACGCAGAAAATGCGATTTTGTGATCAGGACTGGCCTACAGCTTACAGTTTTACTGAATGAAAAGGAGGGAAAGCTCGACAAAAATATGTACTGAGCTTTTCAACGAAACTGACTCTTTCTATGTCAAAGGTGGACTGTTGTCGTCGTCTGAAGAGTCAAATATGAGTTTTATTTGTTTATAAGTTTGTTGTTGTTGCACTGGCTTTAAACCAACTTTTACCGGAGTTTTTTGTAGTATGAACACCCAGATAAAAAGGTGCATTTTGTTTGTTCATGGACTCTGGTCTCTATTCAGAATAGATCTTGAATAGAACAACAGGATCTCGTTCGCGCGGTAAATTTGGAGTCGCGAAAGCTTTAGGTTTGATCGGTTGGACATTACGTGGATCAGCTCCACTTCTAGTTTTAATTTGTCTTTCAGAAAAATGTAAATGGTCAGCTCCATCTGCATCTTTCATGAGGTGAAGGTCTCCCCAGCACATTTGCTGATGCTCTCCACATCTTCGTAGACCAAAAAGCAGTGAGTCGAAGAGCCAGAGTGTGTTTGTCACTGTTTCTCCGTTTGAAATTCCTAGGAGGCTTTTTTAGCAGAGAATATTGATCCCATCGCTTAAGGCTTCTGTTCCTTTAGGTTTATTTCCTTTTCCCTCCTTTTTAAGCTGCTTGTTTATAGCTTCAAGACATTTTCTTGCGCGTTCAAAAGCAACGTCTTCGATGACACTGACGGGATCATTACATTCTTTCAAATGTCGATTAAACTTGAAAACAGACCTCTAAGACTTGGAAGTTCAAAGTCTGCCCTCTTTTCACTTCACACGAAGGATAAACTCGCAGATGTATTCGTTCAATTCTCTGGCTTCGATGTCTTCAGGATTTCTTTGCTCGTGTCTTTTTTTTATCTCAGAAATTCGATGAGTAGCTTCACATCTCGTGAATTTTTGCTTTGTTGCTCGATAATGTAGTCGTCAATTTACTTTCCTAAATGCTCAAATCTCGTGGATCCTTGAGCCATCGTTAAAAGTACAAGTATTGTACTTTTGGTACGAAACTTTTCTCGCTATGGAGGTTTGACAAGTCTCTCCTAATTGGACGAATCGCATCACGCACTAGTGAGAAAGCCATTTTGCTGCTGTGACTGGCTATTAGAATTTTTAAGCGAATTTTCTAATGAAGAGAACTGTGAGTAATTCTCAGTATGTATATAATATCTAAGATTTAATCTATTTCTTCTGATATTTTGTTTTAGCTGTGTCGCCATCAAATGAATGTGATGGGCCAGGTGCATCAAGGCCAACGCTTTTCAGGAAGTTTAAAGGTATCATTTCAAGAGCTGAGCTAAACTGTCAAATGGCGTGGGAGAAAATTTGACTGTATTTTTTTTTATTTCTAAGAGCCGTCGTAAATATTCCCATACAAACTCTTATAATTTTGCTATGACTCTCATTTCGCAAGATGATCATCTCACAGGTGGAGCTTGGGCCGCCTGTGCTTCCGCCAAACATCTTAAGGCACGATTTAGTCAACTGATGCGTAAGATTATTGTATTTATATGTCTCTGACTCCCTTAAAACCTATTTTATATAGTTTTGTTCTCGGCTTTGCTATCAACACATGATGTGGACAGGAGAGGTTGAATATAGGTTTTTAATTAACTGTGTTTGAGTCCAACTTGACCAAGATATGATTTCTCTGACTCGCAAAATCATTACTCCACCGTTTCGCAATTAAAACACTGTGTCCGTCGAGAAGCCCTTCTGTCCAAACCAGCCATTTTTAACGTATACGGCGAAGGTTACCCATACAAATCATATTTTATGTGGATATGATGGTCGCAAAAATGAGGAAATTACAAGTGCATTTTCCTTTGTTTCTTAGGCTTTTTCGTCTCATCAAAGTCAACACGACAGGGAAGGCGTTCACATCAAAAAAAACCGAAAGAGCCTAAAAGTAACACCGAAGGTAATTTTTAGTCATTTCGGCATAAAAGTTTTCCTCACCTTCAGGAAGTGAAGTCATCCATGTTAAACAGTATTAGGATGAGACTAGAAATTATACATATATTCTCTTGAATGAGACCAGTTTGTCTAGTCTAGTTTTGTTCAGTAAAATGCTGAACATTGTCTGTGGACAGTAGCTGTTTTATAGGTTCGTTTCGTGAAAATTAATCCATTTGTTATCACAAGAGACTGCCCAAAACTATGAGTCTCTATTTGCATAGAAGCATGTTCATAAAAGATATTTAGAAATTCAGAATCCACTGCTCAGGCGCGTATTCGGAAGATCCCATGCATCACCTCGTTCTCATTTTCAAATTCACAAACAAAAAGTTCAAACTGAATGCTTGAAATCTTCTCGAGCCGAAAAAGTTACCCTCTAAACTAAATTTAGACTGGGTCTATAAATTTGAAAGATAAATTCGATTTTCAAACTTTCATTAAGTTTCTCAGGAAACTCATAGCGACGTGAAACAGCCATGTCATTTCGAATTTTCATTTATAATCGCAGCTTCTTCAGGAATGCAGCTGTTAGCCGGCCCATCTCATGAAGACCATCTTGAATATGTTCAAGAGCACGAAGAGAGAACAGACAGACTGGAAATTTTAGGAAGTGAAGAAGTGGAAATGGACATTACTGGTAAATTAAATTTAAAGGTTAAAAATGCTGTAGAAACCATTAATGATGTTCAACGCCACCTTTGACTAAAATTATACATGAACGGATGACATTTTTAGTGCACTTTGAAAATGGTCCGTGCACGGTTCGTCCATTCGATATTTTCGTTTTCTGTTCTACAGTCGACAGCAAAAAAGCCCATCCACAACATTAGTTCAAGTTTTTTTATTACAATTTCACCAATGTATAACCTGATTCTACCTAAAACTCATCGTTTAAGTTGAATTCTGAGTTGAACCACTTAGCCTTGAGTTCCTTTAACCGCTCAAGGATCTGTTTTATTATTTACTTTTGGTAGCTCAATGGAGGACGCTTATTCGAAACAGGGTGCTTACTAAGGGCATGGCGCTTATTTCTTTAATAAGAAACAGCAGAATGTGCGAAATAAGCCTATGCTGTTTATCTGAAAGGGATTAAGAAGACTGAAAAACGGGCGTGTTACTAACTAGAACGAATAACCAAGTATTCGTCGCAAAATTTTAAGCACAGTCATTTGTTTGAAGGAGCGGTGCACTCACTTGAATATAATAGTTGAGAGACTGAGACTACGGCCACTATTTTTATAATAGTGCTTTAAGTGAGCAGTTAAAGGAAGATGAACCACAGTTGATCTCCATGTAAATGTACTCTAACAGTACTATTGCTGATACAGAATATGGGCGTCCATTGGAATAGGGGTGCTTTATTTGGAGAGGGGGTACTTATGGGAACGAGGGCGCTACATCGAATCACTTCGGTAATTTTGCCAACATCGTCTTCAAGCCTTATTGTTTGTTACGCCGACAACAACAAAAGCGGAAGATGAAATGGCGCTTAACCTAAGATGCAACAGATTGTTCTCTAGACAGAGCGAGTGAAAGCGACGGACAGAGGTAGTCATTATCATCTGATCAAATTACCAGACATAAAAGGGGTCTCAATGGGGTGACAGTTAATTCCTTACCATTACAGTTAAAGAAAAGTTGTCATGATGAAATTTATTTACGACTTATGATTAATTATTGCCAATTTTTACGGCTAACAGCTAAGTTTTTTTACCGTTTTACGACCAACGCTCGAAAAAACTCGTTGTAAGTCAGTATTCCCTCAGTTCAAGCCCTCACGGGATTAGGGAACACACTCAACAAAGCGTGTAATGAACCAAGAGTCAATTGTGACTCCGTGCTAAACGTAGCCTGGTGGAATTTGTGAAGCAAAAATCTACAGGTTATTCTGAATGAAAGTAAGTACGACTAATGAAGTTAACCGCTTTTATTAGCAAACAAAACTGTATGGAGGCACAGCGAAATGCAGTTTAGTTTCTTCCCTTCTTCCCCAATAAATTTCATAGAAATTGTTAGTGTCCACGCCTTTTATTAAGGTTTTGGCTTTGGTTTAGCTTCCTCAGGAAGGTGTAAAGCCAGTCCTTCCCTTGTTAAAAATGCCGACTCTGGGAAGCGGTGCTACAAGGTGATGGACAGTCAGAAAGGTTTGGAGAGTGACGGAGAGAAACAAAGCAGTGGTAAATGAAAACATGACTTCCTCATATTTTGATACTTTTTTAGAGACTTATGGTGTTTATCTTGTAAAATATATTCATGAAACAATTTAATAATATCAATAACGAAAATACAAACTATGTTAATGACAATGAGAAGATTAATGGTAACTGACTGTGAATATATGAAAATCATATATGTAACTGCGGATAAAGAAGTGAATGTGAAAGCGATCTTCGCAGTTAAGAACACTACTCGAACAGTAGTGAAAATAAGGCCTGAAAAAAATTCAGCCTTGTACGGGAATTGAACCCATGATCTCTGCGATACCGGGCAGTGCTCTACCAACTGAGCTTACAAGCTTTGCTTTTATTTGATTGTGTGCATGCGAACGTGTAAGCAAATAAGACTGCATTTTGACTAGTATATATATATATATAAGGGACAATGGAAAAATATTTTTGAAAAATTCATTTCCAAAGAGGAGTAAAAAACTAAGGGCTAAACTCTTGCTTCTTTATCTATCTTCAGGAAAGGTTCCAACCAGCCGTTCCGTTAATAACCATGTCAGAAAAAATCATTTTAACGTAGAAACCGCAATGGAATGCAACCAAACGACAGACAGGCAGCCAAGCTTCGGCGGTGACGGAACTTTGCAGCAGATTTCTGGTATTAAAATATTATGTTTTTAATAATTTTTTTTTTTAACGAGGTACACGAGAATATTGAGCGTACAGACGATTTGGTCAGATTCAGTTGCAATTACATCCAAAAACATGAATCGGAACTAACTGACCAAAATTCAAGCCCTCGAATACTTAAGATTGTTCTTTAGTTGGCATCAGTGTAAGACCTTCAAAAAGGCCTATACTGTCTTCATTTCAGTTCAGATTCGGCAGAGGTCAGAGAGGAAAAACAGTTATTAGAAATATTCAACCTTATCTTGCCAGGGTTTTTCATTTATCAAGGGGCATATTGTGGAACAGATGTTTACAATCATTGCTGTAAACAAGTAAGTGTAATAATACATAGCTTAGACAGGCCAGGAATATAGCTTTAAAGAGGCGACGTTCCCCCCCAATCCTCTTCCTTTTCCCTCTGTTTTCTTTATTTTTCTTTATTTTTGTCTCTCGCAAACGTCAATCATTCAGCACCTTCATTTACTAATGGAATACACTGTGAAGGCTACTGGCTAAATTTAGTGGAATATATCCAATGCATTTTTCTTTATTGCCTACTTTTATTGTTTCTGCATATTGTTATTTTCTTTTCTTGAGGAAAGAACGAGGGTAAGGAAAAGAATTTTAGAATATTTATTCTGGTATGTTTTCTTTACGTGCATACGGTGTGCAACGACAATAATTCCACTTATAAATTGAAATGTTCCTTCCTCAGATATGCGGTAATCCATCACAGAGCACAGGTAAAAGGAAGTAAATTAACGTCAAAAGGACCAGTACAAAGTCAGATTTATGACTGAGCAGTAGTCCTTTTGACTTTTGTATGGATTTTTAACTGTTTACGTCTTGTTTGATCAAGATCGATCGCTCACGCTGTGAACGTGGTACCTGAAATTTTAATTTGCCTAGGTAAAGACGCATGCATTAATGCCCTATTTAAACGGCTGTTTTGCACAGCCTCCCTTCGAGCGCCCGAAAAACTATGCAGGTAATCGCAACTTTTCACCTCAAATTTTGGGGCTTTGTTCTCAAACTAGAAGTATTTACATGGAGCGCTCTCTTTCTCGGATGTTACCCCCTTGTTCACAGTTTTCCTATGGGGACATGTCAGCTGGCGACTAACAAATATTTAATTGTCTCCGTGTAAAAGCCAAAGGAATATCAGTCTATGCTTGCAGTGTTGTAATTAGAATATCGTCGGATATGCTTATAAAATGATTATTAATGAAAACAAAAGCTATATCTTGAATTGAACTTAACAAAAAATTTTTAATAAAAAGGAGAGGTTCTGATTAAATGGTGTTGTTTGAAAATAAGATAAATACTCATTTTCTAACAGTTCTTCTTGTTATTTTCAGGACAACTTTTACTATCTCGCTCTGCTCAAAGTCCATCTTCACTACAACATGAAATAGACATTAGGGACCTACCCAACGTAATATGACAAGCCTTCGTGGACTTCTATACAAAAAAATATACAAAATTTTTAAACTTCAGTTCGCTGAAAGTCACTTCCAGTGTTTTCTAGTGTTCGTTCATGTCAGGGAAAGAGAAAATTTATTTTCATTCAAGAGTACAGTTGGCGAGTCTCTTAATCACAAATTAACCTAGACAAGTATCCCCCTTGTATAAAAGAACAAAAAAACTTCCCCCAGTAAATTCAAAATATCATGAGTGAAGAGGCGCAGCTTGTTTAGTCTTTTTTTCACCAATGCTCTTCGCCAAAACTATTATCGAAGAACCTCTTTGGGACTCCATGTCTCATTTTGCCCAAAAGAACACTTAAATTCACGTATTGGTCATGAGGATTCTATATCGGAAGTTTTATAACGTGACGGACAAATTTTCCAGTCAGTTAGAGTAGCAGCACTTAACAAATCAACAAATCGGTAACTAAAGCTTTGACATTTACCCTAGCAGAGCGGAATAAAGATCGAGCAGCAGCCCAAATCTAAAAAACAACCGGAAGGTTCAGAAGTAATTTTCGAGTTGAAGGTGCAGGAGCAGGATAAATATTCCTATCAGTGGCTGAAAGATGGAGCCGAACTGGAGGGAAAGTGCGATGCCACCCTTATCCTTGATAACGTTGAGCTCCGTGAATTTGGCTGGTACAAATGTCGAGTTTGCTCTCGAGAAAATTTTGGAATCAACTGCGAGTCATCACGGGCATGGCTGGATGTCGTCCCCAAAGTTCAGAATGCAACAAGTAAGAACTGCTCAAAGTGTGATAGAACCTTAATGTCTTAAATCCTTTATGTGAAAATAGCCTGCACGTGCCTTATACTAGCTATGGTAAACCTCTCGAGGTAAAAACCTAATCGAACATGTTAACAAAACCAGTCTTATTTGCGACAGAGTCATTGTTTATAAATTAAAAACAAGCCTTCAGTCTTAAAACTCTCACACACAACGAAATATGAATCTTTTTGAAAGACTGGATCTAATATGCTAAAAATAGCTCAAAATGGTGCGCCGACTCAGATGCATGCAATTTATTTGTTTTTTCTTTTCGTTGTGCAACACATCAAACAACTTTGATTATTTATTTAGATGTCTCTTTTACCTCATAGGACTAAAAAAGTTTATAGACGTAGACCTATCAACTTGTGATAGCATAGCTCTCTATCTGAATAAAGATTTGCTACCTGGTCTTGGAGGTTACAGACAGGCGGCCGCTGTGTTTGGCATGACGAGCGACATGATTGGAGCACTTGAAACATGCAAGTCCCCTGGACAAGAGGTCATCGAATTTTTGAAGGCAGCCAAACCAGACATAACAGTTTACACAGTTTGTAAACAGTTAAAGGACGACAAAATGAGGCGTTTTGATATCGCAAAGATCTTGGAGAACCATCTTACAATTACTTAAAGTGAAGTCTGGTTTAAAAGCTAAAAATCTCAAAATATATTTTAATTTTAAAAACAGTAAAATCCTCCTCGAACATGTTCTGAATTTCTTGTTTCTTTGGGTGCACACTTAAAATTTGCAGATCAGTAGGACCTATTTTGTGGCGTATTAAGGAGCCTTTTGAAAATGCGCTTCGAGGACTACATGAAAAAATGCATGTAATCACTCCAAAGGCCAATCAGAATATTCCAAGGAGCTAATGAAAACTCAGGGAAAATGTCTGTCTTATGAACCGTCTTTAAGCTTGGGAAAACGCACGCAGACCAACTCAAGTCTTGGTTGATTTTAGGTTTTGAATTTAATTGTCTAGCGCCAGGTGTTCGTTATAACCAAATATACCGTAAAGGAGAGCAAAACCAAAACTATCCGCCTTAGAAGCGCTTTTGACGCTCAGTTCAAAATCCGCCCCGGCTGGCAAGCGAGTACATGTATAAGTTAATGAATAAGTGAATACCGAAAGTGGTGCGTAAGTAAGAAAGTGAATAAGTAAGAAAGGAAATAACGTTGAATTGTAACATTTTGTGAAGCACCTAGTAAGTTACGTATGATTGAGTTATTTATTTAAATGAATCCATACATGTCGTTTAGATTTGAATTTAAAGTCCAAATTATCAGGGTTTTTAATTATGACAATGAGATTTCTGATTTTAACCTTCTTGTGTAACTTCCTTAATGGAAATGCTTAGGTTTGCCTTGGACCTATACTAAAGTTCTTATTTTGGCTTTTGTAACAAAAATTGAGTTTTGGTAAGCGTGTTGTTGTTTATTCGTGAGATCCTTGTGAAAGTGGTAGGGTCAAAGTTCCGATATCAAACGTATAATCCTCTGAGATCAGTTGGCTCGCATGCTCGCTCATGCCTACCGGTAGCGAGTGTAAGGAAGTGTAGTGTAGGGTTCATTGTCAGTCAATCAGAGTTAGACAATACCACTAAGGATCAGTCAGAGACATTAAGTCATTAAGAGTGGTCGAAGAAAAGGAATAAAATTTGACCTTCAAAGATTTTCTAACACTGATCGTGTTGAATTGGAGTAAAGATATGAACACCCGAGGAATAAAATTCATAGAAAATGTTTTTTACTCTCTTGATTCCTACTTACACATGGTTTGTTTCTTTAACAGTATTCAACTCTTTGAACAAGTTTGTGGCTCTTGTTTCAAATCTACTCTGATATATATATTTTAGCCATCAAGATAAGCAAAATTTAGACCTGACAACCTATTACGATAAGGGTCCAAGGTTTAGCCAACAAGAAACCACAACGCTCATGGGGGGGGGAGGTCTTATAGAAATTTTGATCTTTCCAACATATTTTCATATTTTTCCCTTGCCCCCTCCCTCTTACCTCTAAATAAATAATGACCGGTTCCTTAGCTTTGGTTTAGCTGTTTTATCCCAGCATAACCAAAGAGTTACGTTATCTTGACTCACTCTGAGCCGGATGTTGTACTAGGACGGATAATTGGGTCCATTTAGAGGGTGTTTAGACTGTGTCATGAAAATCGCCCGCCAAGGCAACCTTGTAAACGACTATCGACACTGTTACGTGACAACTCCAAAGTTGGTAACATTTTGCCTTAGTAAGGTTTATTAGGGCTCCGCAAATTTGTTTTATTCTCGTTCATTTTTCTCCTTTTTACTTCTCCATTTTAAGAGTTCCCTTGTATTTTTAGCTTTTACGAGTGTGACAATATGTCTTGATATTGACCCAGCCGGCTAGCATTGACGCCTGTGCTCTTCCGTGCTATGACGTCATTAAGTAAGTTTATTTCTATTTTTAGCACTGTTGTCCCTCCTCTAAAAGACGTTACGCTTTATTGGAGTTTTCCAAGGTTCGAGGGCTGCTCCTTTCTTTTGCCACTCGTGTAATCCATTCTGTATTTTTGGAAAATTTCATTGGGAAATGGAGTTGTGAAGATAGTTGATTAATGATTAATGCTGACGTACGTTTGCTGGTGAGATCTTATTGTTCGGTGTGTTTCGACAAGTACTCTGATGGTTCTTTCACCATATCATCTATAACTAACATTTCACTTGCTAAATGCTATTATTTTAAGTGTAAGAATAAGCGCTGTAGTTTAGGGAGGGAATTCAGCGTGGTGTATCAGTTCGTAACAACCATCTCCAACCACTCTACGGAGTGATCGAGCCTTTTCGCTTCTGCATGTTAATCAGCTCGTCAATGAAAGGTAATTGATATTTCTATAGTTATATAACAATGTTGCGATCCAAAATTGTTTCCTTTCGCTCTTTCTCGTTCTCTCTTTAGCAACCCAGCTACACGAGGAATTATCCAAGAAAAGATATGCAAGCGACGTTATCGATTTGTTTATTGATCTTCGGCGTTTGTTTGCAAGTTAGTAAAATTATTTCCGTGCCTGTCAGTTTAGTCTAGTAATTAAAGCGTGACCTGCTGAGTAATCAACAAACACGCTAACAGTTATTTTGTACGTTGAGCTGACGTGTTTCAACTACATTCGAGTTAACGTCATCCCGCTAGAAAAAAAATTGTTGTTACTTCTTTGAAGACGTTTGTGATTATGAATTACTGTAGTGTAAGGTAGTATGTAAACTATAGTTTCATCGAATGAAGTCTGTGAAAGGAAAAATTACCGTTTGGAAAGGGGAAGGAGAAAACACATATTAACTGAAGGATGGTTGTATTCACCTAGCTAGGGCCTTTCCTATCATGTCTGTTACTATCAGACATGTTTGGACGTACTTTTACATCCCTCTGAGATTAGAAAGGCCTACTTGTTTCCTGAACTCAGAAAGAAAATTCTAAGAGTAGATGATCAATATAATTTCGTTTGAACCTCATACTCAAGAGAGAAAATAGGATACAAAAATATGTTTGAGCTGTTTGAGACACCTTGAGAGTTCTTGGAGAATGTTATTAAATTACTAGGTCCTCTATGAAAGGTCCTGGAACTCCCAGTAAAGAAAAATCTTGTGCCTTAGAAGTGTGAAAATCTTGTGACTTAGAAGGGTGAAAATTATTTTTTCTCGCATCCTACCCATCAATCTCTGAGTGAAACAAATTGTGGGCAACAGTTTATAGTTTTATGTTTTAAACCCATTTAATTTGATTATGCTCTTTTTGCTCTGTTAGGGAGATTTCTGTGAAAGTAATAAAATATGTCATGGAAAGCAATACACTGTTAAAAGTGCTGATGGAAACTTTGAAAAATGTCAGCCTTGTGGAGTCTGCAATGAGGGATGGGGGCTGGAACCAAAATGTGGAAGTACTGTTATAAGCCCTGTGAATGAAACTTATTGCCAGCGTTGCCATGATGGAATAACATATTCTGACACTTATGACTCTTCTCCTTGTTATATGTGTCAGCACTGTGCAGAACATGAGATTGTAAAAACATCCTGCACAAGTGATACAAACACCAAATGCAGTGGAACTTGTGAATATGGTTATTACTATAATGCTCAGGATGCATCGCATGCATGTCATGAGTGTTCTCATTGTTGTTCTGATGGAAAAGATGAGATACAAGCAGAATGTGTAAGACATGGCCTTGAAAAAAGACACTGCAGCCTACGAATGGATACAAACTGTGGTCCTACCATAAAACCTTCAATTAGCAGCAATACTGGAGATTCAGGAAAATTTAAGCCAATTTACATCCTGTATATTTGTATTGGTGCACTTGTTGGTGTAGTAATTTTACTTGTTGCAGTATTACTTAAAAGAAGAAATGCTGGTCAAAATAACCTGTCAGTGGACACCAATCCTGAGCAGGGTATTAAGCAGCATGAGGCCCAACCAATGATTCACATAAATGGACGTGCAGACCCTCAGCCTGACAACAGTAATCTGACAACTCCAACACGTAAGAATTCAATAGCTACTGATTAACATATAAGGTGCCAAGTCAAAGCTATGAAGAGATACTGAATACATTACGCTATCATTAATTTTCTCTTGCAATTCTGAGTCCTAAATAATTATTCAGCACCATAAATTTAAAACACTGTATGATGGCCTTAGTGTGATCCATTAATGATATGTGGCCATCTTAGATGATGAGTGCACTTTGTTACATTTTCACTTGTTTTGTATCTCTCAAATCTAATTTTATACTACAAAGGTGGAGTCCCTGTGCAACCTGATTCCTCATTGAAGGGTATGCATAGTTGCAAACAGCAGGCATGATGCAATATTGATAATGTTGAGATGTAAGGCTTGCCATTGATGTATACTTTAACTAGAAACATACATTATTTAATGTTCCCAAATGTTTTCCATCACAGAAAGTGGAAAATACAACCATGAGTCTACACAAGTTTCCAGTGGCACTACACTTCACCCAGTTGTCTCTGAACTGAATCCTGGTTATGCTCATTCCAATGCAGGAACACCTCATGTGTCACCCAAGGGAACACCTGATTTATCCAGGCAGCAGGATGGTTTGTAACTTCATATCATATACATAAAACATAGCCAAACTATGTGTCAAACTATGATTCCTTGCTTTTAAACGAACCTTAAATACTCAATTCCATAATGTTTTGTACTATTGACTATAGGGCAGATAAAAATTATCCAGCATCCTACATCTCAAAAACAAACAGAAAGATTGCGTGTGGAATTCTCATGCAAATGTGAGGTACCTAGTGGAACTCAAGTTTTGTACCAGTGGTTCAAAGATGACCAAGAACTTGAGGGAAAAACCTCGGACACTCTCCTCTTGGATTCTGTTAGAATGCAAGATTTTGGGTGGTACAGATGCCAGGTTTCTTGTTCAGGTGACACAAGAAAGGAACCGGTTAAGTCAGGACCCGCAGAATTGAATGTTACTCCATGCCTTGGAAAAAGTGAGAATTATTGTTTTGTTTGTTTGGTTTTTTTTTTTTGTTTTATATGAAACTCAAATCAATGAGCCACTGATATGGGTTTTTCTTAGCTGGTGAAAGAAAAGGATTGAAATTCCTTACTCAAGATGGAGAACTGGGGAGTCATCTACCCTCCCAGCTGGTATCTGTATCCTGAAGTGATTGGGAGTGCTGTCTACTCCCCAGGGATGCTGGTCGATGTCCTGCCGATTTCACCCCCTACATGTTTATTTCGGCACGCCCGAAGTAGCTTATATTGCTGCTCTACCTTCAGTTAAAAACTTCTCATAAATGAAGAGGGGACATGGGAACCTTAAGACCCCCTTTTAACATACTTACGGCAATCTTAAGGCCTCCCTCTAACATCCCTTCGGGCCCTTGTTCCCTTTCTGGTTTGTTTTCTCAGTGGTTTTCCTGTTGCGGTTTTTTCCCTCGACTCAGGCCCGGTCTAAAAGTAGAACTTTTGGTGAACCGTTCTCAGACTGTAAACATGGAAATTTTCCTTACTACAGCCCCTACTCTCAGTCACGACACGCGATATTTTGGCCTGGGATTGCATTCCTTTTAGGGTCTCATTTCTCTCTGACTCACAGCTGGACATATGATTCCATTTTTGTGTTTGGTTCCCGTTCTTCTGTAGCTGTTGTTTGGCACTGAATATCGTATTTTTTTGCCCAACAGAATTAAAGACTCTACGAGAGCTCAAATTTGATACAAAAAATCAAGTTGCTATGCTTCTTGAGAATACAGCTCCAGGTGTTGGTGGATGGAGGGAAGTAGCTCATCGCTACGGAATGAATAAGGATTTAGTGAAAAATTTGGAGACTAAACAGGACCCTGGAAAGCAGGTTATGGACTTTCTACAGGCATCTAAACCGGATTTACAAGTTTACAGCTTTTGCAAGACACTCAAAGGAAAAAATTGCTTCAATATTGTAAAAGTCTTAGAAGACGAGCTAGTTAATTAGTGACTCAAAGATCAGAGTGCCCTAACGCCCTATCGTCTTTTCCGACGGTTATCGATCACTTCGTCGACATGTCAACTCGCCGACACCATTACTCAATCCAGTCTTTCCACAACTCTGTTATTCCGCTCAACTATCACTGTTGAGAGGAAATGTTTCATGGTTCGTCGCGCGTGGTAGCCACGAACTGCCTCATTTGGTCTTATTGTCACAAAGATGTAAATAGGCCACTGTTCGTGCATGCGTCAGGAATAAATCTTTAATTGCAGGAGATAAAAAGTGTTTTGCCCAGGTGCGTTGTTCTAGATGTGACAGTTAGTATGATCGGTGAGATTTTAGCACGGGTCGCTTGTGTTTTTATTATACAATTTTACTAATAAAGTACATGTAAACACAGAATTATACACGGTTGTGAATTTATTTGATCTTAAAACTCGACAAAGACGCTTTCAAGTTTTCGAAAGTCGAGTCAGACATAACTTTGGCAAGATACTGAAATATATCACCTTTGCGCCAAGTTTACGCCATCGCCGAATAAGTTGATTAACAGAACGTTTAGCGGCATTCGACGTAGGTTGCTTGCCTTGTTCGTTTCCATTGTAGAATTTACGACCTCTGGTCTGTTTGTTCTTCATGCTCCTACGAGGTAAGCGTTGTGTGACGATCTTAGGCTTACGGTTTTCTTACCAAATCGCGAAGTACCTCGAAAAACGACACGAACTACCCTTCTGATCTCTCTCTCTCTCTCCCCCTCTCAGTTGATTTCCATACATTTTAGACATAAGTATTAAAAACCAATTGAATTCCGCACTTACTTCCGGATTACTTGCGTGACATAAAGATGCGGCGGGCATGGGGCTGAGTGAGCAAGTCCCGTGACTCCACCTTCGTTGTACTATCTTGCAAGCTCAGCTGAATTCGCGACAGACATCATAAATTAACTTCGTAAGGAAAATGTCGACTCTTTTCTAATTTAATTACAAATCAGGTAATCGTATGTAATCATATGCTGTATAAACGATGATTCTTGAGTTATTTCCGCGATCACGCAGAGAGTGGTTTACTCATTGCGTTGTTCACTTGTGAAAAGTGGGCGTTTGACTCGGCAGCTGAAGTACGCTAACTTTTATTTTTAGGGATTCTTTGGAAGATTTCTTCGAATTCGTCGTTGCTTCATTTCACTTTGTGCCAATTTGGCTTTAACGACTCTCATCTTCAACACAACTCACTTATAATCTATTTTACGGTGTAATTACAAGAGTGTTAACTCAACCAACATTTTGCAGAGTCTAGGGTTGTTAACCAAACGTGAAGCGAAGCTTTTGTTGCTACGTTGTTTTGTCTCTGCAGACAAATGAGACAAGCTCGTATTTGACACTGGATCATTATGCAGTCAGTATTTGTGTTTTTAGTCTTTTCCTGCTTCTGTTTGGTAAGTGATATAAGTTTTAATTTCTTTGGCATATTTGTTAAGAAACTTAATTACATTAAAACATCCATAATTAGTGTGGAAATTAGTTAATTTGTTCAAGAAAGCTCAATCTTCTTCTTTCATCTAGAGATTTGATGAGCACATCAGCTTCTATCACTTAAATGCGATGGGTTTTAAATGGAGAAGAATCTGTCACCAAAATCTATTAATTATTTACGCCTTTGAAACCTTTTGAGCAAGTGGAGAACACAAGCTGCGTGATCTTTAAGTTTTCATCATGATCTAATTTGAAACGTGTCAAATCAAATTTATCTATTGATTTACTTTGTTTGATCGAGATACAGAAATATAAATCTAGTCTTGTACCACACACATGTAATACATCATTTTATTTAAAAAGATCTCTCGAGCCACATTTATTCCTTTCTTAATTTGTTGCCCTTGGCAATTTTTCTCTTTGAGAATTAACTTTTCCCTGAAAGTGTGTGGATGGAAAAAAATAACGAAAATGAAGTCTGCAGACTTTGACGAGGATACTTGTTTTGGAATTGACAAGAGGTTAATGAGAGTTAGGGAAGCTTTTGAAGTTTTCCTTGCAAGTGTTGTAGACATTGAAAGTCTGCAAATTGACATATGAATAATTTCTTTACTAATATGTTCTCTGCTTCCTTAGCCAAACCGATGAAATCGTACACTTCCTATCCCCTTTACAACCCTTTTTTTTAAAAGAAAAATTAAACCTAGAAAAAAATTCAAGTTAAACAGCTGACTTAAATACCTGCAAAATATCAATTGAAATCTTAATTCAGTCTCACAATATTATTTTGAAAGCAGGTGATAGAGACTTTATCTTGTATAAAAACCCACATCTATACCAAATTTCCTTGCCTGTATATTTTGTGAGAAACAATTTGGTGAAGAAAATGATGAGCATTACTGACACAGTCATCCAGACTTTTCTGAAGTCATGCATCAGGCTCTCTCTGACTTCTCTTTGCTCTCAGTCTGTTTTTTTTTTTTAGATCTTTTTCCTTTTTGCCTGAGTTGCCATAAGTCTTAGTACACAAAATGGTTGGCCATGGGAAACAAAACATTTTATTGGGGTGACTGGCCTACATTAACAGCAAACAATTATTCAGAAGAATACTTGATGAATAATGAATGAATCTTTAAGAAACCTATTAATTAAAACCTCTTATTTCGCAACCTGGTAAGACTTGGCATAAAGCAAAGCATGGCTACTAAACACATTTTCCTCCTTTTTCTTCTTGCTAGGAAGTACATCACGTCTTTTGTAAAATCTGTCATGATGACAAGTACACCGTTGTCAGCTCAAACGGAAGCTTTGTGAAGTGCTTTCCCTGTGCCACGTGTCATCCTGGATGGGGATTGCATCCTCCATGTGGAAAACAATTGACAAGTGAAGAAATGTCTCAAAATATCTTGCGAAAAATGCCCTTCAGGCACATTTTCTGCCAAGCTAGACCCATCCTCTTGTAAAAACTGTCAACAGTGTGCTCCTCATGAGATAGTATCTGCCAATTGTACCAAGGAATCTGACACAAGTTGCAATAAAACGTGTGCTAAAGGATACTTCTTTGTTGAGGTCTCTCACAGCTGTCAACAATGTTCATATTGTTGTTTTGACAAAAAAGATGAACCACAGCCAGAATGTATCAAACATGGGTTCAATGCTACTGGTCAATACTGTAGCATTCGATTGGATAAGACGTGCGCTCCAGTACCTCCAACTACCAGGACAACCTTGCCAGCAATTGTGACAGATATGACTGCTACCAGCAGAATAGTACCTCATGATACTACTAAAGGCAGCTCTCAGAATACTATCACAATAATATTTGGTGTATTGGCTTTTATATTTGCCTTTGCTGTACTTATTGTTGGGTTCTTATGTTGGAGGATTAGGAGGAAGGCAACACAGAGCATGAGGGGGGTCAATGATAATATAACCTGTGAAGGTGAGTTAGGTTCCAATCCTTTTAGTCAAGAGTATATTTAAAAATGTTAGGTTCAAGCTTATATCAAGTAGCCTCACTGCTGAAGCTCATCCTAGTTTCAAAAGACCAGTTTTGTAAATGACACTTAGGGAGGGCTGTCACTCCTTAGTCCTGGATTGGTACCAGTCCATCACCTGTTTCTTTCAAGTTTTACAAGACCCAATGATTGTTTTAGGAGCAAGAGAAGCATTGTGAGAATAACATACAGTACCATCTAACACAAGATCAATACATTATAATTACCCTGCAGTCAGGACTCAAATGCACACCTTTTAAACTAGAGATTAGTTTGCAAATTGCATCTCAAATTTCAAATATATTTAATGCATATTAATAAATGTATGATTCACTCTGAAGGCAAACAGCAAAAACACAAAGTTGTGTGATACAAGGATGTGATACAAACATTTGCCAGCATACAGAATTGCTGCTGTTACCATGACAATTAGCTGATTAAACTTGCTTTTCAGCAATTTTTCTGGCTATTGGTCAGCTCTTCATTTTTTCCTTGTACAGGAAATACAGGAGAGCATAAGTCAATATATCAATCAGCTTCCAAACCTGTCTTTATTTTTCTTTGAATTTAAATCAATTAAGTTAATTTATACACACATGGCATTTTTGTATTAACTGCATTGGTTATCAAACAATCTTGTACATGACACTTTTGTTTTAATTTTTAAATAATTTGATACATTTTTCAATTTGTTAGCACTTTATGATACCAACTATGCCAGCCAAGGACCCATACAAGGACCCACACAAGGACCCATACAAGGATCCACACAAGGACCCACACAGTCACATTCCAGTGCTGAGGTACAGTTGCCATTAGCATCCCCCAAAGTTACAGAATTACAGACCAACTCAGGTTATGCCACATCCTCCCCAGAAGGATCTCCCTATCCAACTGATGATGAGCTGGTAGATCAGCTGTCTGAGCTAAAGGATGGATCACGAAAGAAGCGTAATTTAAAACGAACAAACAGTAAGGAAGCACAAGGTAATATATATTTATTCTAAACCATATGTATATGATTATGTATAATATTTACACCAGTTTTCAAAAACATTGCAATTTGAAAATACATATGAAGTATATATAGAATACCTTTTTTTCATTAAGAAATTGTTGACATAAATAATGATTATAAGGACAATTTTTCTGAAGGAATGTACAATGACTGTAGGCTGTCAGAAAAACAAAAAGGTATTGTTCCTTTGATGTCAAATATGCATGCATCATGCATCACCTTTTTGATAATAAAGAAAGGTTTATATATTTCATAATTCCAAATTGCAAAGATTTTTTGAAAATGGACATGTGTAGATATATTTGTACATTTCCAAATAAATGGAAAAAGAGCCTTTTTGGTGAAGAAAGAGATCATATCTATATTCAAAATGTAATTTCAAATTTGCAACATTTTTAAAACAGGTGTATATAGATACAGATGTATATATCTTTCTATTGACTTTTAATTGCATTTCAAAAGTTTGAAAGAAGTTGATAGAAGTTTTAGTAGCGATGTGAGCATCATTATCCAATAGTGAGATGAGGGGGGCATAAAATGTTTCGAAAAACTATAAATTCAGCAGATTGTGTAAAGAGTGATATCAACTTAATGCATCCAGTAATTAAAGTTTCTCATTTGATTTCTTTCACATTGCATATAAGCTAGGGGCACACTTTCAAATAAGTTTCATGCACTCATTAAAGTAATTTTACATTTAATCATAACCATTACAATTTCATCAAATTTTATTGGTGTATTCGGTGCTTTATTTTTCACTAATCATTCTGTACAGTTGTAATGGGACAGTGCAATCAGACAGTTGGCTGTAATCAGACACCTGTAGTTGGACAGTTGAAGCAGCCAATCATGCTAAGTCCACTCAGCTACATCCACCAATCACAGAATTGATCACATTAAACATAGAAGCCACCATGAAGGAATTTTTTAGACTTGGTCTCAACTGGAGATGTTTGTTCTTATTTTCTATGTTTCATCCAGATATTGTAACAGTTATAATAAATTGTGTCATCCAAATCTGTCTGTAGTCATACTCCTGATTAACAAATCGGATTCTTGCTTCGCAGTCATCTGATTTTGTCAATCACTCACCATTATTATTTCATTTTCTCTTTTGATTTCTGCAAAGATTGAAAAATAACTTTCCTGACAATGTCTTACTTACACTACTTGACCATCTAATATTAATCAGTGATCACCAATGCAACCAGGTTAAGAGGAAATATAAATTTATCAGCTATGGAGTTCTATGTTGATTCAAATCTAAACTCTCCTTACTTAAATACATGCAGGGTTTGTAATTTTAATTGCAACTAAAGAAGGGTACTTGATGTTTACATGCACAAGTCAACTCAAATAAATGTGTCAATCATGCATAGTTTTAAATAGAAACATTTGGCAACTAAAATTTGAAATTTATCTTTCTTGATAACTGTTTCAGCATCAAAAGACAGTGCCAGTGAGAGCTTTTTAGGATCCAGAGAGAAAGACAGTGATGAAAATGAAGGGCAAGACAAAACAGGTATATTAAGTAGTGCTTAGATTTCAGGATAAAATTATATAATTTGGAATTATTCACACTGAAAACAGTGTAGTTATGAAAAATCATAGCTCTTACCTTTCTTTTCATTCTTTTGGAGGGTTTGTTAATAACTCACCTATAATAGGTTTACTTCAGTCAAAACTGTATTTTGCATTACATCATTATACTATTATAAACAATGTGAAATCATTAATTATTTTAACTGCCCTAAAAAAGACTTTAAGATTTGTTTCAGTTTCAACTTTCTGTGCAATGATTTGTCTCTGTTTTTTATTTTGACAAGCTCTCAGCCAATATATGTGCTGAAATTGTCCATGTGTTTAAATATACTATTATAAACAATGTTAGATCATTAATTATTTTAATGCCATACAAATTTAAGATGTTGATGTAACAGTGCCCAGGAGACCAAGTCTTGTAGAGAGATCACTGTCTGCAATCATTATATTACCAGGAGAGGTTTTCATGTTTTGTTTGATGTAAATTAATAATTACTGTCTGCAATTTGTACTTTCATGTGACTTATAAATTAATAACCTTAAGACTTTACTTACATCAATACCAGTATTTTTTTATCATTCATCTAATGTCAGTAATAACACTGCTTTTTACTGAACACTTGATGTAATTTCATTCCAAAACAAAACACTAGATTTCCTAGCAGTAAATAGATCGGATAATCACTTTAAGGGTGAAAAAGAGAACCAATCAAATTAACTCTTTACACCCTAAACTCAGTATCCATATTCTCTGTGCTCCTCTCTATACAAATCAATTGGTGCTGACAAGGAGAATTTGTTTAAAGGATCAAAATTTTCTTCAGGCGTCAATCATTTCTGTTATTCTCATGATCTTGATGAATGATTAATAGCAGTATTACTCTAAGGAGAAATCTGATGCACTACTCATTCTGAGATCCAGTCTTCAAATTATTGGTATTCATTTTGTAAATGCTGTGAGTATATACACATATATTTAATACGAGCTTTCATGATATATCATATATGTTTTATCTCTTTCAGGATTCAGATGAGCAAGATGGTTGGTATTTTATGTTCCTGCATAATTAATTTTGGTTGGCAGTATGTGGGATTAAATAATTTTTGTTGATAAAATATAAGCAAACACAATTAAGGGCAAAGAATGAGAACAGTCTCATTTAAAAAATGTGGAATATAACTTTTCCATGCAGTTTCATTTTATAGTTTAAGGTGATACCTAGAAAATTTGAAATAGCTCATAAGAAAAGACAAATTTGATGGCTGGACTTTGTATTTCCTTGATAAAGCAATAGGAAAAAAAAAACAGGATCACTAGAAAAGTGGAAGGTTGTAGTAAAGAAAGAGAATTATTGATATGATGTACTTTACAAGTTTATTAAATTAAAGGAGTCAGATAGTCTTGAGACATAGAAGTCTGCCTCAAATAATTTAAGTTGTGCCTTTGGTAAGATCTGTTTATTTTAGATTTATTTCATAAACAGCTCAGTTAAAGTCTGCACAGCAGGTAGCCTTGTGTATTATGAGGATTGAAAGTTACTCTGCAGTCAAAATCTCAATTGCATGCTTTTATTTGAACAGAGATTGTCCAAGAGGGAGTAAGAGGGTCCAGCGTGCCTACCATAAGATTCAAGGTATCAAAAAGGAAATCATCAGGTGCTGGCACCCCTAACAAGGAAAACTTTCAGGTGGGTGAAATAATAGATAAAATTTTTAGTTTTTAATGCTATGATAACTAACATACAATAATTACCTTTTGGATACTATAAAAGATGACTTGAGGGGTAAACAGATTTAATTAAGGTTAGTTATACATGCTTAGCATGAACAGATGATCTACTTTACAGTGATATAAGTCAATAAATCTTTTATTAGTTCTTATTCATAATTAGTAATATTGCTGATGACTCATGAATCAATCAATTAATTGTTCAGACAAAAGTCAGCTTTAGAAACTCTTTATGGTGGCTACTTTACTTTATGAACGCAGTTGATAAAACCAAATTATTTTGTCTAGTACATTGTATGGTTATTTGATAAGTACATAATCTCCTTAATCATGTCACATCCAGTCCATATATTAGTTGGACTTAATCACATGACAAAGAATATCTTGTTGTATTTTACACTGTAAATTGGCCATCTAAAGAGTTTAAAGGCTGATGTTTCAAGCATTAGCCTTTTGTCAGAGTGGAGGGCTGATACTCAAAACATCAGCTATGAACTCAACAGTGGCCAATTTACATTATCAACTCAGTTGATAATACTTAATTACCCTGTTATACTCTTCCACCAATGCAGCAGCATACTTTCTTTAGAAACTTACCTCCTTTATTCATTTATATTCTTCTTTGTATGAGGTATATTGTAAAAATATCATATTTGTACATCTTTGATAAAGTTTTGTCAATGACTTCCATTTTGGCCACATTACAATCACAAGCTTACAATTTTATTTTTCCAGTATAATCTTATTTTCCACCAATGGTTTTTTATAAAGTTTAGAGAGCCAAGAGCTCTCTTTAATGAGTGTATCTTAAATCAGTAGTGCATACTTCTTCCTGCAATATCAAACTGTTATATCTATTATAAATGGAAATCAACTTTTTTCACATTGATTGTGATTGAATTTTTTTAGGATCCAAAAGAGGATGATGATACTAAAAGAAAGAAACTTTTGAATTCTGGTATTTTTTTAAATTATGTGTATTATAACCTTTTAAAGGTCTCTTCCCTACCCTCCCCCACAGAACTAAGTTGTTGGGAGCCCTTTCAATGCTTTGCATTTAACCCTTTAACTCCCAGATCAAATTTGTAATTCTCCTTTCTGTCAACCATACAATTCTTGTAATGTTAGTTCAGAGAATTTAGTATTGGATCAACTTATTATCCCCAAATTGATATTTTTCTTTATTCTCATCCCTTATCTGGTTGATATTGTATTGATATTGTATTTATATCATAAGGAGAAATTCTGTCTTGGTCACTTGTGGGAGTTAAAGGGTTATTAGATAATGAATAAATTACTTTTTTAGTTGTAGCAAAACCTTTCAAGGTTGTGGTGCAACCCAGACATCAAGAACAGAAAGAAGGTTCACAAGTGAAATTTGAATGCAACATCTCTGGAGAGACAGAAGTACGTTATCAGTGGTTCAAAGATGACTCCACGATTCAAGGTCAAAGAAACTCTTCCCTTGTTTTGGATCCAGTTAAGGTGGAAGACTTTGGCAATTACAAGTGTGAAGTAAAATATGATGATGGTGACGGTGAGAAGTGTGTGACATCTCTCCCTGCAGAACTAGACGTCATCCCCAGTGATGGAATGAGTGAGTGTCAATTATTTGCTAATTACCATCTATTTTGGGTACTACATGTACTGTTAATATAAACCACACACAATTTCTTACTTAGGCCCCCAGAAGGAGACAATTTGCACCCCACAGGAAGCAGTGAGGTGGCTGTGAATGTGTGATTTTCAAATCATTTATGCATTTGGGAGCTCAATGCTACTCACCTTCCATAATGATAAATAACTGAGCTATAGAAGGCAAATATGTTCATTCGTGACTGAAGTTAAGGTAAACACTTCTAGTCAGTGACACAACTTCATTGACAGCTCAAAAAGTAATTACCACAACTGCTGTTTACGAGCTTCGTTTATATAAAAATGCCCAACATTTCTCATCTTACTCTCTGCCGTCGCTGCCAAATAAAAAGCAGGAAACAATAACGACCCACTGATTTCAGCGTATTTTCCAAGATGGAGAACCAATCATTCCTCAGCTCTCTCCATTAACGCTTACTTCCTGGGGAAATGCCTCGCAGTTTAATTCCCCGTTTTCCCGTGAAATCACGTTGTTAATTTGGGAGCCTAAGCACAAACGTTTTGGAGAGGCCGACGACAGCTAGAAGTTCAATACTGAAACGACGACCTCACGGTCGATGCATTGGCGTCAAAGTATGCCAGAATTAGTTTTATTCCTCAAAAAACGTATCTGCTTTATTTCTCTACTAATTTTTGAGTGAAACCTTGGCATGACGCGGTTATTTCTCCGCCCTGCCCGGGGTTGGTTGAGGGGGCTTCAATTGAAAAGTGCATTATAAAGTAAATAACTGAACATTCTGGAATATTTTGGGGTATTCTAGAACATTAGTCAACAATGTTTGGTCCAATAGTGTATTTTAATTACGTAACTGCTATCGGCTTATTGACCCATTTCCTTTATTTGAGGAGGAGCACTCAGGAGTTTGTTATATTTGTCAACTAATTGAGATTCTGCCATATTTCTTCACAATAAGCGCCGCCGTGTAATTTAAGTTATTTGAGTAAACATTGCCATTCTCCTTATTTTTCTTTACTTTTAGAGCTCAAATGTCTCACAAATGTAGATTCCAATATTCAAGAGAAGGTTGGAAACCTTCTGACCAAGAAAAAACCGGGAATTCGGACCTGGAAACAACTCGCTATCAAGTATGCTATGGAGGATCATCTTATAGTTTCTCTTGAAAACAGTCAAGAGACAGCCGGAAGAGAAGTAATCGAGTTCCTAGCAAAGTCATACCCGAAACTTACAGTGTATGAGGTTTGCAAGGAACTTAAAGAAAAAGACATACGACGTTTGGACATTGTTGAAGTATTGCTAGCTCATCTTTCGGCTCCAATTTCAGGCGGTGACGTACGTCTATAGAGTTTTTTTTACGTGATATTGTTTTAAATGTAATGTTTAAAAAAAGGGTCAGTTGTTGATAGAAGTTCTTAGGTCGCGATCAATTATGGTCTCTAGGAGAGTTAGTGACGCTTTTGAATGCAGTGATGCAGTGCATCACATCGACAATTTCAGAGTATGTGTGACTTATAGATCTTGATCCATAAGCAATAATTTAGTATCAAGGGAGGTTGTATAATTTGAAATGTTCCCTTGAGTAGTTTATTTTTATGGGACCTTGTCAACTGGAAAAGATGTTGACTAAAATTCTTATAGTCCTTTATAGACAAGTAGATAATTTGGAAACGGTTACATAACAAGTGTGTTAGAGTCAACGGACCGCATTGATAAGGAAAATATGGATTACTGTCTCAATTTTTTTCTATATTTTTTGTATTTATAGAGTTTTCAAGTTTCAGCGATTTAGTCATTGTTTACTGAGTAAACCATATTCAGGAAAACTTTCTTATAAGAGATTTCCATCCATACTTGATAACGTGTATTTCAGATTCATAGATGAACAGATGAAAGTATTATACATGCACAATAACGACTGATTTTTGTATCCAAGCACATTTGTATAAGCTTACTATGAAAGCACGCGTACATGTTGTCTTCAGCTATCATAAAAATGTTCCTGAATTTTGATGTAAGTTGCATTTTACATAAGCTGGTTGTGGTAGTATTATTGAGGGGAATTTTTAAGATCCAACTGCGGAATTTCGGAATTTCTGTAGATTACCCTTGCAACTGAGTGGTCATTAACGTGTGACGTTGTGTGACGTTGTTGCGTCGAGTTCAGCCATAAACTTACATAGTGTTATCCGGATTTATTTAATAATGTTAGAAACTTTGACATAAATTGACACCAAAATAGGCACACATGATCTACTTTTTGAAATAGCAATTATTTAAGAAGTGAACGTACAGAATTATTGTCAAAAACTTTTGAAGCTGATGTAGATTTTTTCTTTATTACAATTATTTATCGAATATAAACTGCAATCATTCGAATGCATGGAGATTCACCTTCATGACCTTCAGTTCGCATGACAGCAAGGGGTTTGGGACAGAGGCCGCTAATGGTACTATCCATGATCGTTCCCAGTGCCTTTTGAACTTCAGTATCACTATTGATAGGCGAATGTTTTTGTTATATTTATTCTAATTTGTCGTAGGATTATCGTACTATTTACACAACACATACTCTTTGTTTAACCAAATCAGGCAATAAAATTACTGCTATTTTTCTGTATCGTGTGTCTGCCTTTACAATTAAATTAGGAAAACATTAAACTGGAGGGGCTGCACATTCAACGAATTATTCTTTGAGCGAGCGTGGAATGATAGAATGCAAGGTGAAAGACAGAACACAACCTTAATCAGTTGTTTTGACTAGGTTGAGGAAAATTAGGGTTGGCTCTATTGAGTTGACTTCATGGGCGTCACAACATGCCTCGACAAGACGTTAACAACATCCATCCGTCTGAGTCCAGTCTCCTTAAAGGTCTTACAGATGAAATAAACAGTGATATTAGGCGAAAGGGAGGCCAGACTCTCCAACATAGCTCCTGCTGGGTTTTTTGCGCTTTCTAAAAAGGAGATTTCCTTTTCTCTCATTCCATACCTTCGTGCCACTTGCTTCCATGACGCCAGGCCAGGAAGGCGCTTCTTGTTGAGCAGGTCAATGATGGCTTGTTTTGTCTCCATGTTTGTCTCATGTAAACCTCTAAATCCTATGTAAAGATCAAAATAAAATGAGTGGTTAGAGGTGAGTTTATGTGGGGAGATTTAAATGTCTGATATAATGCAAATTTATTCATTTATTTTGGGAGAACTTGTTCATCCATTCGGTTATTCATGAATTAACACACAGAATTAGGGATAATTTGAATTCTCGTCTTTCGAATGCCATTTTGATTGCCTTGTTTACATGAAGTCGGTTCGAATTCCTGTTTGGTTGTCACTAAAAAGTCTGAAAAATTATGTTTGCACAAAATAAAAAATTGACAAATGCTTCAGTATGAAAATGGTTTGTTGCTGGTATGACGAGGCGTTTCGTCCGCTCAAAGTCCCTTTCGCAAAGTTGAAGGCGTCAGCATTCTGACCCTCAGTCACAAACAGTGCTCAACTGAACATTCACGAGTAACATTCGTGTAGCAAATGCAAGCCTTCCTTAATCTCTACCCTTTTCAGAGGATTTATCTTGTAAATGTTCTCTAACTCCTTTTTCCCTTTTTCTGTTTTCTTTTTTTAACGAAAAAACAACAGGAAAAAGTACTTACTCATTCCAGGAGCAGGGAATACATCGACTTCAGCGATATCTGAAGTAACAGATCCACTCTTATCCCACACACGACAAAAGTAACGTCCAAAGTCCTCCATCCTAACTGAGCTCAGCACCAGGTCCGAACGATTGGCCCCAGGGATTTCAATGTCGTCCTTAACCCAACGGTAACGAATATCCGGTAGACCCCGGGTTCGACAACTCAGCACCAATGTTTTCCCTTCCTGCACGGCTTGAGATTGAGGCATTTGAATAATCTCCAAACCTGGATCAATAGAAAAAAAATCAGCAGAAAGTTACCTCACTGATTCACTGATCAGTGCAATGTATTTTAAAAATAGATGCTTGATATTCCAAAACATTACATAGATATAATTAAGTGTCGCCTGACTAAGATTGAAAGTGTTTTTAAAGCAGTTGATGTATATGAAACTTTTTCTTGCTGATAAAGCTAGTTCAAAATACAATCATTAACCTCAGTGCCAAGGTGAAAGGATTCAGCGTTTCACTAAAAAGGAAAAATCTCTTAGTTAGTTATTACAGGAAGATTCACTCAGAATATTTACACTGATATTTACTAAAAAATATAACATTTATTGTATTGCTATCATAATTTTCACAAGAATCGTGCACGTTGCTAACTAACACCGAAAATCCAGGACTTACTTGATTCGTCAGGCTCTTCCTCAGACTGGTAACCAGAGCTCGCTCCCAAAGATGTACCCGAAGAGGTCCTGGGTCGAGATGAAGGTTCGACGTCATCTGAATGAAGAAGCAAGGCAAAACAGTGAATATATTCATCAATAACTCTATTCATTTCAGTGCAGTGGTTTTTGTTTCTGAAAGGAAACGAGAGCATCTAACGAAAAGAAACGATTAAACTTTTTCGTAACGTAACGTTTGATTTTTTTTCTGCTTGATGATTGATAATCTTAATATAAGTCTACAATATATGAACCAAAACTAAATATTGTCGCTTTAACGGTTTAATTTCTCTTTCTGTAAGAGTGTTACCAGACTTTTATGCATGAAATTTCTGTCTCAAAGGAGAGGCCACAACCTCCTCTTGCTTGCGCGACTCTGTGAATTCCCCAAGGATTTGTGTAAAGCTCTGCCCAAAGGGAAAGTACAAGGAATAACTGGCTAGTGTTTGAGTTTTCTTGCTACTCATATAATTAATTCAGTTTACACCTCAAGGAATGATTTACTTAAAACTAAAAATTAATTATTATCAATCTTTTTATCATCAACCTGTCACGTCTCCTTGAAATCGCCCAAGTTCCTCCTCCTTTACATACATACATACATACATACATACTTTATTTATTCCAGAAGCAGATGATAACTATTATATACAAATAAAACTAAAAAGAAAATACTTCTAGAAAAGGAAGTTAAGAGGTTATCCCTGTGTAAAAACTCCCTTAAAAGAAAAGACAAAATATAAATCAAAATCATTACAATCAAATATTTAAGTACGATTTAAGTTTAGATTTAAAATGCTGAAAGCTGTCAGCTTCCACTATATCACCCGGTAACTCGTTCCATAATTTGACAATCCTAATAAAAAAAGAATTTTTGTAACAATTAAGTCTAGCTGGTTTAATATAGAGTTTGTATTGATGATTTGCTCTCGTAGACCGAATCGTGGCAGTATCAAAGAAGTCTTCAAAATTTAAATGATAAAAACCAAAACTATCTTATAACATTCGACTAAAGATAAGTAAGTTCTACGGTCAGAGAGAGGGGCCATTTTAACAGTTTGCATCGGTCTTCATAGGACATTTCTCCTTTGCGTTGATTTAAAGCGAGTCTTGAGGCTCTTCGCTGTACATTTTTTCAAGGCATGGATGTCCTTAACAAGGTAAGGACACCAAACAGGTACCGCATATTCCAAGATTGGCCGTACCAGAGACATGTACAGCATAGAAAAAACATTTGTGTTAGCGGTGCCTACTGAGCGTTTAATGGAACCTAAAACTTTGTTCGCTTTATTGACAGTGATACTTATGTGATGGCCCCATGAAAGATCTCTAGTTAGTGTGACACCGAGATCTTTAAAATTAGTCACGTCTTTCAGGGGCTTTTCTAAGAAATAATTAGTTACCGACTTATCGCGTAAATGCGTGATTCGCATAGATTCGCATTTGTCTGCGTTGAAACGTAGCTGCCACTTACGAGCCCATGCGCTAAGATTATTAAGATCATCCTGAAGAAGCTGACTATCTTTTATAGGGTCAATTATCTCTCTGTAGATCTTCGTGTCGTCTGCATATAATTTTACTGTAGATGATAAGAATTCAGATATGTCATTAATATACAATAAAAACAATAGGGGCCCGAGAATGGTTCCCTGTGGAGTTCCGGAGGTAACGCACGACCAATCAGAATAAGATCCCCTAACGACTACACGTTGTTTGCGCCCCACCAAAAATGTGTCTCAGCCAGTTGAGTAAACATTCGTCGATGCCGCTACATTTCAATTTTAAAAGCAGTCGCTCATGAGGAACGCTGTCGAAGGCTTTGGCAAGATCCAGAAAAAACAACATCGGTAGGAGTGGATGAATTACGGGATTTCGCCCAGTCATTAAACGTTGATAACATTTGAGTTGTAGTAGATCTTCCTCGTAAAAAGCCAAATTGGTTGCTATTGATAAAGTCGATTTCGCGCCAGAACTTAATCATCCTATCAAAAACAATTTTTTCACAGATCTTACAAGCAATTGAAGTAAGGGAAATTTGGCGGTAATTTTCTCTCGAAGATTTGGAACCCTTCTTATGTAGAGGAGTAATGTCGGCATGTTTCCATTCCTCAGGCAAAAGGCCAAGAGACAACGATTTGTTTATCATATACGTTAACGAAGGTGCTAATTCCGAAGCACACGACTTAAAAATGCACGGCGCGATATGGTCAGGCCCAGGAGACTTGTTGGGCTTGAGTTTCAGAAGATGGCGTTTGACCTCATTGACAGAACAATCAATTTTCGCAAGTTTCTTGTCAACAGTGCAGTCTTGAGTGGGAAAATTTGCATAATCTTCGGTAGTAAACACCGAAGAGAAATATGAGTTCATACTCTGAGCAATACTGAAGTCGTCAGTCAGAGCACATCCATCGACGCTTATAGAGATGAGATTATTAGTGCCTCTTCTCTTGGACTTAACAAAATTCCAGAAAGGTTTCGGGTTTTCATTTTCCTGTAGATCAAGTGCAAGTTTCTTTATATACGACCATCTAGCTGTGTTACAAAGTCTCTTAACAGAATTGTTGAGTTGCCGATATTTTTCCCAAATAGTTGAATTGTTTTTTTCTGCGAGCTCTATTATACAATAATTTCTTCTTTTTGCACAAAACAATAAGTTCCTGTGTAATCCAGGGGCACTGGATCTCTTTTTATTCTTGCGTTTGGGAATGCACTCATCCACTGCTGTAAATAACAAGTCTTTCCAGCAAGCCCAATTATGATTAATATCGCTGTCGAAGAAGGCGCAATGCCATGGAATATAAGATAACAGCGATCTTAAGTGATCCCAGTCGGCTTTACCATAGCAATACAACAACTTCTGTGATTTACGCTGGACGTAAGGTATACCAGATAACGAGAAGGAGATAGAATTGTGATCTGAAAAGGGTTCTCCAACAACCAAATGGTTTACGAGGTCGGGCGAAGTAGTGAGAACTAAGTCTAGGATGTTCGAGTCTCTGGTAGGTTCATTTATCAACTGTGTCAAAAATGTCTTGGACGATGTCCATCATGAGTGTGTAAATATCAGATTGACGCAAGAATCTGTTATTCAACCAATCAATCTCCGGAAGATTGAAATCGCCAACAAGAATCAACTCGTTCGTCGAAAACTCTTGCAAAACAGCTTGTAAGTCCTCTAAAGGCTTAGGATCGTTATTGGGAGGACGATAGAAAACTCCCAAAGTGACTTTGCGATTGTATGAGAAAAGAAGATCGACGAAGATGAACTCTGAATCGTTCTGTGTAGTATCACGGGGAACCGCTTTGATGTGTTCTCGCGTAGCAATCAATACCCCCTCCTCCATGACGTCCATTGAGCTTTCGGTCCCGCCTAAATACCGAGTAGTTACTAGGAAAGATTTCACCGTCAGGGATGGAGCTGTCCAGATGAGTTTCAGTTAAAACAATTATATCATAGCCCAGAGCGGCAATGGCTAAATCCAATTTGCTTGATTTGTTGACGATGCTTCGTGCATTAGCATAAAAGGTTAGAAGACGAGAGGACTTTTGCTGTTCCGTAAAATTGTGCCGCTCGGCTCCATTTGGACCAGGATTTGGGTTTACGTCGCCGCTCAACTGGAGAAGAATAGTTTGGTAACTTGCAACAGAGTTAGGATAATAACTGATTCTTGACGAAGAAAAACCTCTTCGAAGGATTGGCAAAACAATATGTCGCCTAGTCCAGGACGCTGTGAAGATATTTAAGTTCATTGAAACTACAAAATCATCTTGTAGAACCAAGAAGAAATCGTCAGCTAAACGCGGGAACATTTGAGATTGGCCCTGATCAGTCGTTTTTCCGCGATATAGAAGAATTAAACTGAGAATAAAACAAAGAAAACCGGAGAATCGAAATGAGTGACCGTCAGCCATGACGCCTCGCCTCCAATCTTTTTCTTCAACTTTTGCTGCAACGATTCGTTTTCTTTCTCCAGCTCATGCACTTTTTCACGCAGCTCCAGGAGATAACTCTCTAATGCTTTAATCTCATCGGTCTTTTCCTTGGTCAAACTCTTCAACTGGAGACTTTCATCTTTCCCATCATTTGTTCCATGAACATTTGCGGGCTCTGAACTTTTTCCCAGTCGCCTGTTTTCTTCTTGAAGCTTTTCAACGGTTCTTCGCAAGCCCCTGGATATTGTCATTTCTCGTTTTAATGTTTCCTTAACACCGCTCAGCTCCTCCAATATAACGTTAGATTTCTGGAATCCATCACTATCATTTTCGTGTAAGTCGTTTGCTCTTGTTGATCCCTCCAAGACCTTCTCCAGCTCTTGTAACTGATGTAAAGGTTCTCTAGTTCTCGGATTCTTGGGCCTTCCAGTTTCCTGAGGAGCATGCACTTGCATTTCAAAGAGTTTGTTGATCATGTCTGCGAGTTCTTCATACCTTTCATGCCAGTTTTCTAATGAGAGCGTTTTTCTCTGGGTGGCATGTCTCTCTCTGCAGTAAACATATTCAGTTATCAATCATTCATGCCTGCATGTATTAATCTATCCATTAATTCATCATTCACTTGTTTGTTAATTCTCTTCTTGTTCGTTAGTTTCTTGCGTCAGAAATCAATTGTGAAAGCTAATCTCTGACGAAAACCATCCGCACGATTACGTAGCCTCAATGTAAAAATTTTTAAATTGAATCTTTGTTTAATTTTGGTCATTTCGCAAGCGGAAATGAGGATCCAACTTCACAACAAAACAATTTTCCCCGAACTTAAACAGCATAGGGCCCCCCAATTAACTCTTTCACTTCTTTGATCTTGACAGAAATATTCCTTACAATCTGCCACACATTTCGTACAGAGTTAGTTCTAGGAATTTGGTGTGAAATCGAATAATATTCCTCGGTTGATGTTTCTTTATTCCCACCACCTGTTTGCTTTAAAGTGTGTTCACATTGCAAAGAGAAAGTACTTTCTGATCACTATAGGAAGTCAAAGTGTTAAATCCTTACCTTATCTCTGTTGCTTCCTTGTTCACCAATCCTTCATTCTGAATAACGACTTCTAATTGATCATTAAATCCAATTTTTTTTAACTCCTTTTCCAATCTAAACTTGATTGTTTTCGACTCATAGTCTTCCAGAAATAACAACAGACTCATCTCTGAGTGACATTGCAATTCCACCAAGATGGAATGTCCATCTGTGATATTGGTAACTTCAGGATCCACATCGCGGAATAGAGTCCTTTCTAAGGCTCTTTTTATGGCACCCTCCGCGGGCCCCTTACGGGCGAGGTAGAAAGCACCTAACGATAATGCACCAAGACTTACAGCTCCCGCTAACCAGGGGTTGTCAATCTTGAGTGAAATAGAAAATCCTGCTCCTGACAGAGACAAATCCATTGCGGCCCTTGTCACTGTTTCCACAGCTGCGTCGGAGATTACTCCGTCCATCTTATAGTTATAGAGACTGCTTGGTCCTGTTCGTTCAGCGATTTTTCACTTGGATTCAATTCTACAGAATTTGCATACATTTTAGACGTTACCATCAGTTCAGCTTTCGCGCTTTTCTCAATGGCGACAACTTTGAAACAACCCATCCCTGAAAAATTTCGATGTTTACATACCGTGACAAGTTAATTCCGGTGTCACGCAATCATTTAAAGGACTCTGATAAGAACGTTTAAATTTCTTGGTTGAAATGAAAGAAATTCGAATGCCTTAAAGTGGAATTAATGACCAAACGAGTGATTTTGATCTTTCTTAGAGCGGTGAGTAAATTAAGATTTAAAAAGTAGTTGCGGATGAACAACATTGAACTCGATAGCTCTATCCAAGATACAAATTCAAATTGTACTTTTGCGCTGTCCTGTTTCGTAATGACTTCAGAAACTTTCGTCAGCTTTTCGAGAGATCAATTACATTAATAGTTGGCCTTTGAGCATTTCTGTTTCCGCACCTTAGCGACTATGTAGTTTTCGCCGCCGAGTTAGGTCACTAACTTTTCTCTCATCTCCGCGTTCTTTCTCTATCCAAATGATTTCCTTAGTCAGCTTACCGCGTAGCTCGCGTTCAGAATTATAACGTTAACTCTAACAGACTTAAGCCTGGTGGTAGGCACACCACGGTTATCGTAAGGAAGCGTAATCAGCACTCGAAGAATTACAGAGGCTCGAGCGTGAGTCAAGCAACTTGGGTAATTTTAGCTTTGAATAATAAGTTGATGCCCTATAGTGGGAGGGGTAGTACTGGACAAGGGATCTACACAATTTGCAAAATTAATACGCTTTTTCTCTCTGGCACCAGCCAATTTTTTAAAGCAACAATGATTTAAAAAATCACTTTTCCAATGCAAGGTATCGTAGCTACCCCCTTAAGAATTCTTGATGTTTAAGATTACATACAGTCAACACATTCAAACAAGAACTAATTATGAAAATAAATTACTTCTCAGAATCCATGACGACAAACTCTTTTATTTTTGTCGCTGATCAGAAATTGATCAATTTGAGCAGGACATAAAGGCAAAATTCACGCCATTAAGTAATAATTCTTGAAAAGTTGATGCGAGACAAAAAGGGTGTTTCCTTAGCACAGCGCCCTACGCTCTCACTGTATATCTTGTATTGAAGAAGCTCGAGTCTCCGGATACTTTTTTTCAGATCATAACATGACTTCAGCTAAATACATCTGTTGCAACTGGATCTTGGAGACAACAGCTTGTCAGAATTAAAGCAGAATGAAAAAAAGATTACGTATATCTGCATTAGATAAGGAAGATTGAGGTAGAGTGAATATATTTTTGTTTTCAAAAATTAACCATGTGTAAGGTTAAATATAAATGTATATTATCGAAAGCAAGCATCAATCTTCGAAAGAAAGCATTACTTATTGAACATTGATACTCTCTTGAAATTGTTGATTCAGAATATATAAATGATAGAGTGGTGCACTCATCTGACTTCCATAACAAGGCAGACAGATTAAGGAATCACTTAACGGACAGGTACTTATTTTATAATAGAAAAACAAGACACAAAAGTGCTCGTATTCAATCGAGTCTTGCAAACGTTAGGGACTGTTCTAATCGAGTTCCTATCCCACAACAATTACCTGGGGCAGCTGCTGAAACACTAGATAATCGATGATAGTTTGAATAATGATTGTATCGCTCTTTAGCAGACTGTGACGAGACAGCACATTTTTGCTGGTACCACCGAGGTATGAATGATCTGCGTAACGCTACCGAATATTCCTTCAATCTTGTGAGGAAGAAGCGTGTTCGAAGTCTCTAGTTACACTTTATAATTACTGAGACGATAAAAAGATTAAATTCCGAAATTCAAGGCATCCAAATAACAAACATCCATATGCAAATTTATAGTAGAATGTTTTTGTATAAACATTCCGCGAATGTTTTAAATAGGCTTCCAGGCTCAAAATGTTCTTAACACTTATAGTCTTCTTTCCAGCTTTCGGTGGTCTTCTCTTCCTCTGAATAACTTCACCAAAAGCTTAAATGTTGGTTCACTTTGTCGACTGAAATGGTTTTATATCGCGAGTTAAACAGGATTTATAAAAATGGGTGAAATTACTCAGGACGTTTAACTAAAGCAGGTCAAAGTAGAGTTCTGGTTAAATTGTTGTCAAGCTGACAAAAATCTCCTATTTCGTCCCTTCCTTTCATCATTAACAATGAGATCTTCAAGAAGTAAGGTAGCTACCAATTTGATAGCTTGAATGAGTAAACTGACCTTAGCGTCTCTTTCTCGATCTTTCGGTGTGAATGTGCTGGTTCCTGAATTTACTGTGGGTCTGTAGTATCCTATAACTCTTTCAAAGTTCTTAAAAACACTGAAATCGAACACCCTTGCAGTTACAGGTGATAGTTATCAACTTTCAAGGGTTTGATGTTAATAATTAGTGAAAAATTGAAATTCAAAACTTCCGCCCCGCAATTGTCGAGAGCAAAAGAGAAAGTAAATTGGAGTGCATTACGGGATAAGTAGTTAAGGGCGCTATATCGGTCTATAACCAATCAGAGAGCCGAATATCGTACATGTGATCACCGAGAAAAATAGGCTTCACATCTCAGAACAATAAGTTGTCGGCAAATTTACAAACGAGAACAATGGAACAATAGATCAATCGTTTTTTCATTACTAATATATTTATGACGGCATCGGTGTATGATATATTCATGACGTGCGGCATTAGGATAAGTGGTGTTGTCGTGTCTTATTTGAACAAAATAACGTATATTGGAAAACTGTATTGTGCTGTAAAAAATAAGGTTTACTGCGAAACTATGTGCGTTGTGGTTTCTTGTTGGCTAAACCTTGGACCCTTATCGTAATAGGTTGTCAGGTCTAAATTTAGGTTATCTTGATGGCTAAAATATATGTCAGAGTAGATTTGAAACAAGAGCTACAAACTTATTCATAGAGTTGAATACCGGTAAAGAAACAAACCAAGTGTAAGCAGGAATCAAGAGAGTAAAAAACATTTATTATGAATTTTATTCCTTATGTGTTCATTTCTTTACTCCATTTCAACATGATGTTTGAAAATCTTGAAAGGTCAAATTTTATTTCTTCTCTTTGACCACTCTTAATGACTCAATGTCTCTGACTGATCCTTTGTGGTATTGTCTAACCCTGATCGACTCTAATCGACTGGCAATTACCGGTAGGCATGAGCGAACATGCAAGCCAACTGAGTGCAGAGAATTATACGTTTGATATCGGAACTTTGACCCAACCACTTTCACAAGGATCTCCGAAATAAACAACAACACACTTACCAAAACTCAATTTTGGCTACAAAAGCCAAAATAAGAACTTTGGAATGGGTCCATGGCAAACCTAAGCATTTCCAATAAGGATTTTACACAAGAAGGTTAAAATCAGAAATCTCATTATCATAATTAAAAACCCTGATAATTTGGACTTTGAATTCAAACCTAAACGACACGTTAGGATTCATTTAAATACATAACTCAATCATACGTAACTTAAAAGATGCTTCACAATATTCTACAATTCGACGTTATTTGCTGTTTTACTAACTCATCTCTAACTCACTTATTCATTTACTTACTTAAATATATACTCGCTTGCTTGCTAGGGGTGAGTTTTAAACTGAGCGTCAAAAGGGATTCTAAGGATGGTTTTGGTTGTGCTCTCCTTAATATTAGTATTTGGTTATAACTAACGTCTGGCGGTAGACAATTGAATTCAAAACCTAAAGCCAACCAAGACTTGAGTTGATCTGCGTACGTTTTCCCAAGCTTAAAGACGGTTCATGAGACAGACGTTTTCTCTGGGTTTTCATTACTTCCTTGAAATATTCTGATTGGCCTTTGGAGTGATTACATGCATTTTTTTTATATAGTCCTTGAAGTGCGTTTTCTAAAGGCTCCTTGATACACCACAGAATAGGTCTTACTGATGGGCAAATTTTAAGTGTGCACCCAAAGAAACAAGAAATTCAGAACATGTTCGAGGAGGATTTTACTACTTTTAAAATTAAGATATATTTTGAGATTTAGCTTTTAAACAAGACTTCAGTTTCAGTATTGTAAGATGGTTCTCCAAGATCTTTACAATATCAAAAGCCTCATTTTGTCGTCCTTTAACTGTTTACAAACTGTGTAAACTGTTATTTCTGGTTTGGTTGCCTTCAAAAATTCGATGACCTCTTTTCCAACGGACTTGTCTGTTCATAATGCTCCAATCATGTCCTTCGTCATGTCAAACACAGCAGCCGCCTGTCTGTAACCTCCAAGACCATATGGAACATCTTTATTCAGATAGAGAGCTATGCTATCACAAGTTGATAGGTCTACTTCTATAAACTTTTTTAGTCCTATGAGGTAAAAGAGACAACTATCTAAATGATCAAAGCTGTTTAATGTGTTGCGCCACGACAAGAAAAAAAACGAATAAATTGCGTGCATCTGAGTCAGCGCACCATTTTGAGCTATTTTGAGCACATTTAGATCCAGTCTTTCAAAAAGATTCGTATTTCATTGTTTTATGGTGTGTGAGAGTTTTAAGACTGAAGGCTTGCATGTAATTTATAAACAATGATTTTGTCGCAAATAAGACTGGTTTTGTTAACATGCTCGATTACGTTTTTACCTCGAGAGGTTTACCATAGCTAGTATAAGGCACGTGCAGGCTATTTTCACATAAAGGATTTAAGGCATTAAGGTTTTATCACGCTTCAAGCAGTTCTTACTTGTTGCATTCTGAACTTTGGGGACGACATCCAGCCATGCCCGTGATGACTCGCAGTTGATTCCAAAATTCTCTCGAGAGCAAACTCGACATTTGTACCAGCCAAATTCACGGAGCTCAACATTATCAAGGATGAGGGTGGCATCGCACTTTCCCTCCAGCTCGGCTCCATCTTTCAGCCACTGATAGGAGTATTTATCCTGCTCCTGCACCTTCAACTCGAAAATTACTTTTGAACCTTCCTGTTGTTTTTGAGATTTGGAAGTTGTCCTGAAAATAACAAGAAGAACTTTTAGAAAATGAGTATGTATCTTATTTTAAAACAACACAATTTTTATCTATCAGAACCTCTCCTTTTTACTATAAGTTTTTGTTAAGTTCAATCCAAGACATGGCTTTTGTTTTCATCAATAATCATATTATAAGCATATCCGACGATATTCTAATTACAACACTGCAAGCATAGACTGATATTCCTTTGGCTTTTACACGGGGACAAATAAAGAGCAGAAATCAAACAAAACACAAATATAACTACGATTGAGAGCGACGGCGAAGTATTAAGTAAAAAGCTTCTGACGTTCTCAGTTCATTCATCTCCTGTAGATGCTGTGTTACGGCCTCTCTGAATAATTTCAGCTCTTTCGTCAATATTCCTTTTTCAGTCTCTATGAACACTTGAGTTCAAAAGGAAACGATTTATTTTTTGTCAAGAAATTAGCTAAAATGAGAGTTATTCAAATATATCAAAGACTCAACTGTATACAATTACCGAGTTCTTGAGGGAAGAATATCTTCCAATAGTTATCTGAGATCAAAGGAAACGCTCACAAAAAGGTGAGCATTTCATTGCCTTATCACCTCTAAATTCACTCATCATCTCTGAGAGCTGTTTTCGGGCTCAAATGGAGGTTTTTAGTATCTCTTTTTCCTTATCCGTTGATGCGTAAGTTGAAAGAGCAACATTTTATAAGCTATCATGAAGGTGATATCTTCACTGAGAATTATGACAATAAATGTATGCAATTACCAGTTTTTATAGGCAGATAATTGTTGGTTTAACGTCGTAAATCAGTCAAAAGACACGCTTAAAAAAGAGGTGCAAGTTTCTATGTCTCGGTCCTACGTCTCAGTTCATTTATCTACCGTAGATGCTGTTCTACGTCTTCTCTAGATGATTTCAGCTCTTTCGTCAGTAACACTTTTTCCGCCTCTGTAGACATTAAATTTCAAAAGGAAACGATTGATTTGCTGTCAAGAAATAGGATAAAATGAGAGTTGTTCAAATACATCAAAGAATCAATTGTATACGATTACCGAGTTCTTTTGGGCAGAACATCTTCCAGTAGTTATCTGAGATCACAGGAAACGCTCACAAAAAGCTGACTGTTTCACTGCTTTATCCCCTCTAAATTCACTCATCATCTCTGAGAGCTGTTTTTTTTTTTTTTTTTAAAGGGTTTATTAAAAGTATTCAAAAATAGCACCCCAGTGGTGAAATACATGTGAATTTACAAGTATACTTTAAATATTTAAAAAATACGACAATCTTACATTTGACTTTAAAATTAAAAGTCTAAGGGGACTGGGAATTACAAGAGTCAGTAGTTATATACCAATGAAAAACGCTTAGGTTTGCTTGACTACAAGAACTGGGCGTTAGACGCCATTGTTGGAAAGAAAGATTTTTTAAATCTTTCGGTCCGGCATTTAAAGAGTGATACATGGTTTTTGTTGCGCAACTCATAAACGTGGCAATCGGCGCGCTTTGGTGGAATAAGGTGGTACAGCCGTGACCCAGGCACATCCATTATCCATTAAAGCTTAAGTTGAAAGAGCAACATTTTATAAGCTATCATGAAGGTGATATCTTCACTGGGAACTATGAAAATAAATGTATGCAATTACCGGTTTTTATAGGCAGATAATTTTTGATTTAACGTCGCAAATCAGTCAAAAGACAGCGCTTAAAAGAGGGGTGCAAGTTTCTATGTCTCGGTCCTACCTCTCAGATCATTCATCACCTGTGAAAGCTGTTTTACAGCTTCTCTGGATGATTTCTGCTCTATTGTCAGTAACCCTTTTTCCGTTTTTTTCTTTTCACTGCTTTATGCCCTCTAAATTCACTCATTTTTCGCTCTTTGTCGATGCTTGAGTTAAAACAAAACGATGAACAAAAAAGCTGAGCGTTTTGATGTCTCCATACCTCTAATTCCATTCATTATCTCTGACAGCTGTTTACGGGCTTCTGTGGAGGTGTGCAGCTCGCACCGTCAATGCCTTATTGAAAAAAAAAGTGCATCCATATATTTTGGCTTCAACGGGAGTTAGGATAAAAAAAATAAAAGTTTTGCGTACTACTCCTAAGTTTTTAATAAACTGCATCTCGATAAAAGCTGCGTCTTTTGATGTTCCCTTACCTATCATCTCAGCCATCTCCTGTGAGAGTTTCTTTGCATGTTGTTTGTAGGTTACTAGCTTCTCACCAAAAGACTCTATAATTTTGGATAAAGAAGTTTCGGTGAACAGAAATTTAAAGAAAGCCCGCTAAAGCCGTCGATACCTTCATTGTGTATCAGTCAACCCTTACCATTAAGTTGTTCCATTTTCGTTAAAAGCATTTGAGCAGATGCTAAAAAAACCTCTGATGCTCTCTTGAGACGAACATAACTTCTCTCTGCAGAATCTTGATTGGAGAAAAATATAACAAAATGAAACATAAACTTACATTTATTAAAACACCTGTTTTCAACGACGTTGCAATTTGAAATTATATGGGATATACGCCTCTTCTTTTTCCATTAAACAACTGCTGACAGAAAAAATGAGAGGGAACTTAAGTTAAAGAGGAAACGATTGATTTGTTGTCTCGACCCTACCTCTCAGTTCATTCACCTCCTGTAGCAATCATTAAAATGCACAGCTGTTCTTCGTAAAGTTTCCCTTACCTCTCTCACTTCCCTCCATAGTTTTCACTGCTTCCTTCAATTCAACGTTTTCGCGCTCTAATGTTGATATCCTCGCCAAGAGATCTGTTTGTTTCACATAGGAAAAGTAAAGAGAAAAAAAATAAAAAAACTTTTGGTTTAAAGTTCAACGTAGGATTCTACTATGAACAGTGATTAACACTTTATAAAGATCTGATTACTGTAAATTAACATCGATATCTCCAAGACTATACATGAATTATAACATAATGCGGAGGGTATCTAAACAATGAAGGGTTCTCGCTGCTCTCTCTTGAGGCCTGAGCATCGATGCTATACAAATCCACTAACTAACTGCCTCATAAAAACTTAACCATCTTTCCTCAGCTTCAGCTTCGTAAGACCAAGTCTCCCCAAAACCTGTTGTGTTATTAGCATTTCCTGGGCGACTGAATTAAGATGACCACTGCGATAATCCTCCCACAATCCTTCAAGAACTTGGGATGAACTGCATTCAACTGTTATATGCCAGCTCCCTTTCCCTTTGTTACGCACTCGAAGATGAAGTTTCGAAATTAAATATCGTAAGAATAAACCAGTTGATTCTTTAAATGATAAAATTACGTCCCAAACATCTATGTCTGGTGGGTTATTTGGTTTAGGGTCATCAGCTCCCGCTGCTTGTTCCGGATCAGGTAATAATGGATTATTTGTTTTGGGGTCATCAGCTCTCTCTGCTTGTTCCGGCACAGGTAATAATAGTTCGGATCCAGCAGCTTGATTATGTCCAAGTACGTTTAGCAGTATAACTGATAGAAAAACAGCAAAATGTTAACCTGCATTTGAACTCAAAAAAGAGCACTATTGGTAAGAATTAAATTAAATTAATTCCGCCTAGAATCAATGATTTACTGAAGATCCATGAGGCCGATGTACCGCAAAGACCTATGGTGTCGTGCGTAAACACCTTTGCATATGATTTATCCGCTTACTTAACCAAGATCTTGTCTCCTTTAACAAGAAAAGAGTACACGGTAACCAATTCAGCCCACTTCGTATCCAGCAATGATACCATCTTAGATAACGAGATCATGGCATCTTTCGACGTAGAATCGCTGTTTACCAACGTTCCTATCGACGCCGCTGAACAAGCCGCAATGCAGAAACTCGAGGACGACCCAAACCTTGCAGACCGCACCACGCTGACGCCTGCACAGATCGCTGACCTTTTGACCTTCGTATTGAGATCCATATACTTCCTGTATAACGGATCGATTTACGAGCAAAAAGACGCCATGGGGAGTCCGGTTTCCGCTGTCATCGCTAACCTTTACATGGAAAGTTTCGAAGAACAGGCGATAACTACATCATCCTGCGAGCCTAGGATCTGGAAACGCTACGTGGACGACACCTTTACTATCCTGGATCGCGAAAACGTAAATGACTTCTTACAGAATTTAAACAACCAGTAGCCTTCCATCCGCTTCACCATGGAGACAGAGAAAGACAACAAACTCGCCTTCCTAGACACCGCAGTTTTAAGAGAACCTGATGGCCGCCTCACCACCAGCGAATGCAGGAAGTCCACGCACACCGATCAATACTTAGCGTATGATTCACACCACCCTCAATCAGTAAAACGCGGTATTGTTAAGTGCCTTCACGAGCGCGCCAAACGTCTCGTAACAAAACCCTCCGTCATCTCCGAGGAGAAAAAACATCTGTCATCTGTTCTGGTTTCTAATGGTTATCCTTCTCCTTTCTTGCAGAAACTTACCAAGACCGGAAAACCAAACAACAGGGCCGAACCCGCCAACGAGTTCAAAGCTACTGCGGTTTTACCTTATGTCAAAGGTCTGTCCGAACAGCTTCGCCGTTGCCTACAACAACAAGGCGTACGCGCTGTTTTCAAGTCGGAGACTAGGCTAAGATCTCAGTTACTACGACCAAAAGACGCTGTCGACCCGGCTAAACAAGATGGCGTAGTTTACAGGATTCCCTATCCAAGACAGAATTAAGGAGCACGATCGAGACATTCCACTCGCCCGCACCGAGACCTCCGCCGTTTCAGAGCATGCCCACAACACCGGACACAAGCAACTCTGGAACGAAGTAAAGTTTTTTGATCGTGACCCTTATTACTACACGCGCAGGGTCAAAGAGGCTATTCATATGAGACTTCACCCTAACAACATATAACGGCACATACTATCAACAAGTTTTTGGTACAGCGATGGGTTCGCCCGTCTCTGCTGTCATTGCTAACATGGTAATGGAAGACGTGGAATAAAGGGCCTTAGCCACTTCACCGGTTAAACCCTTTTTCTGGAAACGATATGTCGATGATGTTATTTCTGCGGTATCCGGAAATGAAGCGGAGCGCCTCTTGTCGCATTTGAATTCAGTTGAGCCGTCGATCCAATTCACCCTTGAGCGTGAAAGGGATAGACATTTGCCCTTTCTTGATTTAAATGTGTCCAGAGGGGTTCAGGGTAATTTAGAGACAAGTGTCTACCGTAAACCTACCCACACCGACAAATACCTCGCTTTCGATTCTCACCACCCTATTTGCCATAAAAAGTCTGTAGCCAAAAATTTACTTAGGAGGGCTGACTGTCTACCATCTTCACTCGATTCGAAGGCTGAGGAGAGGAAATATGTTTCCAATGTCCTAAAGGCAAATGGCTATACAAAAACTTTTCTCCGTAACTGCCAAAAACCAGTTACAAATAGTAACGCTCTTGATGAAAGGGAACCAGCGACTGGTTTTGCTGTTATTCCTTACATACAGGGTGTTACGGAACCCATCAAGAGAATTTTGAATAGCCACAACGTTAAAGTTGCTCAAAAACCTTTTCAGACTTTGGGGCATATTTTCGCCAAACCTAAGGATCCTGTCACGAAAGAACAACGAACCGACGCCATTTACTCTATTCCTTGCAATGACTGTGACAACGAATACATCGGACAGACCAAACGTCAGTTAGGTACACGGTTAAAAGAGCACCAAAAAGCGGTTTTTCTTTGCAAAAAGGAAAATTCAGCTTTATCGGAGCATACATGCCTAACCATCCATACAATTGGGTGGGATAATTCTAAAATTATCACCACTAATCGGCGTTACCACCAGCGCCTTTGTTTGGAGGCTTGGCATATTAACTCCGCCCACGCTCCTTTAAATCGTGACGATGGCGGTTTGCTTCCTGACGCCTATTTACACCTCGTCAGAAAAAAGGCCGCTAATTAGTGATCATATAAAAGACCTCTTGTTGAAGCGTTTAGATCACCCCTGATGAAGGCACTAGACAGGAGTGTCGAAACGTTGGGTCTATGAATTGTAACTTCTTCGGTTACATTCATTAAATCTGTAAACCAGAGTAGCATCAAACTATGTTAGCTTTTATTGTTATTCACCACGATGAATAACCACAACCTTTTCTACGAGCACTATTGGTGTTTTGTAAATTTATATTTAAAGCAAATGCGTGAGATCAAAGTAGTTAAATGACAATCTTCGGGAAAAATGGAAACACTGGATTAACATTAAAGGGAACTGAGGATAAGGTTTCCTTATTTTTGTCTGATGGGGAATTAAATTTACTCTTTTACTGACCTAAAACCGCGGCTGTCGTGACTCTTAGAGACCCCATATCCTCTCTTAGCTTTACCACTTCATTTTCAATTTCCAGATCTTGCATATACCAGGTCTCTAGCTCTTCAATGCATCTTTCCTCATCTGGCGTCAAAGGTTTACAGAGAAGATCGTCAATGGACTTCTTCCATTCATCTCTCTTTGCAGGACTAATATTTGCCGCAATTCGTAACAGAGCCTCAATAATTTCCTTCCAGAGACGAACAAACTCCGTGTCAGATATTTCCATGCTGTGACGGTGACCATGAATCTCATTTCGATAATATTTTATTCGCACTAAATCTGCCACTCGTGTGTGGTCTGAGCCGTTTGGTAAATCATCCCATCCTCTCTGTCCAGGGGGAGGGGTCAGGTTGCATATTGTCCTGAGTAACTTGAAGATTAATATACTGTCAAAATCGTTGGACTTTCCACACATCCCTAGGGATGGGTTCAGACAAGCCCCCTCTGGCTGGGTAAGTCTCGCTCCTCTCAGCTGTACCTGTATGGCAGGATCAGCGAGTCTCAAAGGGAGATCAGCTGGTGAGTGAATGGAGTCAAATGTCTCCCGCAAAAAATTCACACCTCCACGCATCAGTAATCGTGTCAGGCGATGAAAATTTGCTTTAAGACTTGTTGATCGTAGGGCTTCTTCTGCCATGTCATAAATACTAGTCCTAAAATCGGAAATGAATATGACAAGCAAGTTGACACATGCAGGAAAACCTTAAACAAATTGATAACTATTAAATCAGCTACAATAGTTTATAGTGCTTTTATAGATATATGTACATATTTATAGTGCTATTATAGATATATGTATATATATATATATATATATATATATATATACACCTGCTTTAAAAAACGTTGCAATTAAGAAATATGCATGAAAAATATATGCCTTTGTTTTCTCGTCCAAAAGAGACTTTTTGATGAGAAAACAAAAGGTGTATGTATTTCATTTCTTTTGTCGAATTGCAACGTTTTTGAAAACGGGTATTTTATATATACCAAATTTGCAATTCTCCTTGCTGTCAACCATACAATTATTATAATGTTAGTTCAGAGAATTGAGTATTGCTCAACTAATTATCTCCAAATTGATATATTTCTTTAATCTCATCACTTATCTGATTGATATTGTATTGATAATGTAAGTAGAAATTCTGTCATAATCTCGCAAAAACTTTAAAATACAATGCTTTATGATATTATCCGTTCATAGAGAGCTTGCGCCCCCTGTGGTATACCACGTAGGAAGCAGCTAGAGCACGAAAGAAGTGCGGGGCGAAACACAAGACGCAGTCGAGTGTTTCTCCCTCCTTCCTAAGTGCTATAGCCCCTTCCCAAGTGCTTTACAACAGAACAAAACACAGTCAAGGCTTCTCTATTTGTTTTATAACAAAGAATCTGTCAAATTCCCCACGCATTTCCTTCTACATTCAAAACAAGTTTTAATTTTCGAAGCGAACAAAAGTGTCGTCAGCATGTTTCATACTCTCGTGGAACACAATAAAATAGTCCTTCAGAAGTGCAAATAACCTGATTGGTTGAATAAGACTAAAGCTGTCAAAAATGTCAAACCATTCACAGTTTGCAATGGTTCACAAGCGCAAATAATTTGGCAGCTCGAATTTGTAAATAACCTGATTGGTTGAATACAGAATCTACAATGCTCAGTGAAATCTGGCCAAGTTGTGGCTCGTGAAAACACGCAAGTTTTTTAACGTGACACTTGGAAAAAAAACTGCTCAAGAGGTGTGTTTCATGAATGATCGACAGCCGAATTCACAGGAACATGAAGATTGCTCGGGGTGGAAGCGTCCCTAAAACCCGGCTGTTGTGGCCCTCCACATAGCAAATCAAAAAGGATAGCAGAGCTATCCTTTCCATCAGTGCGATGACCAGAGATTGCCATGATTAGCTAGGATCACGGTTCCTCTGACACCGCGATTTGTATAAAGTCTTAATGTTAGTTTTGTAACGTGATGTTAATTCAGTACGTGTCGCAGGAACTTTGCATAGGTAAAATATGGACTGGACTATTTTTTGGACCATTTTTGGACTGGACAATTTTTTGGACCATTTTTCGCATGACAAAAAAAATGAAGAAACGCCGCGGCCCTGCGCTAAAATTTTGACATACAAAAAGGCAGTCGAAAAACCAGTTAAAATAATATGTACGATCGAGTAAAAGCTCCATTACACCAGTAGTGTTTATTACTACAACCATCTCCCACCCCTCCCTGCGTAATAACACTCTGCCTCCCACCCTTCCCTCTGTACTGATAGACTTCATCCCACCCCTCTCTCAGTATTAATGGTATGCTTCCCCCCTTTAATCGTTTTCCAGCTTTCCCTTAGATCAAAATAGGTGCCGATTATATTTGACACTTCCATGTTACGGTCGTTATTGCAATGTTAGCTATAGTTCCTTCATTTGTATTATTTTAACTTCGATACTTTAGTTACCTTAGCTTCTATTTTCGTCTTTATTCCAGTTCGAACCGACATACGGTTGACATCATACGATTCACTACTATGCTTACATCACGCGATTCATTTCAACTGATTTAGTATGGAACATTGGTCTCTGTCGATTAAACGCTGTTTACGTCGTGGTCAAAAATTCTTGTCGAGTTCGTTTAACATTAAGCATTATTCCGTGACAGGACGGAAAACGAGTACACTGTAAGTACCTCCCGTTGTCCCATACAAAGCCTTAGAAAACTTTTCTAAGGCTTTGTATAGGACAACGGGAGATACTTACAGTGTACGCATTTTCCGTCCTGTCATGACGCATGTGATTACTTGGATTTTGTCTGCTACACTCTATCCTTATAATTTACACTTAACAGTTATGCCAGTTTGGTTTATTTTTTTCATCATTCCAGTTTTTTCGTTTCATTTTGTTTTTGGACACGAAACTACATATACTATACGAGTGTTCGCTGTGTGCAAGCTTTATTACTGCATCTACTGAAATGACAGTCTAAGCGTCAAAACCTTCAAAACTCTGAAAGTCTATTTAGTTTTCTCTTTGGTGATATTGGTCTTTGCTCACTTGGTATGTTTTCAAACCTTTGTTTGGTTCTTCTGTTGCTACTTGCCGGCCCACTTGTTCAAAAAGTTGACTTTCAATTAAAGAAAATAACATAAAGAGAAGTACAGGAAACGGTCGGACATGGTACAAATTGGCAGATGGCGAGACAACTTATAGTTCCACTCCTTGATTTGTACTCTGATAGAAGACGCTCTTTCAACCAATGACCGTGCACGTTGTATCCGAACTTTGTTATAAATCAAACTGAATGAGGTTAAATTTGACCATATATTTTTGCTGCATTAGAAGATAATGAAGATTGGAGTTGAATGTAAATATTTCTGTTTTTAAAAAATTAACGAGCTGTAACGTTAAATATAAATGTATATGATTGAAAACAAACATCAATCTTCGAAAGAAAGCATTACTTATTGAGCATTGATACTCTCTTGAAATTGTTAATTCAGAATATATAAATGATAGAGTGGTGCACTCATCTGACTTGCATGACAAGGCAGACAGATTAAGGAATCAATGAACGGACAGGTACTTATTTCATAATAGCAAAACAAGACACAAAAGTGCTCGTATTCAGTCGAGTCTGGCTAACATTAGGAACTGTTCTGATCGAGTTTTAGTCCACAACAACTATCTGGGACAGCGGCTGGAACACCAGATAATCGATGATAGTTTGAATAATGATTGTAATGCTTTTGAACAGACTGTAAGGAGACAGCTCATTTTTGCTGATATCACCGGGGTATGATTGATCTACGTAACGCGACCGAAAACTCCTTCAATCTTGCTGTTACGCCATGTAATCGTTACCTTCACACTCGCATAGCACGCACAACTATACAATTAGCATATACAATTACATGCTACAATTAGCACGAGCACCGCACTTTGTATAAACTATAATTATTTCGTAATGAATAAAGGTTGTCAGTTTTAACATGGAACAGAGCAAATAACATTGTGAGGAAGAAGCGTTTTCGAATTCTCTAATTACACTCCATAATGATTGAGACAATGAAAAAATCAAATTCCGAAACTCAGTGCATCTAAATAACAAATATCCTTATGCAAATTTATAGTATAAAGTTTTTGTAGGGGCTTGAGCTTCTAAGCTCAAAATGTTCCTAACACTTATAGTCTTCTTGCCAGCTTTCGGTGGTCTTCTCTTTCTCTAAATAACTCCACTAAAAGTTTAAATGTTGGTTAACTTTGTGGACTGAAATGGTTATCGATCGCGAGTTAAACATGATTTACACCAACAGGTGAAATTACTCCTGACATTTAACTAAAGCAGGTCAAGGCAGAGTTTTGGTTAAATTGTTATCAAGCTTATCACAATCTCCTATATCCTCCATTCCTTTCATCATTAAAACTGAGATCTTAAAGAAGTAAGGCAGTAACCAATTTGGTCGTTTGAATGACTAACCTTAGCGTCTCTTTCTCGTTCTTTCGGTGTCAATGTGCTGGTTCCTGGTTTTACTGTGGGTCTGTAGTATCCTTCAACTCTTACTAAGTTCCAAAATACACTGAAATCAAACACCCTTGTAGTTATGGGTGATATTTTTCAACTTTCAAGGGCTTGATGTCCACAATTGGTGAAAAATTTAAATCCAATACTTCCGCCCTGCCGCAGAGAGAGTAAATTGGAGTGCATCACGGTATAACTAAGGGTCACGTGATATAGGTGTGTTGACTACGGTTTGTAACACTTTCCACTGGTTACCAAGATGAAACTGTGAAGGTCACGCCAAGCTCTTCTCACTTTCCACTTAAGAACATTGGCCACGTGGATTGTTCAGGCTGCCGACTGGTCTAGAATTTTCTACATGAAACAAAGTTGTTTCAAAATTTTGCTTTTCTGTGCTATGCTCACCACAAATTTAAAAAATAGTGAGCGTAAGATTTCTATCGCGTGATCGTTGGCTCGTTCAAAGCTGGAATAGGCTGTCACGTGATAGAGATCAAAAGCAAAAAATCAAATTGAGCAGGACCTGTACAGCCAAATTCACGCCAATAAGTAATAATTTTAAATAAGCGTGACTGACCTGTAAACTAGCTTTATATAGCTAAGTGTCAGCCACGTTAATAAAGTATGTATGTGTATGTATGTACGTATGTAATAAGCTAATTTTCGAGTCTTCGGATACTTTTTTCAGATCATGACGCGACTTCAGCTAAATGCAGCCATTGCAACTAGATTTTGGAGACAACAGCTTCTCAGAATTAAAGCAGAATGGAAAAAATATATATACATCTGTAGAATGAAAAAAATATATATATACATCTGTAGAATGAAAAAAATATATATATACATCTGCATTAGATGATGAAGATTGAAGTTGAAAGTAATTATTTTTGTTTTCAAAAATTAACCAGGTGTAAGGTTGAATATAAATGTATATTGTTGAAAGCAAACATCAATCTTAGAAAGAAAGTATTACTTGTTGAACATTGATACTCTCTTGAAATTGTTAAATTAGAATATGTAAATTATTGAATGGTGCACTTCTCGGACAAAGCAAGCAGAATGAAAAAAAAATATATATATGTATGTATGTATGTATGTATGTATGTATGTATGCATGTATTGTATGTATGCATGGGTGTATGTATGTATGTATCGGAGCCCTGAATACAGTCAATTCTTAATAACAACCACTCTCTCAAATACCCTCCACTTCGTTCAAAATCATTTTGTGTTTAGTGTTTACTTTCTAAAAGTCCTTTAGGCGACTGGAAGCTTGGATTTCTTTAGGATTCATTGTATACCTGCCCAGGTATTGGTTCTTCCATTTTTTTCCAACTGAGACTACAATGCTGCAAAACATCACATGTTTTAGGTACTTTTCCTTTTCTAGAGTTCAACAACCTACGAAACCTTTCTTTTAATACAATAACAGTGTAAAGCCATCCTACTGGACTTTGCCGCTATCCATATAATTTTTTTTTCACGGCCGACTCGTTTTTTGAAATGCTTTTCTCTTAAGTGAGCCGTAGCGAAATGAGAATCCATTTTTAGCTCTCTAGTCGCTTAGTACTTTGGTATTTGTACTAATAGTAATAAATATGCTGTGGTAATCTCCTCCGAGCTAGCGAATCAGCGCCCGCAAAGAGCGCTATTATACAATGAATTATAAATCAACTGATGTTCTTTTCTCAGATGCTGCAATCTGACTGGCGACGTTATTCGCTATGTAGCTTCAGTGATAGACAATCAATAAAGTGAGAAGCCTAACAATTTAGGATTATAAACTTGTTGTATTCTCTTTCCTGACTTCAAGCGATTGTGAAAAAAAAACAACAACAAAACATGAGCCTGTCTTGTTGTTGAGTTTAAACGACAAATAGATTGATTCAGGAGCCCATTGGTAATGGGTTCCTGATTGATATGAAAACAATTAGATTATTCGTCCTCTATTTCTTTAGCGTGATAGTTGATGTTGGCCACTGGGCTTCGCCCTCATCAACTATCACGCGGTACAAATCTCGAGCTCATCGTCATCTATGATTAGCGAATTCATGCATTTTTTTGACATTTTATGTTACCTTTTCCCTTGTGGGAGCACCTCCTATTTCCTTTTCAAAGGTTGCATGGTCCCCCAAGAAAAAGCTGATTTCACTTTGAAAGCTAATCAGAACTTTTTTTAGGAGCACATGTATCACTTACATTACCGTTTTACGTGACGAGAGTCATTATTGTTCATCGAAGTCTGAGAATATTATGATTACATTTTGAGAACATTTTGATGGTCGCTATACCCATAACTATACGAGTATGGCGACGTTTAATATTTATTTTGAGCAATAACTGTCTTTCCGTTTGAATTGATTAGGAAATTTTCCATTGCAAAATAAAAGACAATCGACGATCGCAGTGTACCGTTTGTTGAAATTTTTTACAAGCCTCTCCGACTGTGGATTGTTTTGATCTGATTCTCCACTCGAAATTGTCAATATTGATTAAAACGGAAGGACAGTTATCATTGACTGAAAGTTCAAAAACTCGACAAATGATCGCAGTGCATACTCCAATTCCGTGAAAAAATTTATGAAATCTAAAATAAAAGAAATACAAATAAAGACACGCAAGTTGTTTCTATCAAGTGTAGTGATAAATTGTCTGCTCTTGCCCATTGTTATCAGAATTATATTATTTATTAATCATTTATCTTACAGCATTGTCCTCTGACTCACTCCACTTGACTCATCCCCTTTTCACACCCCTCCCGAGGAATGTCTGTTGTGGTATTCAGTAGCTGATATAGTCGCGTTGTATTGTAACTGGAAGCCCTCAATAACTTTAGATGAAAGGTCAAGTTTTCGCTCATAATTTCAAAAAATACTCAGTTATCACTTTTGATATCTCTCTACTTCAACGGAACTGTGACGATTGCCATCAAGTAGTTAAACGAAAATTTTCCCATGTTTTATCACAATCTCAGCATGTTGCATCGATTGACGGAGCTGACCAAATAAGGGAAAAATCATTGAATCGTGACCTATTGTGTCCACTTCCGGTTTCAAAATCGTCACGTTTCTCGGAAAAGAGGAACAAACTGCAGAGAGGACGGAGGGCGGCTTGTTTACCTACCTACTAACCCATTGTTTATCACGTAATAGACATCATCATCTAATAAATCCCAACTGAGATAGAGCGAGTACAGAATAATAGCTGTTTCGAGTGTCTCCAGGGAATACTAGTCTGTTCTAGAACGTTCGCTATTTCCTGTTCTGAAAGTATCGGTAACATAGGCCTGAAAACACGTTCCACAGGACAGACTGCAAGCATAAATACCCTTCCTGTTCGCTCATTTTCCTTGTTTACTTAACTTATTAGTGGTTGTTCAGTCGTCATCCGCGCTCGAATTGTGGAAGTGCTTCCAAAATTGATAATTACGTATTTGATTGAAGGTTTCCTGTACTTAGCTGATTTAACCGATTTGCGTCACAATGATGACGGATAGCGCCCCTCCCTGATTATTTCTCAGATTACTCCTGAAATAAATTCAACCAGTTATTGACTCGCCAGACAGATAAGGAGGGTCAGCAAGACGCAAATTAAACTTGGAGCAGTTTATTCAGTTAAAAGAATTACTTAAACCAAAACACGCGATGGCAGGACTTCGTGACGTGGTTTTTACAGGAATCTTTTTGTTTTTCCTCACACAGAGAATATCATCAAATAGTAGTAAGTCTACGAGTGTTTAGTTACTTTATGTATTTCATTTTCATACCTTTGAAGACAAGATAAACACATGTTCCCGGTCGGGTCACCGAATTATTACATGTTGTCGTTATATTCAAGACAATTACCGAAGGCTGATATACAGAGTACCATCTTCTGCCTTTTCGTTACGTTCGTTACGTTGTGGTGTCACTGCTGCAAGCAGCGAAGAGAGTAGAAAGCTTCTCATATGACAACACTGCGCAGCTTCACCGGCCGAGTCATGAGGTGTTTCAACAAACAGTATAAACAAAAGAATGAGCAACATATCATGATCATATCTTGAGTTACTGAAATACATGCTGAGAAATTTTCATTACCCTGTAATATCACTAAATGAGTTTTACATCTCAATAATCTGTCGGCACCCCTTAGCTACGTTGCGCAAGTTCCGTCCGCTTCAGTCAGCGTTGATGCCGACTGGGACGATGGAAGTTTTTGAAAACTCAGAAGCCCCAGTTTAAAGTCTCACTGGTGTTGTTGTGCTTTTATAGCTTGAAATTCTTGTTATTGAATTCCACCAACAACAATCGGAATTCTTCGAAGCAGATTTAGGGTATTCGTTTATCTTTTGTAAACCTAAGTTCAGTTGTCGTGACTGTATCGAGCGTTTTATTTACAAATTATGTTTGTCGGTCTAATGCCTTGTTCATCGTTATTTACCGATAAATTGTTTTCTTTCACCCAAATCTATGACCGTTTGTTCTATCGCTTGATACGTTTGCTAACAAGATTACGTGAACCTCGCTCAGAGGAAGATAATCCCACACAGACATAAGCTGAAATGTAATACGTTCTTACTCTGAACAGCTTTCATAATCTCGTATGCTTTATATCTCTTAACAGATCTTCCCAAAGAAATTAATGTTTTCGATGCAGTGGGTCTTGGCAGTAAGGTTTTCCCAGGAGTTTCGTCAACAGCTGGACAAAACAACAAGAGTCCGGCATATCACTTCACACAAAAAACTGATCACATGATTGCAAGTCAAAACGCATTTGAAGAGGTCGACAAACTCATCCACAACAGCAGTGATTTTATTGTCTCTGCTTACGCTAAGCTCGGGGCCAAGGAGATCTACAAAAACCCTATCGTTTCCATCAATTCAAAGGACGGCAATCAATTATACTTCTTATTACAGATCTCGTGAGTATTGCGTTTATCTTTAGTAAAGCTCTTTTCCTGTTTATTATATGCGGGCGAATTAACACTTCCGTTGCGAAATGTATCACTCATTTTCACGCTAACAGAAAAGTCAATATTAGTTTTTGAACTGACGGTCCTCTCTGGGCCAGAGCTTATTTTTGTTTATGTAGCTCTTCAGCAGTAAAATAGAGTCGTTATACATTCTTAAAGAAGACAGCCACGAAATTGCTGACTGTCGACTATTATCACGCAGCGAACTTTATTTTGAGTCCCTAAGGAAAACAAACCTTTGATCTTGCGTGGCATCCAAAGCTGGCGGTTTTTTCTGTTTTTTGACACTCGTTGAAAAAGAAGGTTGTGGAGACGCCGAAATGAGCAACGGAAATTAGATTTCTACTCCATACTCTTGTCGCGGTTTCGTCGCTCATTTTGCGACTCTATGGCTTTCAAAATACCAGCCGGCAAGTTGGATTTTGCCTCTACCTGGCAGCGAGAATGAGTTAATATATGCATGAGTATAGTACTCTGCAGTATCTCCATGAATTCAAAATAGCAGCCAGAGCCGTTAAAAACGATTTTCCATTTCCCATAGTATGATTTTTTAAATTCGTTTAACCCTTTACACCCTGAAATACGTTTGTCCACTTTCTTCGCGGTTCACTTTACATTTTCCATGGTACTTACAAAGAGTTAGCGGGCGATCATATCCTACATTCTCACTACCGTAGCGTTTGATTTATAAATGATACTGTGAGGAGAAATTAGACGCCAGTTACTCTTGAGGTTTGAAGTGTCAATTGACCCAAAAGACAATAATTTTCACTGAACTCGAGCAGCAGTGATTTCCACCGGTAAGATCGCGCGCTTCTCTTCTTTGACGCGCGTGTAAGTCCCTTTCCCCGCGTGGCCCATTGTCCACCCACCCATCTCGCAAGCGAAGGATAAGTCATGTAAACACTTTTCCTGATGCCTTTTTTTTTCTTTTATTTTATCATGTGTTCATTTATTTAATTATTTTTTCACCGTGGCTCAGAGGGAATGCACGAGGATCAGGACTTGAAATAGTTGTTACAGTGCAGACGAAGGGAGGATCCCCCAAAAGATTTGAAGCTTCGAGTAGCAGATCCTTGGACTACACAACATGGCACAAGATAGCGGTTCGAATCCAGGAATCCGAATCCCTGATGAGAGTGTACGTGGATGACAGCATGATCAACGTGTTTTCCTTTAGATACACCCCTCAGCCATACCCTAAAGATGCACAGCTGCGTCTCGGACAGGTTTTCGAGGTGTACTTAGAAAACACTGGTGAAATAACCTCACGATTTAGGGTAAGCTGTTCTGCAAGCAGACCTTACAAGATTCAAATTCTTTTTAACTCGTGTTTCCACTGACGTCCATTTAAGCTACAAAAAAGTGGGCAAAGGATAGTCCAGGTGTAACATGTAGAACCCGTCTGAAAAGAAAGGTGGTTTTTAGCCTTGATATTTTTCTAAGAGGGATTTTTGGGTTCACCTGAAAAAAATAACCATGTGCAAAAGAAAGTTATATCCTATTGCTCTGAGCTGTTTATATTTTTTCCAGTGTCTTGGTTTTTAAAAATTCAGTTGTCGTAACATTTTTTTTTTTTTTGTAGGGGGATCTACAAGATGTCAAATTTATCAGAGGGTCACCCCTTAGCGACTGCTCCAAGATCGCAAAGGTATGTGATTGTCAAAATTCAACCTCGGTGCAATGACGACTTCAACGAAATACTTTTGGGAAGATTCATTCATCTCCCATGAGCGACCAAGACAGAATTTTACCTACGATATCGGCACAAAATTAAGCAGACGAAAGATGAAAATAAAGAAATAAATATCGATTAGGGGATTATCAGTTGATCCAATATCAATTTCTCGGAACTGAAATCCTAAGAACTCAATGGCAGACAGAAAGGAGAGTTATTCATAAGATCTTGGGAGTCAAATGGTTAAAAAAGTTCTGAAAGTTATTATCTTATCAGATGTGATTTAAAATGTAATTTAACTCTCAGATGCGAACTCTAATTTTAGCGTCATATGTACATGGTACAGCTTAATGCTGTTGACCTCCTGTTAGAAAATACAGGCGAAATGTCCCAAAGACGTCATGTTGGTTTGCGATGGACTAACATCCAATCTAGAGAGTTCGAAATGTTTCTTGTAACATGGCTTGCATATGATAATGTTCTGATTAATGAAAACACTGTTCTAATTTTTTCTTCTCAGTGTCAGTGCACTGATGTCGTTGGAAAAAAGGACTGTGTAGTTGATGGATTGAAATACGCGGACGGAAACCGCTGGACAAGGGATAAGTGTAACATTTGTCACTGCGAGGTGAGCATGCGCACTAAAACCGGTAGGAGCCGAGAGATTACATGAGGAAATTCGTATTTCATATTAAATTCTACGTCACGAAAAAAATGTGGCTACAGCTTTTGATAAAGTAACGTTTTGGACTTTAAAATAAGCCAGGGTTTGTGGTGTTGAATTTGTACCCACGAATAAAAGAACTGATTTTAGGAATATTTAAGTTGGTATTCAGAATAGAGCAAAACTCACAAAAGAGTTGTTTGTGGCTCATCCGGTAGGTCTTTGATACAACCGCGAAATTTGATGGTTCCTTGTCAGTTGGAATTCTCATGGGAGACTTGATTGTTTTATCTGCCATGAGCTCGTAAAAAAAATTAATAACTAAAAATAATTAAGATCTGAAATTAGTGATAATCATGGATTAGTAAACTGCTTTCGATCTCGAGTAAAATAATATTTTTGTTTGTTGTACTGACTTCCCAGAAATATTAGGGAAAGTTGACTTGCGAGATGCTTTTTAGGCAGGCAGAAGATAAGGTTTAATAATTTAAAACCTTGGTCGAATAAAATGGCATCGGCAAAACGAGTAGAAGGACAAAATTGCGCCAACAGTTATTCTGTGTTCAACAATACTTCACTATGAGCAAATCAACCCGCGGGACTTCACTTAGCCAGCAGGACTTAAAACTCTCGCATGAAATTGAGGCGAGTGGTTAGACAATCCAAGATGGCGCCCAAACCTGAAATAGCACAGCATCCAGAAAGACGCGACACGAGTACTATGCGTTCTCCTCGCGTCGACCACGATTATGCTTACAAATCTGTTCGTAGTTGCTTGAACCGTCGTTTTGTCATTCATTGCGTTGATTTTTTACCTCTCTTTTATCCAGTGGGGCCAGGTGATCTGCACATACACATGCCAAGTCTGCAAGGATAACGATCAGACTTACATGGAGGGCGAAACATGGAAATCAAGTAACGACAGTTGTCAGACCTGCAAATGTGAGGTAAGCAGAACTTCTCTTCTGTGAGAAAGGACGGGAAAAGAAAGGCCATTAGTGTAATGGAAAATGCATCATCTACTTAATGATGTGGTCTTTCTACAGGGTGGTAAGGTCACATGTTCACCGCCAGTCTGCCCGAAGCCTGACTGCAGTGGAAAGTCAGGGGACGTTGTGACTCTCAAGGGACAGTGCTGTCCAATTTGTAAAGGTGAGTTTTCATTAAAGATTCAAGTATCACATCACAAAAATTCAACTTAAGTACACTCATCGAGCCAATCTGCGTCTTATCGTCTTTCCCAAAAGTTGTGAAGCCGAAGACAACATCTCGTATATCATATTTCAAGGCAAACTTAATAACGTCGATCGAGCTTTGCATTAGATGGTGTAACGGTTCCTTCTTGGAGGAGTAGATCTAAATAAGACAAGAATATAGATGGGCTTCACCTAACCGCTTGCTCAATTCGTTGAAATCTGATCCTTAACTTTAATCCATAATAAACGCTTTGTTCTACTTTTCTTATCATTTTCATTTCCTCAGAGGATCAGTGTCGCGGTACTGGAAAAGTTTTTAAGTGTGGTTGTGACGCCACCTGCTCAAATTATGATGGCCTCAAATGCCAATCATGTACTGAGGGTTGTTTCTGCCCTGAAGGGAGAGTACTGAATGGACAGGGAAAATGTATGGCAACTGCTCGCTGTGGTTGTTTGCACGAAGGAAAGAGATACAAGGTAGGGAGGTTATGTTAAATAAGAGGAGTTCACTCCTGTCGAGATCCTGGCATGTACAACTCGCACGGTGCTCACCAAAAATTTCAAACTCCATGAGTCGGCTATTAAAGAGATCCAATTTGGGTTGTGGTTTTGACGATCAATGAACCTCAACAGTTCTTCGTTTGAGAGTTTTCTATAACATAAACACATCAAGGGTAATTGACGTGTTAAGCATCCTATTTTAATATTTTGGTTCACTCATGTGTGACAATCGTTCGACTGCAAATGGAGAGTATTGGTTTTAGAGCGCGCTGTATGTAGCCAATCAGAGCGTAGGAAAACATCTTAAACAAATCTAACATGTTCCCTGATTGCATTTCACACCCGACCGAAAATTGCTCCATGAGTCAACTATCACTGCTCACTGTGACTTTGTTCCAAGGAAGAAAAAGTTAAGCTGAGGAAATGCAAATTATGAGCTGTCTTCTCTATGAGCCTTTTCATATCATAGATGGCATGATTACAACTTCTTCATCTTGTTCTTGTCATTATTGGTATTAGTATTATTACTTTTTTTTTACTAAAACATTCTTTTTTATCTATTGCCAACAGACATTGGAGCAGTATTCCGATAGTTGCCAATTCTGTTTATGCCTCGGTGGGAAAATGCATTGTGACAAACGGTGTTAAGTCATCATTTGACCAAGGGACCCTTTTCTGAAAAGTCCTTGATAAATGTAGTAAGCCTGATCTTCATGAATATATTGATATGTTAAGACTTAATCAAAAATAAAATAACCAAAAAAAAACTAGAGATTATTATCAGCAAAGTTCTTGGACAAAGACAAAAATTCATAGCAAAGTGATTGGAAATGGAATTTACCTCATTCCTTTTTTCGTAAGTTTGTAAAGAAACGTGTAGGATTGGTTAGTTACACTCGAGCCTATTGAAAATTAGAAATGATCATTTAATTGAACCATTTGAGGTCAACGCGACTTCTTTTTCCTTGAGGAGATTGTATTTCATCGTATAAAGAAAAAACATAGCCGTCTTGTAGTAATATAATAACAAGCCTTCATAAGTACGCTTTGAATTTACGCATTACTTCAATGTACTTTAATTTATTGAGATATCGTATAGCCTGTAACAACTGGTTTCAAAGGAAGCCGAATGTCTGCAATAAAACAGATTTTATACGTTATGAGGATTCAAAGAGTTTCGCACAGTTCAGTTATAACGTCATAAATCTTCCCGCTTAAATAAGTAAAATGGTAAGTTTGGGCTCGGTAGTTGAAAAAGAAATAGTTCCTTGGTTTCATCACAATTGTGGGACAAAGAAAAAATCTGAATGCCCTCAAGGAATTGAACCCCAGACCTAATCTCGTACCCAGACCTTCCAGGGTCGAGCGGTTGTAAGTATATTTCATTTACAGTTAAAAGGTAGGATCTGAGTACGAGATTACCCCAGACCTTCGGATTTCGCACTCCACTGCTCAACCACAGAGCAACAGAGAACTCAATGTCTAGGTAATATATTACTAGGTTCAAAGTGACTAGCGATACCGCCAGAACTTTAAATGTCAGGCGTCCATGGGAAGAAGTATGCCACACCTTGGCAGCTATGCTACACAGCTCACATCTAGGGATTGTTTCGTCATTTCTTTACTGTCTACCGGTCTAAGAAAGATTTACATCATTTAATTCTGAAATTTAACAAGAGTCGTTTGAGTTTGGGAATTATCAGCATAAATATGAAGTTTTCAGCAGTGACCACTTATTCCTTCCCGTAAGTAGATTTGTTACCACGGATCGTCGACCACATCGGCTGACTTGATTCACTTTTCCAAAACAAAACAATCAGAGTTTATTTTCCAATCTTTGATATCTGTTTGATTCATGGATCATGCACATTAGAAAGTAATCATTGTTATGAATTGTCCCTCATGTTCTTTTCGAAAGCGTTCGCTTCTTGTGGTGGTAACTGCTGCCCCAATTTTCATGAGTCCCAGCACTAAGTTATCACGGCTGTATTTGTGGGAACAGTAACTGTCGTAGAAGTTTCTTGTTAGTTTTTCTCTGAAGATACATTCTTCGTTTTTCATCATCTATGTCAGTGAAAAAGGGAAAGTAATTCGTTTTTAAGAACATCACAAATAAGAGACATTAATGGTCATAGTATCCAGCTTTTAGTAAAATTAAGAGATGCCCGCGCTTTGATCTGATTGGTCGAAGACTAAATTTCAAACGAGTGCCTCGCGTTTGGTCAATGTTTCTGAGAAATTGATAAACGCGACAGGAGAAAATTCAGTTGCGAAGAGCACAAAAGATGCTTTGGCGGAAAACTTTTCAAAAAAAGAGATAGTGAACTTTTGCTGATTTAATGAAATGAACCTGTTTATACTGCTTGCTAATCTTGATACGAATAATCAACACAATTGTAACAAACTATGCGTTCTGGTTCCTTTACTCGCAGATGTTTACAACAGAATTCGACAGCACATGAGCAATCGTATTAAAAAACAATTGTTGCGAATAATTGTTTTAAAATAACTTAATTCACAATGAGAACATGAAAGGGAACTGTACACACAGTTAACTACAACTATTGCTGGAAACTAACAGAGGAAAATTGCAACGAATTAAAACGCGTTGTCCTCATCCTTATGATATTCTTAAAAGTAAATGAAAAATTAGTATTAGATGGGCTGCCGCGGAAAATAGGCTCCAAAGTTTGTCCGCGGACATATTACCAGTTCGCAGAAATGAGAGTTTATTACGAGAGCATAATTCGAGGAAAACGATGAGCTTTGGTGAATAGATTAAGTCTGAGGACAAATGTAACTGATACTTTTGGAAAGCGTTCGACAAATTTTCCCTAAAAATTCTTGGCCTGATAATTCAAATAAGCGCATGAGATGTACGAGTCTAACTAACAAGTTATCAAAGCGATCCTTTTTTTGGAAATTTTACAGTTTTCGAAAGGTTATTTCGCCGAGAGTGAGAATAGTCAAAGCATATCAGGTGGACGGGTGAGCATGGATACGAGAAGTGAGTGGCTGCATGATTTAAAGCGCGTCGTCCGCAAGTGTAAAATCGCACAATTATCAATATATGAAGCTCATCTTCGCCTCGCATATTTCGCAGCCTGATTGTTCATTAATACTGATGCGATAAAATCTAAGTAACGACAAGAGCAGAGAACCTGCCATGACTTACCGTGGTGTACACCTCTCCGCAATTGTTCACTGCGAGATAAAACCCCGTATGAACTCCTCTAATATGTATAAGGTCTCTTGCCACTGGAACTAGCTCTAGCACGACTGAAAGATTAGAAAAAAGAAGGAATACCATATATTGTTCCGATCATAAAACCTGCTTGTACAACTAATTGAAGGAAACAGAACTATCAGATCTCTCCTTTAGTACGCGGGCGGTGATTGGTCAATGTAACGGGTCGTATTTCATTGTACGGCCCGCTAAATTCAAAAGTTTCTTTGAATCGAAATTTGAACCCACAGATATATATATATCTAACAGAACACGTTTTATAGGTTCGTTGTGAAAGTTACGGAACCTCATTTTTTCCGCTCAGATTCATGGCCCGAGTACTTCATTCGCAACAGAGTTGTGCAAATGAGGGCAAACAGGAGAACAAGAGAGCCTGCAATCTCTTACCATGTGGACTGTGGTAGTTTCTCGTTCCCTTCACTCGTCCTTCGTCAGTGATCTCCAAATATTGTCCGTTTATGCAGTAAAGTTTGCGCCTTCTGAACAGAGATGAAATGAGCAATTTCCCTGAGTTGTAGTTATTCAACTCACCTCAGTCAACGTTTACGGTTAACGATAAGATAAACTGCGTAAAGAGGCCCTCAAGGGTCATTCAATGACAATACTTTATTATGATCTTGTGTTCTCGTACTGGAGGTATGACAGCGAGGCCGCGGAAAAGCATAACGGAAGCGTAAGTTTTAAATTTTATCAATATTGATTTTATGAAGCTTTCACTGTCAAAACTAACAGCTGAGTAGAGTGGGTAAGTTTCTAAAGAAACTGTGGTGCTGCGTCGGTGTGAGAGTATAATCAACTGAGTTGATAACAAATTGGCGACCGTCAAGAGTTTGAAAGCTGACGTTTCGAGCGTTAGCTCTGACGAAGGGCTAACGCTCAAAACGTCAGCTTCTTAGTTGATAATACCAAATTACCCTGTTAACAGCTTCAAGTAGTTCGATCATCAAGATGTTATACCAATTTTGTGTTGCAGACACGTTTTTGTTTATGTTGAAGTGAGGTCATACCTAAAAAAAACAGTTTTGTATATATTGTGCATGTTTATTGAACAATTCATATTAGTATATCTTTGCATCGGTCATTAAGGTAACGCCAACAATCTCTCACCTTCCCATGTTACTCTTACTATCTTCTTGTGACTCTTTACGACGCGTTCGATGAGATAAGATCGATTTGGGCATAAGCATCTTCAACTAGAAAAGGCAGCGAAAATTTGTTTGTTAGAGAACTAGTTTATGGATGATGCTTCAATTATTTATTAGCCAGTTGAATTTTGTTTGTCATACAACGCTCGCTGACCGTTTGAGTAATCAATTAGGCGTCTAAAGAATTATTAACGTTTAAGATTCACAGAATTAAGGAAAGCAAAGTCGTAAATACCTTCCTTTAAGGGTGATGTTTAACCTAGTTTATTCTGTAGCTCTAAACTTCAATTCGTGATCATTTGTCAATTGTGTTTTATGAAGATAATGCAAAGCAATCGTTTCAAAACAAAATGGTTTTGTAATATTGCTCAGTGAACGAAGGTCATTTTCAACCGATGACCGGATTGCGTACATAAAAAAAGAAAAAAACTTTACCAGTCGCGAAATTCCAGTCTCTTGTACTGTAAACAAATTTTAAAAGTAAGTTGACTGCAAAATCATTTCATGAAAAGACAGCAAGCTCCGCAGGACTTAAAAATCACGATTTATTACTGTAATTTCTGGCTCGTATCGTAGAGTTTCTGCAGTAGCTTGAGTGTCTGATCACACACATGCCGAACCTAATCAGTTCACGAAAATGTTTTGAAAGTTTTGGACTTGTAGAGGGCAACTTGAATATGCGGTGAATGTTTTTAAGCGCCGAATACTGAAGCTACGAGGCATAAGTTTCCTCAACAATAAAACGATTGTTTCGACCTAAGGCATCATTTAAACAATCAAGTTGTGGTTATTCTTAGCACCAATGATTTTGATCTCTTCAAATGCTTACCTGCGAAACTCAGAGAACGAGTCTTTGACTTGTAGCAACTGAAGCAGGAACTTGATCTCTCTTTGCTATGTTGTTCGCTCACCAAGCTGGTTGGAAAGTTTGCATAAGATTTAAGCTTACATTAAGTTCAAACAAATAACAAGACACCCGTGAAGTAATCCGGGTAATGTATTCCTCCCAATGTTCTTCTCTATAAATGAAAATTTCTAAGCATTGCTTCCCTACCGATATTGATAATTGAGGTCGTGCGGAGATTTCACCACGGCAGCAATTTTAGGCGGAAGCTCTCATTGCGCTGTTGTAGTCAAGCAATTTGTCAGCTTTGATTGGTAGTAAATCAGTGAAGTGTTAAACTTGCAGGTCTCTCAGTTAATCATACAGAAACCAAATTGGCCGTGTTAGAGCGACTTCCATCTGTAGCTCATGGGTTAGTAGCAAACACGGATCTGTTCCTTGTAATGAAGCTCTCGATCATGATGTTAGCAGTGAGAAAATGGTAGCAGTCGGAAGCAGAATAAACAGCCATAATATTTCAAAACCTTAATTTGCATGGACATTACATTTGTTATTATGCCAAAGTAAGTGCCCTTTTCAGTCATTTACTATCAGCTATCGCGAACTCCCCGTTGTCTCGAACTGTGTTCGCCTTCCCCTGGCTCAAATTTAACCTGATATTGAACCCGAACGTCGGTCGCTAAACGTCAAAGTGTCAGAATATGGCTGATTCATTGATTGGTACGAGCGTGATTACATACAAAAGAACCGCCGATATTTTACAACAATCAACAGAGGAAACCTCCAGTTCTGTACAAAGATGAATTTTATTCAGTTCTGTTGCTTGGATTCAAAATAGTCTCTCCCACAGACAAACTGGTTATTCCACACTAATTTCTAACATGACGTTTCAAAAATTAAAACACTTGAAAACTGACATATTCACAACTACACAATGTCACTTCCGCTGCCCTAACTGTGACTAAGCAGCGGAGGGAAAATCTAGGAAAACCCTACAACATCAAGATGTTGAACGCTTAAAAAAAATTGGTGTAAATCTGCACTGTAGGAGCGCCCAGCTTTCTGAAGAGACGTGTACATTTTCAAACTATTTCTGTAAAAAAAATTTACTTCTGGGTGCCGCGAAAGGAATAATGAAAGAGAAATAATCACTTCACAGATCTTCCATACTCATGTTCTGCGATTTCTCGATCCTGACTTGGAATGAGTAAAAGGAGTCAAGGAAAAGACAGTTGACGAGGATGTTTAGAGAAAAATTCAGTTCATGAATAAAGCTCAATGAAAGAGGCTTTCCTCCCTAAATCAGAAATTGATTTAGATTAGATTTCAAATCATAAGGCCTAGTGGCCCTAACTCAGTGACAGTGCTAATCCCCGGTTTCTGTAACATGCAGTGAATTGGAGTATTGTTATTCCCTCTAAATTAGGAGCTAGTTTCTTACAGAAACCCCTCTGGGATGGGGAAGAGGGGAGTACTTGAGATTTTGCTGGGTATGTGCCGTTTGCTTCTCAGAACTCCTACTGATTATTCTCTACTCTATGGTGAATTATAGACCCCCGCCATCTTCGTAACTTTTGATAACGCAGCAACAACTTTTTAACCACGAATCTACCAAGTTTTAAATCCCTACTTCTCGTAGTTTCCTTACTTCCAAAATCCTGAAAATGTGCGACCCCGTTCAAACAACTCTATTGAAAATGCCACCCCATCTAGCGGCACATGCCCATCAACCTATTACCAGGAAGTACCTCCCTCCACGGAGCACGAAACTCATATATATTATGCATCTTGTCAGATTTCATCTATGCTCCCGTGTGGAGAGAGGGACTCTGAGAGAAAAAAGTGGAGATTCTAAGAGGATTTAAAAGATAAATTGGGAATTTTTGACGCTACAAAGCCCCCTCAGGATAGATGAGTTGTTTTATTTTAAAGTCACTGTTAACAAAGGATATTGTTTCCTTGGCCGTTCCTGTTCTTCCTTGGGTTCAGAGTCTTTGACTTCAAGGTGACGAGACTCTTTCTGCAAAGTAAACAAACCACCATAGTAAATTGTATGTACGTTCAATATAAGGAATGAATGGTTTGACCACAATTTCGATCCAACATCCCACCCCAGGAAGGCGATCTGTTAAAGAGAGAGAGGTAATGGCGTACGTAAAATTTCTTTACAACTATTTTTCGTAAGGTACACCAACGTAAAGAGAATCGATATCCATATCCATACCTTTTTACTCGCAGTTGGTTTAACTTCCTTCTCTTTTTCCCGGTCTTTATCTTTTTCTTTATCTTTTGCTTTTTCCTTCTCCTTTTTTCCAGGAGGTGAACCGTCTGCTGGTGGTTTCCTAGCAAGTTTCACCATTTTTGATTTCTCCTAAATCCCGAACGAAAGGATTGAAAATCTTTTAACTGTAGAAACTTTGTTCACAGAACAAGTGACAGCTGTTGGAAAGCTTCATGAAAATTCTTGCTGTTCATTCAGTTTGATTACTGTCACACTACATTGCGTGACCAATATTCACCCTAAATGTTGCGCCTGTTGCGCCTGATGATAAAACATTTCTTACCTCGCCTTTCACTTTGACTTTTGCGTCTGATCCGTGCGAATTGGATGTCTTGGATACAGTAACTGTATTTTCTCCGTCTTCTTTCCTCCTTTTGGCTTCTTTTCCTTCACCTTGTTCTAACGAAGTCTATATCAAGGAAGAAACGATGGAAATTAATCAGAGACAAATCGTCAGAAAAGCAGAAGATAACAGTAATACGTGTTCTGTTTATCAAATGGCTTAAGCTTGTGGCCGATATAACGCACGCTCTGATTGGCTCAGAGCGAGATAAAAGCAGGGCATTACGCTTCCGTAATGACCATGGGCCGATTAAGGATTACACAAATTAGGCCCTTACTTCGGAAGAACACAAAAGTTCTTTCCAAGACCGCGACTTTACATGATCTCTAACATGAAACAGTTTTACATTTGGTGGCAAATAACGCTGACTTTAATAAAGCCCGCGGTTTACGTCAAGATGAAAGGTTGCTAAGCGAAGTTCCTAATACTTTGCTTCCATTTCAGACGACGATTGTGCTCTTTCAATAACTGTTCCCCAAAGGCATGGCGACTAAACAACTTCATGGTAAACAGCTACAAAACCCACCCGTTTCCTGTCCGATTTTAAGGTCTTTTCCTTTTCGTGATCCATCAGTTTTGATTTCCGTTCCTGATTTTCAGGACTCTTAAGAGAAAAGGCAAAAAAAGAGTTAAAAACAACTTTGTATGTATCTAAAAACCATTTTTTCTCATTAAACGTAAGGTTTGAGGCAAAAAGTCAACACTGCACTGGAATGAGTGGGGGAGGGGGGGTATTCTGTGTACACACTTGATGTAGTTACCCTGTAACCAATTTACATGGTTTTTCCACGAAGTATTGGAAATTTACCTTAAATGACTCAGAATCACCAGCAACCTGCGACGGAGAGTTCTCCTGGAAAGCAAAATTGAAATATCGCACAACATATCTCTGCAATCATTTTAATTTTAAGGAAAAGCAGCAACAGAATTAAACTTTAAGAATTATCAACACAATCAAACAGATCAGTAAAAACGAAAAAAGGAAAAATTGACAACCCAAACCTGTGAAGATGGCGAAGAGATGCCTTCAAGTCGGCGACGCTTCGCTTCTGAAAGAAAACAAGTAAATAACTAGGTCAGTGATGGGTTGCTTGTTATTTTTATCTGAGCTCTGATTCCACTTATGGAAACTTACGGGGTAGGTATTACAAAGAAATATCATCTGTCAGCGAATCTACGAAAATGACCCCAAAAAACTTCATTGATTAGAAGATTGCTTTCAGTAATCGTTTCAAAATTTAGGATTGAGGCACACATCGCTATCACAAAGCGACCATGAAATTTCTTTTCATTCAAAGAGGAAGACTTGCCAACGTAGGTAAACCCTTCGACGATTCCCAGACAATTTGGCCGCTGTCCAGGTATAATCACGTTCGGTTTGTTTCAAGAGTCAAGCGCACTGAGCACTACATTCTAAGCCACGTTTACTGCTAGCTCGAACGTTAAAGTACACAGGCCGTCTCATTTCGCTTGCTTTTCTTCCAGTTCTAAATCCACCAGAGAATATTATCTATTGACAATTACTCCAGACGCTATAAGATCAGCCGAAAGGAAAACAGCATAAGTTCGCTTCTGACAGCTTGCCCGGCGTTGGCATTACCTTGGTTCTATATCGGTATCTCTCTCTTTCTCATATTGTAATACCATACGAACTAAATGTGTTCTGTAACTGACTGTACCTTTTTCGTACTCTCCATCACGCGGCGACTCAGGCACAGCTGGGGAGGAATGTTTACTTTTACTTCCCGAGCGTTCTTTTTCCTTATCTTTCAGTCGTTCTTTCACTTTGTCTTTTCCTTCCCTTTCAAGACTCTTACTTCGCTCTTTCTCTTTGTCCTTCGTTTTCTGTTCCTTAGCCTTCTCTGTTTTTTCTCCTTTCAACTTTTCTTTAGGTTTGTCATTTTGTTCTTTTTCCGTAGCTTTTTCTTTTTCTTTGTCCTTGAGCTTCTGTTTACTGAAAATAACATATCAAAATCGTTATCTTTTGGTTTGTAATTGCGTCCTCGTGAATACCAGTGCATTTTCTAGTTCTTAGCTTAGCTGACGAAACCAAAAGATCAATAGGAAATTATTCCAGTTACAAAAAATCAAAGAAAACTTTTCACTACATTTGATACTCACCTGGACTCGGTCTTTTTGCTAGTAGACACGTCGCTTCCGTTCGTACTTCCTTCTGGGTTTTTAGCGCTGGTGGGTGTTTTTGTTCCTTTTGAGGTTGAATTTGACGCAACAGTTTTGGACCCTGGCTGATTTGAGTTACCACCAGTAGAGCTGGATCTAAGATCAACAAAAAAGATTTAAATCCCGTGTCAACTGCGGTAAACCAGAACTGGACCAACGCGGCTCAGACAGCGAAAATTTTTCGCCGAATCCAAAGCTTCCGGCCTTTCCCAGTCTCCTTCGCAGTCGTTCCCAAAAAAGGGAGAAATCTGTGACATTCCGAAAAGTGTTTGTCGTTTAACCTTAAGGACTATTTATCCGATAATTTCCGAGCCACTTCTCTGATTGACAGAATAAATAATGCAACAAAAGAGGGCATCTTCCAAGAAAGTTTGCGACGAAAACACGTGACTATTTTTTTTAACTTAAAGAGAAAATAACGCTATAAGCACACACTTAGTTATACAGCGACTCAATTCAGTATCTTACTTGTTACTAGGCGTATTTTTTCCAGGCGAGTCAGTTTGACCACTTGGGGTACTGGTGCCAGATGATTTCGCACTGGATGAGCCTGCACTTGATTTGCCAGCTGATTTTTCTTGAGATGTGGGCGTGTTGTCGGTTTTGGTCGAGTTGGGACTGGGTAAGAAAAAGAGCCCATTAGATTGAAGCAAAGTCACAAAGCATTGTACACTGTTCATTATTGAAAAACTTCTACAATTTCTCACTGATGAGAGTTTGTTCAATTTCGACATAGGTAGCTTTAAAGGAAAAAGAGACAAACCTCGACGATTTTGAGTTCTCCGGCTCTTTTTTGTTGTTCGCTGAGAAAAAAAAAACCAGAAAGAAACAAACTGTTAACAAATCTAAAGACGCTTGTTGTAAAATGTTGAATGTTTTCCTCATCTTGTATTCCAAGATCTTTTCCTCCGTTAACTATCCACACTTCTTTCAGTAGTTTTTCTCTCTTCACTGTGTAACCTATATAACATCTTGGACATGGTTAACTTCTAACCTGAGAGCTTCGGCTTCACATCTGTATCGTTCTTTGCAGATTCTATGATAAAGAACAAAAATTTAAATCACATGATGATTGCGACTGAATTAAACCGCTGCAGTGCTTGGAAAACTTACTTGATGAGTCCGAGGTCGCCGTGGAAGTTGGTTGAGCTTCCTAAAGAAATAAACAGAGTGTTAAGGACACAAAAAAACGTCCACAGATCTCACTTTACTTTCTCAATGGAGTAAACTGACAACCAAAAATGCACGAAAGACTGAACGGCGCTGAATCATTCGAGTTTACCTCCTGAAACCCAATACCTAAAGCTGGCTATTGTTTAATGATAGAGATGTAACACTTGTACTGCAACTCACGGTTTTTTCCTGTTTGACAGTAACTGGTTCACTCTGAGTTGACGACGGAGCAGTGGTTGCAAGAGGCTGAAAAAAGATAGACCGCGTATAGAAAGTAACAAAAAATAGAAAACTGACACCAACGTGACATTTTCCATTTCTCTCGTAACTTCCTCATATGAAGGTGCAAATTACAAGGTAGAACGACAAATGTTTTTTTTTCGGCAGTTGTTTGAGGAAGGCAGACATTAAATCAATTGTGTTCTCCAAAATTTACCTGTTGTACAGCTTGCTACGAAAAACAAGACCACAACAATGAACCTCTCGTTTGAAACACCTCTATTTCAGGGACATCATTTGTGTCCCAAATGTAGCAAATACCACTCTTAGCCTTTGCACGTGTTACCAAGAGTCGTTTTTATTCGAGGGACACTTTCTACAGCATTAATGGTGTTCATTGCAAAGAGGTTCCACTACTTTCTGGACCAAATTAACAAACTATACAAGCAACTGCGTTCAGCCAACCTGAAAAGCTAGATTTAAAAACATTAAGTTTGACAAATTTCTGCAGTTAAATTTACCTTTTCCTTGTGATGGAATTCGCTCTCTATCACCATATCTCTTTTCTTAACTTTCAAACGACCTGCATACCTGAAAAGACATGAAATCAAACATTAAAATAATAATTACAATGGGAATACCGCTGCTAAATTTGGAAAAGAAATACAAAGAGAAACTTCATAAATCGCCGTCATAAGCCACTAAACATTCAACAACAAAGAAATCCAATTCTCGTACCCTACAGCTAACGTGTAAATATCCTGTCGTTTCTCTTTCTCCTCCTCACAGATCTTATCAATTCTTCTTTCCAGTGCTTGACCAAGATTTAACACTTTGGGGTAATAGGGCAAAATCTGTCAAAAGAATTGGGTCAAATTAAAAACACGACGAACACTTACCATGATCTCTGCAAAGATATCGAGGTAATGAGTTAGGGAAATATTCCCTGTGAAGGAAATGGCCCAAAATCTCGAGCGATAAAAACCAATCAGTGTAAGCTTAGCTGTTGATATTATAGACAGCTGCTGCAGGTAAATGTCGCGAGAATAACAGGCATTCTGCCCGATGAATTTGACAGGGCTAGGAACCTACCTTGGTTAACACCATAATCGTGTTCCTTATCTGAGTATAATCCTTAGATTCTAAGCACACCACAAGAGCCTGAGGAACAGAAAAACAAGACGATGACGAGATACGACTTAATAATTTGGCAATCGGGTTTTTCGGCGACTATAGCTTACTTGAAACCGACAAAAAAAGAAAAAACTAAATTAAATTAAAAAAACAGCTCTTCTGCAGAATCTTACGAGAAGTTAAACTTCGGACAACCAATTGAAACAGAGCATGTGACCCTCGTAACCTGCGTAAAGCGCGGAAAAAATTACGCAAGCCGGGCCAGTTGACCTTTAAGTATTGATTCTGCATTTAAGTGGTTTTAGAACATTTATGAACGAATAAAACAATTAGTATTAGGAATTACTCGCGTGTGGAAGCTGTTACGTCAGCATTTCGACCCATGGATGTACCACTTTCTAAGCAACTTCTTTCAAAGCTCGAGATTCGCACTATATTTTCTGCGCTTTGACCCATACAATATTGCTGCAGTAGGCATTGTTTCAGTAAATTGGGAAATATACTATAAGTACCTTTGTGAGTTTATACTGCCACTTGTGGCAAACGTGTCTGTAATTCTCGTAGTCTAGATGATCAGCTTTATCGTTGTTGGTAGCTCTTAAAACTGTCACAAATCCCGGATAAGTTCCACATTCCTAATGAAAGACGAAAAAGAGCACTCATATACTATATGTTAACCAACTTTTGCCTTTCTTGGACGTGACAAAAGCCATCTGGTTTTTAATTGTATTCTGAACACTATACAGCCTGAGCGTTCACTAAATAGCTAAACGATATGTAGAATTACCACACATTCAAGGGAAAAAGTTTTTCCAATAAGGGTTTGTTTATGAACGTATTTCAGTGACCTAGTACAAACAAAGGGCCATGTCTGGGAAACTAACAGACTTTGAAAGGAGAGATGATAGCAAATAAAAAAATTACTAAATTTTAAATGTATCACATGACAAGATAAGCAGATACAACAACAAAATAAGAATACCTTATCGTATGTTTTCTTGTCACCGTGCCATCTCATAACTATTTCAAGCATTGAACATAAAAACCGACCTATCACGGGAAAAAATCTAAGGTTAGCACTCAAATATGGTACTCTCCACAGAGACACGCTCCTACTTCTCCTTCTGATTTTATCAAGGCAATGCCTCCCAGCTGATAATATATTTTTTTTAACCACGTCATCGGCCAAACGAAAAAAAAATGTAAATATTTTACGAAATATAATTCAAGAACTCAAAGCAAACACATGAAATAAGCGTGAAGCGCGGGAAAACGCGGGTGACTCTGTCGAGATTTGTTTCAGCTTTTCATCTGATTGGTTGAGAAAATGGCGTTGTTTTTTTTTTCAAACCAATCACAAATCGCGGTCAAGTAACAACAACGCAATCCCGAACCACTTTAGCCTTCCAATTGGAAAATTGCTCCATTTGTAATACTGGTTCATAATATTCGTTCATGTAACTTACCATATCTACTGGCTTCATTTTCTGTACAGCTGGCTACTGTGTAGGAAATATCTGAAAATACCTTAAATGAAAAAAAAATTAATGTAACGTAAAGTTTCTCCCTTTAAAAAGAATACATATCTAATAAATGAACTGAAATGCCACTTACTCTATCAAAGCAGAGCAGTGTTGAGAAGTTTGGCGTTTTGAGATTATGCAGCATGTGGACAAACTTGGCGCAGTACACAGCATCGCTCGCAGTAAACACACATCTCGGGAACATACAGAGCTGAAGAAACTGTGTAATGGTCTCACTCTTTGTCGCTTCTAAAAGAGATAAATTATAACTCAGATGCGTAACAAGAGTTTCCAGAACAAAGCGCCACAAAAAGCTCACAACATAATGAGCTAGAGATGCCGAAACATAACACAAGAAGTAACAAACCAAGAAACAAGAAGGATAGCTAAGAATAAAAACAACAAAAACGGATTACAGACAACGAACTTGAAAAATCCCGCATAAATTTCAGTTTTCCACAGGAATACACCGAGACGTCCTCAAGATAACTTTGAACTTACTTGCTGGCAGCCATGAGTCTCTCTCGTGTTTCAGCGATGCCATCACTCTTTGGTTATGTTCTTCCTGTTGTTTAAACTCTTCTTTCAATTTTTCCACTAAAAGAGAACACCTCTCTTTTTCCTTCTTCTTTTTGCTGACCGGCTGTGAAAACCATGACATACTTTAACTAAATACACTCAACTGAGGCTCAACACAGACAATTCTCATTAATTAAGGAGTCTCAAACGGTCAATTTTTGGGAGCTTTGTGATCTAACAATAACAGAATGGCACAGAATTACATAAATCAGGCCCATAATCTCTTTGATTTAGAGAGGAACCACTGTTAGGGCAAAGTTTCTAACCCCAGAACACAACACGCAACTTAGTCCTTGCTCGATCACGGACCTCTTCACAAAACACTCAAGTCAAGTCATCTTTATTTAGGCAGGGTGGCCCTTTCAGCTCTAAGCCGGTATCAATAGGGGGCCCCGGGAGAAAAAACATATTTCACGCCTACACTGATTCAAGAAATTGCTCTCAACTAGCAAAAGGGGAAGCATTTCTGCTGCAATCTTTGCCGAGCACGGGTAGCCCGTTAAGACAAAAAGACATCACAAAAACTATCAGATGTGATTGGAACAGAAAATCAAAATTTGATTCAACTTTTCAAGACCTTCGGTTTGATAATAAAACTTACCATATCCTTGTTATCATCCAGCTGCGCTTGTTGTTGTTTCAATTTATTCAGTTCCTGTTCGTATCTCTCGGATGGTACATACAGATCAAACATGGACAGCGCCCAGAAAGTCACATACAACTGAGGACTGAAATGTGAACCAACCATAGAATTGTTATTTTTCATCCAAAGCAGATGAAGAATGTACTTTATGTCCTTCTTCTTTGTTTGTTTGTTTGTTTGTTTGTTTGTTTTCAGTTTAATTTTTTTTCTTGAAAATCTGATATTCCAAAAGTTTCAGTAAATCTTTGTTGCAACTTTTTACTGCAACATTCAACCTTTTCTCGATCTAAATTAACGATAAATTCTCTTCTCTGATCCCCATACATGCTATTGTGCTTTCGTAAAGAGATTTCGAATCAATCTTTTGCCAAGATATTATTCCCTTGCTGATTATTTGGTCCATTCTCGCCACCTGTTTGCGTGACAATGTATTAGAATGAAAGGGAGAAGATACACACTGATCAACCCACCTGATACTGTTCCAGACTCTTGGTGCCTGCAAGAGCCGTGCACTCTGGAACACAGGCTCCATCGCAGAATTCACAGCTTCAATGTAGCACTGCAGAATTTGCTGTACAGAAACAAATTAAATGTTATCTGTTGTGGGAATGCAGGTCAGGTGAATTCATTGAAATATCTGTGAAAAGCTTACTTTTAAGCATTAAAATAAGGTGCAGTTGTTATAAAATCAGACAGATTTCTTTGTTTGCGTGCAGAACGTTCAATATCCTTGCAGTTACGTTGAACTGACTGACTACTCGAAACAAGCCTTCTACGGTCGGTGTGTGAACAACAACAACAACAACAACAACAAAAAACCCTGACCAACAACCAAAAAACCCAGCACTGAACCATTGTCCCGCCCTCTTAACCATTATGGCGATAAAATCCGCAGCACTCGCCCCTGGACAATTAGCCCCTTTCACGATTTCTTTGGACGATTAGCCCCCAGTCCCCGATTAGTCACTTAGTTTATGTAAAGGAGAAGTTACGTTCATTTGTTGGTCATTGACTTTTAAGTTTGTGGCCAAGGAAATGGCTATAAAATTTACTCAATTTAAATTACATGGGTTGTACCACCAGTCGATAGACGCACCGGTTTTATTGCGGTAATCCCTGCGACACGCCCGATTGACATCAACAAGTAGTCGCCAATAAGTTAAAGCCGTCCCTGGTTTTATTTAAACAACATGACGGAGAAACATTCGTCCAGAAAGAACACAGTTCATTTTTGTAGAATATATAAACAGAAAGAACACAGTTCACTTTATAATTCGATACACGCAGAAAACGTTCATAACAAGGCAACAAGACGTTCAAAAAGCAAACCTTGATTTATTTCATAATATATGATAGGGAAACGTTTAAAAAGTAAAGGGCAAGAACATAGTTTATTTCAAGGTTGGTGGGTTGGGGCGTCCAGAGACTGGGGGCTAATCGTCCAAATGCTGAAATCGTCTGGGGCTTTTCTTGGAAAAATCATACATGTGCATCAATATCCGTCATAACTGCACGCAGAAGTTGAACCTGATTGGGTTTATAACTGAAATCCGGCCAATCGCTGCGCAGGGATTGGATACCAATCACTGCGCTTACTTTCTTATCGGCTCCGGAGTCAGTCATATAACATCTCAAAAAAGCTTTACTTTGCTCTGGTTTACCGACTCACTTTTTGTTGAAGCTGTTTTCCTTTGGCAGCTATTGCTTTCTTTGCTTCTTCGTACTTAATCTAGGAGGTGAGTACAGAACAATACACTAAAAAAGTGTGCCTTTGTTCAATATCTTAGAATTGAGATCTTAACTTCAATATCATTTTTCAGAAAAAAAAGACATCTTTTTTTTCAATACTCACATCTATCTGGTGGACAAACATAGGTCTAGACAGAAAGAATGCCACGTCAGGAGTTAGATGATAACTTTGGCCTAAAACATCCAAGGACGGTACGTGTGATTCGTATTCTTCAGCAGTTAACTGCGAGGCGAGAAAGCCACCGAACTGTACTAAGGTGTCTTGGCACTAGAAAACAAAAGAATTTCTACAGTTCAAGTAAAAGATATTGAAAACACAGCACTCGTACAGAGTTGTCCATAGGAGTCGTTAGGCGGTCAAAACTTCTAGTCGGTCTGTCATCTTTAGCTAGCTACATTCAGCTTATTTCACGCAAAAAAGTAACGACAAAAAAAATCGTAAGATTATTTAATTACCACCGAAGACATTTGACTGGAAAAGACTGGAATTAAATGCAAATTTTACCAATACCAGGTTTAGACGTAGATTCCCCGTTCAAAATTTGCTTGAAGATTCACGAGAACTATAAAGAACACCTGCACCGTTTTAAACTGAATAGTTCCACTAGGGCAGAGACATTCACGGAAATTTAAGTTTGTTGGATTTGCAACCATCGGTGCAATGAAAACTTCCAATCATACCTGGTCATAGAGCTTTCCAACAAGCTTCAGATGTCTATCAGGATCTTCAAAAAACACAATGCCATTCCTCTGTTGAGCCATGAGCAGGCAGAGCGGCAAATCTAACTTTCCCTCGATGAGAGTGTCTCTCAACCTCTGGGAAGATTTCTTGGTGTTTCTAATCTGGCCAAAGTATCCACCCTAGGGAAAAAAACATTGACACAACTGTTGGCTATGTTACCGTAAACCTTGTCAACAACATGAATGAGGTGAAGAAAAGTTAGTAGAAACTTGCCTACAATTGATGTTAAAAGGCATCATTATCCTTTATTCCGTAAACCTCTATGAGTGATTAGCATCTAATTTCTCCCTACAATATCAGCTCCGAATCAAACATTGAGGTCATGAGAATGGAGGAAATGATCAACAACTAAAGAGGCTCTTAATTTTTAAACAAATTCTCCTCATTAGCATCTTGGGAAATACATTGAGAACAGTATGGAGAATATGCAAACTGATGCTTGGGTGTAAAGGGTTACTGGTTACTGCCCTTATCTTAGTCTTCATGGCATGTGGCAACAAGGGGTATTATCACTCTCCCTGAAAGGCTTGCTAAATGTACATGTAGCCTTCACCACAACATTGTTTGTTAGTTGTCATTTGTACTTCTAATTTGAAAGAGGCACTGTGAGAGAAAACTGTCTTCTTCTGGAGCACAACACAAAGACTCAATCAGGAGTTGAGCCACAATCTCCAATCTGGAGTCCAATACATTCACTACTGGCTTCTGTTGCCTCACAGAGCAGACAATAAAAACATATTTACCTCAGCCCTCAGAAGTTCGCCACCAGACAAAGCTTCAAGTTGCGCTGCTGTCACCTCCTCTGATATTTCTATTCCAGACATTTTCTGAACAACTTCCTTCAACACCAGCAAATCAAAACTTTTTCCAGCTTTGAGCTGATTGGCCACATACTGCAGAAGACCAGTAAGCTCAATGGAATACTTTCGGAATACAGTACCGCAAAATACAGCTAGACCTGAAACAAAACAATGAAGAATTCAGTTGTACACCAGTTTAGCTTGTGTGGAAGCTCTCTCCAACCCAGCTGCCCCTACCCCAGGAAAGCTGATTCACAGGCCAACATCAAGAAAGTATTTCCCAGCTGATTAATTAAGGATTTCTACTCAGCTACCTGCTTGCATTTTCATTCATAATGTCTGTTGAAACTACAAATTGCACGTCCCTCTTCCTTTCCACTTACGATATGGGAAGTTAGATCCTCAGGCCACTGAACTTGATGTTGTAAATATCACAAACCATGTGAAAAATAACAGTGTTGAAAGTTACAATAAGATGGACCTTACTTTTGAGCCACTCAGAGATGTTAGTGTCTTCATGTTTTAGCCTTTCTCTTTCAGGATTTGCTAAAGCCTCAATGATACAATCTGTCATCTTGTTAAGGAAACGAGTAATAGCAACTGCAAACTTGCTAACATTTAACCTACTGTTTAAGTAAAGCTACCATGTATGCTGGTCTGCCATTTCAACTACAATATAGATGACATACATGTAGAAATTCTGTTGTTTCGTAACCTGTACAGCTGTGCCCTGACAAGGCATTTAAGTGAAGAGAATCTTTATGACCTTATGCAAAAAGTGGGAGAATAAAGACAATAAAATTCCTCTTTCAGTTAGGATACAAGCTAAAACATCATACGCCAAAGGAGTGAGGTACTTCAGTGAATCCACCACAGGCCCAATAAAGTTATCATACTTCTGAATTTGTGACAAGAGCTGTGGATGAATAATGGGGTCATGAGATCACAACGATTGTTCTAAGAAGGCAAAGAGTGGGCAAGGTGCTTGCCACACAGTCACCAAACCTCACACCTGTAAACAGAACTAAAAATTGACAGCAAAACAAAAAAGACAGGCACATCTAGGGTTACTCATTTGCTGAGTAATTTAGTGTATCAACTGAGTTGATAATGTAATAGTGTAGTTTGATTGTCCAGGTGAGTGTAGTCCTGAGAAGGACTGTTGCCAGTAGTGGTGACTGACGTTTCGACAACCTGAGCGGAAGTCATCATCAGAGTCAAGTGAAAGGTTGTTGTCAGTCGAATGTACTTAGTCCGGTTTGTGTACACTGATTGGTCAGTTTTGCCGTGATGTTATTGACTGTAAGACTCTAGTGGCATAGGTCAGTCATGATTGGTTGGTTTGGATCTGTTAGTGAAGTTAGGTCGTTCTTTTCGGTTCGTTTGTAATGTTAATGTCGTGGATGAGTCGTTTGTATGGTGCTGGTAATGGTTGACACCTGTTGAGAGGAGTCTGTTCCAAGTTAGTAAACCAGCTTTCCAGGGTCAGTCATCAAAAGTAGTTGGTGCTGTAGGTTAGGCATTGCGCAGAGTCCCAGTCAATAGTGTGGTTCGTAAGTCAGTGATGTTCAGCAATGTGATTGTTGACATTGCCTTTCCTTGTCGCTCATTTGTGTTCAGTCAGTCTAGTTGTGAGGTTTCTGCCAGTCTCACCAATGTAGAAGGCGTGGCAGTCGGAGCTGATAACATAAATTGGCCACCATTAAGATTTTGAGCATTAGCCCTTCATGAGAGTGAATACCAAGTTATAACTTGGTTGACAACACTAAATTACCCTGTTATACTCTCCCACCGACACAGCACCACAGCTTCTCAGTTTCTTAAGAAACTTTCCCCCTTTACTCATTTGCAACTGTACAAACATTTTGCAACTGTACAAACATTTTGCAGCTCTAATGAAAACACTGCATCAATGATGACAAACAAGTGTAGAAACATCTTAATTTCATTTCTGCATACTTGTACAGCACATTATATCTAAATTGCTGCAAACTTACATATTCAAACAATATGCCTGGATTACTGTGACTCAATTTGCCAATCTGCCTTCCAGAGGGCTTGACATTTTCTTTAGTTAACCTCCTGAGGACAGCAATGACAACATAAAAATTATTTTAAAGTCTAGCCTTTGGCAGCTCCTTCCATCAAATTCAGAAACTACACTAACAGTAACTTACTTAGTAATGTATTTTGCTCTCTTTATTGTGGCTGCTTTTGCTACAACCATTTTAGGATGGTTGCTGTAAGATTCATTTTTCCACTGGCCATAGAGGCGATACCTGACACAAGAGACATAATTGAATTTTGTTTAGAAAAAAACAAGCATGAAAAAATAACTATATTGTTTTCAACATGTTGAATTACAAGTTATTTTAATAAGATGACTGTTTGTGGATGAACGAATGAAGAGGCAATTTCTCCAGCCACAGCATCAGAAAATCCACAGTTTCTCTTGGAAGTTTGCAGCATTGAAAGATAATGTGAGTTCCTCTATGAGAAGAGGACATCAATAACTCTCATGTAATTGAGCTACACTTCCCTAATAGAATTAAATAACCTTGAGAATTCTCTTGAGTGGAATCCATAGACAAAACTGTGCACCCACAAGAACCACAATGTTCCTGAAGGCTGGGGTGTCAGAAATTTGAGGTACCTAGTGCTGATAAGCTTCCACATATGGGGAAGTGATACAAGTCACTCAAAGACCAAAGTTAGTCTCCTGACAGTATTATCTGCATTCTGCTAAAGAAAAACCGTGACCTATCATGCTTAACATTACCAGGGACAATCTTTATAGGATAATAACAGCAGGGTTAGACTTTAATTTTTCACTCTATTAGATCCGTGGGCCCTAAATCCTGGTTAAGACACACATGATATACCTGAGCTCATATGGAAAACGACACAACATGGCCCAAAGTTCTTCAGCCAAACTGGAGTTACATTCCAATAATGAAATTGATGGCAACAGGACTTCATCCATTAGGGTCAAAAACCCACACCAGACTTTCTCAACCTACAGATCAAGTCAAGTAAATACATCAGCACAATCTGAACAATTTAACAAAAATTTGACAAATTTTCTTCACAAGATCAGTATGTGACAAATCTGAGGAATTTAGGCATTGAATCAGTGCAAAAAAGCACAGCAACAAACTACATAAACTGGCAGCCAACTTCTAAAGGGGATGGAAGGATTAATTGACACAGAAAAGAGAAGAGCTTTCATTACCCAATACAACCTCACATCAGCATGCATATTCTCCATACTGTTCTCTGTACATTTCTTAAGATGATGACAAGGAGAATTTGTTTAACAAGCAAGAACTTCTTTGGTTGGTGATAATTTCCTTTTCATCTCATGAACTTAAGGTGTGTTTTGGGGGTTACATTGTAGGGAGAAATTAGATGCCAGTCACTCTCAAGAGGCAAAAGGCTATGGAAATGAAACTACTATTGCCAATAATTATTCCTATGAACACAACCACAATTGAATATTGAGAACTATTAATGATTGAAATTTTCAGAACTCTACAGTTAATCACTATTAAGACTACCAATAATAAACACAAACAAACCTGAGCTGAATTCTGCTCCTTTTCCTCAAACACATTTGGATGCTTTCAACACAAAAGGAAACATTTCCAGTCAAATTTTCTGATTTAAAATATTTCTTGTGTGTCCCAAACAGAAATATCATTTCTGTTGTTTCCTCATCAGCCATGTTTTGCTATCATGATTATACTCAATGATTTTGATTAACCATCATTGAGGAAACATAACATAAATTGTCTTAGATTTTCATTACTTTTGTCAGAGTAACCATAAAATCAGCCTGAGCGTTTGTCTTAAATACTTTGGAATTTACAGAGCAACAGTAACTGACCAATACAAACAATGCATAACCACTTCAATAACCAATATAGATAAATCTAAAAGTAAACAGGTGATGAGAGAAGAGAAAGTTGACAGTTTGCAAGTGTTTTCCTGATATAATGCCAAATTCCTAAAATTGATCTGCAAAAATTTCATAGAGACTAGATAGTAGAAATGAAAATCAGATTTGGTGTGTACCTCGACCTTTCCATCATCTCAAATTTAAGGTAGAATTTCTAATAGAAGACCTGTGTCTCTTCTCTGTGTCCTAATACATGTAGCACTAACTTTTCCTGGATACCCCAAACTTGCAATCTGAGATACTGCTTCAACTTACTTAAAAGAAATGAATAGAAGCTAAAAAATCACTCAAGATCTTGAGTGTCAATACATTTAAAAATCCTTTACTTACATCTTTCATGAACCCTTTACTGATCCTCAGGATTTTTGCCATAAGGATTGGATCAGTGGACAAATGAGGGCCCAGATGAAGCAACATGGAAAACACAAAGTCTGGAAGATCAGTGAATATTTTGCATTGTGGAGGCCCCCCTGGAACAGGTGCATAAGGTCGTCCTCTAGCTGCCTTGGAAGCATGTCTGAAGAAAGATCAAGTCTCTGTCAACAACTCTTAAAACCCAGCAAACTTAAGAAGCATTTTAAGATTCAAATCCTTAAGAAAAGTTGCAAGGAAACTTGATTGTTTGATTTTTATATATAGTCACATGGGCCCTCTGGCAATAAAGGATTAATTTCATGCATATTTTCAAAGTTTTCCCAAACATGCCTATGTCGCAAAGGGATGAAGGCAAAGTGCTCTCATGATTAAGAAAAAAATGCCCTCTGTCTCAGCTAATAAGAATTCTGTAACTTTGCCCTGCATGTAATAGACAGTCAAACACACAAGAGAGGAACCGTACTCTAAATAGCTTTTAACTCACCTTCGATACAGAGGTTCAATTGTTGTATGAATAAGCTTGCATAATCCCTTGGCTATGGGGGGATGGGACACAGCAGCAAACTGAGGTAATCTGTCCAGAATTGAACAAGCATTATTCCACGCACCTACCATCAACAGTGCTTCACACAAACCAAACTTCTGATTGTCTGGAACCTGGTGAATTTACAGATCTGGATAAATGACAATTAACCAATACAATATAAAAGATTGTTCTTTTATCTTCCTTAACAAGAGTAAAAAAACATACAATTGTAGGTTTATCATTTTCTTTATTTTCCTTGTTGCCTTCTTCATTATTTGCTGCAGCAATTTCCTGCAATAAAAAATACATAGCATCAAATGTACATGTGAGTATTGCAGATAGAAAACCTCTAAGTGTACAACATAAGAACAGGTCCCATGTCTGCAAACAACCCATTGTACTCCATCTATCATCTGGTACAGCATTCAATACACAGGCACACTGGAAATTCAAAATTGAGAAAGACTTACCGCTAAGACAGCCATGTTCATCTTCCTTGCTTCCTGTTTGGCTTCATCCATTCTTGTTGTGTTGCTGGTGACAATGTCTGCATCTGAAGGACTGAGCTGGAGAAAGAAAAATGAACTTCTAACATCTATTTACTTGCAAGAGCTCTACATAACTACTCCCTGAAAATACGAAGTAAAAGTAAAGTGATCCCCTATGAACCATGTCTGGTAGCTGTCAAATTAAAAAAAAAAAAGAATGGGACACTGTTGAACTAGCCCCTCCACTTCAATAAGCAGCACCCTTCAATCAGCTCTCCTCCAATACTTTAACTGAATGAGTAGACCTTATATCTGCCAAAAATTTAAAACACAAGCTCCCTCCACCCCTCTTTGCACTGGCATCTCCTTCCTCCCCGGAGTATTATTGCACTGGTCATGTGTAGTCTATTTTGTCCAACTTTGCACCTGTAGTCATGTGCCATAGGTGGTTCAGAGATTGACCACATTAAGTTTGCAAACACTAACATGAGTACCATCTTTGCAGCTATTTAACAGGCCAGTCAAATTTGGCCAAAATTGGGGAAAAGTGAGCACCTCACTTTCCCTTTTGTAGATGAAAAAGTGTTAAAAAAAAAAAAAAAAAGACACTTAAAATTAAGTCATACTTTTCTATTGTATGCTGTTGGGTTTTGTTTTTACTTACATAAAGATAAAGGTCATCCAAGTTGAGTAGACCATGCTTTATAAGCAGAGCTGTCAAATGGAAAAGTGACGGAGGGGTGGGCAAGTCAGGCTGCTCCTAAAACAAAAGAATGTCACAAAAACAATATTAGAGAGAAATTCCCATTTAATCCTAAAAGAGTCAATCTTAAAACTTCTTTTCTCTCAAAAATCCATACCTTATAAAACTGGAATTTAAAGCCTATGATGTGACAGAGGGCAGTGAATTCACATTTCTCCATGTATGATTTCAAAAGGGGAAGAAAGAAGTCTTCTATGTCAATGCGGCATTCAAACGAGTCCAGCAAGACATCAAGAGTTTTGTTTGGATCAAGATTGAACCGCCCTGAAAAAAAAAAATCATAATAATTAATCTTTTAACTCCCAAGATCTGATTATTAATTCTCCCATCTAGCTGTTACACATTTTCTTGTGAGTAAGTTACCAGAATTTGGTATTACATCATGATAACAACCTCTAACTGATAAGTTTGAGTCACCTCATTGTTTGTTGGATACTGTAGGGATATTATAGGGAGAAGTTACATGTAAATCACTTCTGGGAGTTAAAGGGTTAATTGATGTCATGGTCTCAATTCAAATTTTACAAAAAAGGCTACTAACAATATATGTTGACAGTGATGAATGCAGTCATGAAATACACAAGTTTTCATTAGCAACTATAATAAGTTAGGTGGAAGTATCTGGCTGAAGATGGTAGACTAGCCGCCTGTTTCAGACATCTTCCAGCTCTCAATGACAGTTCTGCACTTGTTTGGTATCTAACAGTTATCCTGACCTATTAGAGACTTGATGTTCTCCAGAACTCTCTCACTGGTGACATGTCCACTGATTTCTTGTCCCAGTTCTGTCACCAGTTTGGCATAGCCCTCACTCTCCTCCCTCACAAGATTAAATTTCTGCTGCTTATAGCTAAGGAAATGAAAATAACAACAACAGAAGTAAAGAAATCTGCATGAAAAATACCAAACCACCAGAGTACACTGACACCTTTTAGGCCTAAAAAGAATCAGTGGGCATCTACCAGATATCCACTTAATTGCCAGCCTCAGTTCAGATACAACATATACTTAAAAAGAACCAATAATGGTCAACTAGAAAACACTCAGCAGGGTTGTTCTCTAGCAATTAGCAATTTACAAAGTAAACATAACATTTTGCTACTCAGTGAAACCTGTAATGCACACACACCACATGACTCACACTACTGTTGGCTTTTATCAGCCTGTCTGACAGATGCAAGTTTAGAAAGCTGCTAAACAGTGAGTGATTGCTGAGACATAAATCGAGTAAAGGGGAGAGCACAGCCATGTTTCAAATATCATTCATTAAGACAAATAAAAAGTAAAGCTTATGGATACTTAAGCTTGTTGGATTATGCTTGTCAATTGAAAACTACTGGTATGTTATCTTAAAAACTAACTGCTTAACCATGAAAATCAAACATTTTATAAGGATGAGAAGTTGACCTTTCAGCATATACTTACAATAGTTTAGTCTTGGTCCTGACATATTTCTGATTAAAAGCCTTTGTTGACTGTATGATTCCTAGTGAGTCCAATGTCTCCACTTCGAGCCTCTCCTTAAGCAGAACTTCTGGAACCAATCCCTACAGACAGTGATGTAGATTAAAAAAAGAAAACATCTAGATGTGTTCAAATAACATTCACTATATCTACATATGTTTTATTCTTTGGTATCATTGGAATGATCGAGAATATTTTGAATTGTTCCCAAGGAAAAAGAGGTCTTCCACTATTTGAGAGTTTCTTGGTTTCTTTGTAACAATGTAGTAATTTATCACAACAAAAAATCAGAGGATTTGGTTTTATCAACTGAGTTGACAATGTAGATTAGCCACCATAAAGAGTTTCTAAAGCTTATGTTTCAAGTGTTAGCCCTCATCAGAGCTGACTAAAGGCTAATGCTCAAGACTTCAGCTTTGAAACTCTTTAAAATAGCTAATTTACATTATCAATAATGATTATCAATAATTGTGTTCTACTACCCCACCAATGATGCACCACTGTCAGTTCCTTTAGAACCTTACCCCCTTTATTAAAAAAATTAAATTGTATTTAAGTCTTTACTTGAAATCACTGTGCTAGTGCAATCTCAATTTCTTGATGTACTGAGGGAAGCCCCCAAATTTGTCCCCTTGGATGGCCTTATATATAAGCAGCAATTTTGCTGGACATAGACCAAGAATTTCTCTACTTGCTGGCTCTAATTGACACTCCTGTTACTAGTGCAAATAATTTCTTGAAAAACGAAAATAATTTCTTTGAGCAACATCACTGCCTTTTGGCTTCTTAACATACCACGCAAGCTCCGACCAGAGACAAGAACCTCTCCCTGCTGGGCTTGTCCTCTGTGCACTGACTCTCCACATCTATAGGATTGTGAATACACCAGGAACCATAGGATACATACAATCATGAAAACCTGTGCTCCTGACAACACTGCAGTCAGCACATGACATTGGACAGAATAATTAAACAAATTTTAACGTAAAGCAACAGCAATTAATTGGATAGAGCTTGAGTACCCAAGATACATATCAGGTCAGCTAGCAGTGATGAACATCCTGGATGGACTTCCTGAAAAATAAAACCAAAATATAAATAAAAACAATAGCCAAGGCAAAACCTTGATTATGCCAGAGCTGTTATTTAAAGCATTAACCTCAAGATCTGATCATTAGTTCTCCCCTATTGTTGCTGTGCATTTCCTTGTAGATTAGTATGGAGAATTGACATTTGATTGAGTAACAACTTCTATTTGATAAGGTTGGGTATTCTTATTACCTGTTTGCTGGATAAAGTATTGATATTTTAGGAGAAATTACATGTTAATCAGTTCTTGGAGTTAGAGGGTTAAACGTAAATCAAAGGATTACCAGGCTCCTTTGTGCTCTAGTGAAGGGCTAATGCATGAAAAATGTCTGCTTTCAAAATTCTCAGACACCACTTAATCCATCAACCCCTGTGAGCGACTAGCATCTAATATATCCAAATAGACTACCTGCTTAATCAAACATTAAGGTCGCAAGAATGAAAGAAACAATTGCCAACTAATGGAACTCTTGGCTTTTAACTAAATTCTCCCTGTCGATGCCATAAGAAATTTACGGAGAATATTCACCCTGAAGTTAAAGCGAAAAGGGTAAATATCTCTGTCATAAACAAAGTGTTTCACCTGCCCCTGACACAAAACAAAAAAGTACAGTTTCCTGGGAAACTAATCAATCTAAGGAGATACAAAGATGCGCAGATATTTTGTTTTGAACGGAACTAACATAACCAGAACTTAATTAGAAAAGCGCGATCGGAAAATTATGAAAACACAAGTTGTAGACCTCCAAAAGTCTTATGAACCAAAGCTGGACGTTTAATCGAAATACGCTAGAGCATAAATTCAACTCAGAATTGGAAGTAACAAATCGAACGAATAATCAAAGAATAAATGTGATCCTCACCGTGACATCTGACAGGAGCGGTATAGCATCTTCCTGTCTTAGATCCCCTTGAATAACATGGTTAAATACTTCATAGATCACGCGTTTAAGATCTAAAGTAAAAATGACAACCAATTTAGAAATCATCACAAGAATTTAAATATAATTGATTAGTTCACCTACGTACCATTCTCTCCGCATTGAAAGTTTAGTTCCAGAAGCTCTCCATCTTTGCCTCGCACGCAGTTCTTGCACAAACGAAACCTGCAAAAAAATATTAAAGATTCAAACAGACTGAATATAAAATGGCATTTCAAAGGGAATGAACAGACTTACACTTCATCTTTCCCCGATTTTTCCCAATTCTTTACTAAATTGGATGGGACAACGATAGCCGCCATTTTTCCTCCACATGGCGCAAGTATCCCGGATGCATACAACCGCAGTATGATTGCCGGCTCAGTATGAATCAGCACACTTCAACTACTTGCTTCCTACATGTATGCCTGGAGCAAGAGAGTTTATGCAGTCCTCGACTTGCCATAAGAAATTCTTTAGTTTTTTAATATGGAGATCTTACTGCCAGCATGTCGCATCTGGTATTCAAGGATACAACACGAGCTTCAATCCAACCAGAAGAGCTTTAGATAGAGCAGACAATGAATTTGAACTGATCGGACTCAAAGCCTCTTTCCATGGGTCGGCCCTCAAATTGGAAGACGCTCCAAAACTTAAATTACCTGAGGTGATGTCTCGCGTAACGTTCCATGTACACTCGATCAGATCTTCTTATTTATTTAGGCCACCAACCAATCATATTGCTACTAACACCTTGCAACAGCTGTTCATTAAAGAAAAAATTATAAGTAAATATCTTAGTCTGTAATCTTGGAAAGCGGGGAATTGAGTCTTTTCTTTGTGGCTAGGGTTGAGGAGGGAGGGGGGGGGGGCAGGGGAAGAAGATGAAATCGATGATTGCCAATCCATTCCAAATCTTAGTAGGAAATAGTGGAACCATTTTGTTGAAATAATCTAACTTATTTTACAACTAGTATATAAATAACTCTTGTTTTATTTCATGTGCCAACAGGTTGCTTTTATTGGAAGAACAAGTGTTGGTAAATCATCTCTTATAAATGCAATCTTGAACAGGAAAAAGCTTGTGAAGACATCAAAGAAGCCAGTATGTCTTTTTAAACCTACCTATATATTAACTGTCTGTTTTCTGAGGGTGTAGGCATGAGTATTGATTCAGCATCTACAAAAGTAAGGGAACAATTCCACACCCTACCTTTAGTAGGTATTGCTAGCTGCTAATTAAAGAGGTCTAAATACTGTAATGCTTGTTGGCTTTTTCTGCAATGCTTACCTCCACTTCTGTTTCCCTACCAATTTTGGAAGGAGAATCCATGCCATGGTGTGCTTTAATAAGTCAATGTACAATGGGACAAGGAACCCAATGTTCTGCTTGTGTTTTTACTTCATTCCTGTCATTCATAGATCTTCCAACTATATCTAGAGAAAAAATACAGACTCAAAACAAATTATTTGAACAGCTGTTCATTGTTTTGAGCCAACTAATTTCAAGTGGCTGTTACACTTTGAGGAGATCTTTTTTTTGCTATTACTTCTGTTTTAAACTGTAAATCTCTCTATTTTCAGGGACACACAAGGCTTGTTAACTTTTTCAACATCAATTCAAAAATGTACCTAGTGGATCTTCCTGGCTATGGATATGTGGAGGGTCTTGGAAGCAAGCGAGGAACTGAACACTTTGTCAAAGTTGCAGAGACTTACCTGAGAGAACGAGCTGGAAAAGAGTAAGTTAAATGAGATCATTAGCATGTAATATCAACTGTTGAGAATCAATGGTTCTTGGGGTGTACTGCTCTTGACCTCTGTAAACTTTGTAAGAGCAATGTGTGTTTAACAACTCATCAAAAGCGGGTGAAAAAGGAACATTCAGATTTTATTAACCATTTAAACCCTTAGAGTGACCAGCATCTAGTTTCTCCCTACAATAGTACTACTGAATCATTCATTTAAGATCATGAGAATAAAGAAAATGATCACCAACTATAGGAGCTCTTGATTGTTAAACAAATTCTCCTCGACAACACCTTAGGAAATGTATAGAGAACAGTATGGAGAATATGCATACTGATGTTAGGGTGTAAAGGGTTGAGATAATTCAAACAATGATTTGTTTCCAATTTCAAAGCTTGATATTAGTCTATCTTCTAAGGTGGACTCTCTGTTGAGCTTGGTCATTGCTTTCTAATTGTATAAATGTCCAGGTTAAAATTGTCCTGTGCAGATAGCTATTAGTCTATCTGCGTAGCTAGAAATTAGTCTATCTTTTAAGGTGGACTCTCTGTTGGGCTTGGTCATTGCTTTCTGATTGTATAAATGTCCAGGTTAAAATTGTCCTGTGCAGATAGCTATTAGTCTATCTGCGTAGCTAGATATTAGTCTATCTTTTAAGGTGGACTCTCTGTTGAGCTTGGTCATTGCTTTCTAATTGTGTAAATGTCCAGGTTAAAATTGTCCTGTGCAGAGATAGAATAGGAAAAAAGTTTAATTTTGAGTATAACAATGATTTTAAACATCTGTTACTGACAGAAAAAAACAGGTTTTCTTGTAGGGATTTGATCTTCTGGCTTCCTGGATGATTTTGTGGTCAATGCATAGATACACAGAACAACTTACCCCTTTAGGTCCCATAAGTGATGGACATTTTACTTCTCCCTATAATATCCATAGATTATCAAGCACACAGGTAATGAGAATACTCAAACCTATCAGATGAAAGTTATGTTGATCCAACACCATATTGTAATAACTAATTTATTGGGAAATGTGTTGCAGCTAGAGGGGAGAATTAACAATCAGATCTTGGGAGTTAAAGGGTTAAACTTTAAGATATAGGTGAAATAAATCCAGCCCTCTGGTAAATTGCAATTTTATTTTCAGGTTAAGAAGCGTTTGTCTTCTGATTGATGGGAAAGTTGGGGTGAAAAAAAGTGATCTCATAGCATTTGAAATGATGGGAGAGTTTGGTGGTCCTTTTCAAGTAAGTTAGCTCACTGCTGTTTATGTAATAGATTCAACAATGGACCAAAGATTATTTTGATTGACAGCCAAACATTTAAAGAATAAGGGCATGGCCAATGATATTTACAGTTGTGGGAAATGGTAGTTTGTTTTATATAGTGTGTCATATTTTTAGATTTTCATAGCTCTTGTAACATTGTTGTTTAGGTGATTTTGACAAAAATGGACAAGCTTCCCAAGCCAAGACACCAGGCAGTGATTGAAGAAGTCTACAAAATCAAAGAAAAGTTTTCACTAGACAATTGCTTTCCTCATGTATTTGCTGTAAGGTGAGATGACATATGAAAAAAGACAATTACTGCAGTGGTAAGATGTTGGAAGGTTGTGCTGTTGCCTTTAGAGTTTAAGTAGGAGTCATCAGTAGATGAGCTACAAGAGGCAAATCTGCTTTTTATTTTTTTGGTTCTGCTGTCTTCATTTTCATGAAACTCATGCAACAGAACAGTAATGAAAACAAATGATTATGTCATAGGCAAGTAGGTTGACTTGGTTTACCACTCTCTTATGAAAGTCTGTTTGTGGGATTAAAGTGTTTTTGCAGAAAAAAAGTTTTTTTTAATAGAGTGGAAATCTTTTTGCAGACAATCTAGATTTCTGAGACCAGAGCCATCGAGCATCCACCACCTCTTTTGAGAGCTCATTTTTACAAGTAGGCAACCAGTCATTTGCAGACACAACTCCATAGATCGGGGGAGTGAATTAACCCTTCAAATCCTAAGAGTAACCAGCATCTACTTTCTCCTTACAGTGACACAGCTGAATTGTTTATTTTGATCATGAGAATAAAGGAAATGATCTGCAACCTAAGAAGCTTGGCTTGCGACATGAATTATCCTTCGCAATTAAAGGAAATTTAAGAGAGGAGTATGGAGAATTTAGATACTGAAGTTAAGGTGTAGAAGGTTAACAACTTCCAATTTATTTTTCAGTTCTACAGAAATGACAGGATTATCAGAATTGAGATATTTCATCAGTCTAAATGTGGGCTTAAAAAATAGCGAAAATTGGTGAACAAAACCAAGCAAACGAATGGAGGACTATCAGATGTACCTGTCAGAGGAGCAATCTTCTATTCATGAAGTTATTGTATCGAAGAAGTGCGTCATCCATAGAGACATAATAAAATAGGGCTTAATGAGGATTAAAGCAGAGCCACCACATGCTCTTGGGTTACAATGAGGAAAAGTAAAAGGAAGCAGCGCATTGAAATATTTGTACGCCAGTGGATGAATAATTTAGGGATGAACAAAAGGAATAATCTTAAAAGGGGTAATAATCTTAAAAGGGGTATCCCGTTTAGTGTAGCTTGCAGAACATGTGCCATTTTTTTTTTTTTTTTTTTTTTTTTTCAGGTGGAAGCGAGTGCGAGCCGGGTGTCTCGCTTCCCGCACACACCTCTCACTGGCCCTGTCTCGTCTGAAAAACGCAAAAACACGGCCCCTGTCCAGGAGGGTAACCAAAATGGGCTTACAAAAAGTCAAAGGTTTTGTGCACCAAAAATTTGTTCATAATTTCATCATAAAAAAAAAAACAAGAAAAGCACTACGCGACTAGTTCTCGTCAAAGCCTCGAAAATAATATCAATGAGAATAATCAAGGCTCGTTAAACACATTCCATACAAAACATACTTTAATCAGCATTCGTTAACGATGGTGCTCATTTTCAACTAATATAACTTTGTTGTTGTATTTTGCGAGTGGAAGTCATTTTAATAATACCAGATTAAGATCGTATAAAAACGAACCCAGGTTGGTCCCCAGGTTAATGTCCTTCGTCGATTAAAAAAAACAAAAATAAAGAACAATTACAGATACTAAAGGACTATGACCAATGAAAACGTTGAGAATTAGTAACACGAGAGAGATATAACGTAATAATGAAAACGTATGGGAAAAGAGCTTTAAAACCCTTGAGAATCGTTATTGAAGTTTTCAATAGATAAATACTGTCCTTATTTCGTCTTCACAGAAAACTCAATAAAGTTATTAAAAAAAACTCTGAACTCGTCTAAAAGCATCTTCTGCATGTAACATGTCTTTCTGAGTCAAACCTCTTTCTCTCAAACAATCAACTAAAAACACGCTACTGCTATATACACCTTCCACTCACACTTGGCTTGATAATTTCAAGCCTTATTTCAATAAATAAATAAAATGTTCCCTAAAAAATAACGTCTTCTCTCTCTCTATCAAACGTACTCTTCGTCCTTGTTCTTTGCAACATTCGTAGAATCTTTCAGTTGTGCAATGTCTTTATACACTCCTCGAAGATTGTGATACCTCAATCCCCAGTTCAACACATCGTCCCAGTTGAATAAGTCTTTCTTGCCATTCGTTGGTTTATTATTTAAAGCGTTTGGTAAAATTTCATCATCACTCAGATTTAAAGTACTTAACGATCCTCGGTTTGACGCTCGTCCCTCGTTCGGCTTTCTCCTCGGAGTACTCTCGTTCTCCTTCGCATCTCCATTGACCAGCTTAGAGAATATCATACTACCGCGTTCATTCTCATCTCGGCTAGGTTCATCGTTGTCGTATTCAAACTCGCTACACGTAAAAGTATCATCGGAACTCTCACTTGAAGTGTCGGGAACTTCGAGAACGCTCGACAACTTATCGATTGTCGGGGCGTCTTCGTCACTAACTGAGGACACTGCATCAAGTAAGCTTCCCGATGGTGCTTGCTTTCGAAGTCTCTCGATCTCTACTGCTGATAATCCCCGTGGCTCTTGGCGGTTCAACGAATGGTCTTTGAAAGTATTAGGATCATATTGGTAAGACACTTCACTATAGCCGAGGCTCGCTACTTCAATATCGTAGTGTTCAAGTCTTTCAGAGTTGTTATCGTCCGACCTGTGACCGGCATCGGAGAGGTCCGCAGGTTCGTCGCTGCTCGAAGAACCCAGCGAACCTTTCCGAAAGCGTCTCGAAGATTTCGTTGGCTGTGTGGTTGGCACGCGCAATCTCGGATCCAGGATACTTCTGGATAGCGGTTGCCGCTTGTCCGTGCCATGCCTAAAGTGAGGGTTCGGAATTTTCCGCTCGCGATTCCTTGATCGAATATTTGTCGGTGCTGACCGTAAGTGCTCCTTTTCCAATGGCGTACTTCGATGATTAGGGGTTCGTGACAGCCTTGAGATATCTCCTAGATCAGCAGGCACCTCCTTCAAGGCCACGTCATTGCGCATGATAAATTCCCCGTCGGATTCAGAAAATCCTGGGTCGATTTTCTCCTGGGATCTCGTAAGTTTGATCTGATAATCCTCAGGGGCTCCGACGTTATGTATCACAATGTCCTTGCCATTCTGAAGGGTAGCCGGTCGCAAATCGGTCAACGACTTCTGACTCGGATTACGAATGACTACACCGCTGTCATCGCTGCTGTGCGAGGGAGATGTTCTCTGGGAAGCATCCTGCACATCTGCAGCCACTTCAGCCCCGGTGACAGCCGCGTCAAAACCCTCTGCTGCCGTCTTGTCGTTAGCCTTTTGTCGCCGTCGATACCGACGAGCGAAAATCACTGCTACAATGATAAGTATTACCAACACTGCAAAAAAAGCTATAGCTGCGATAACTCCAGTGCTTAGCGACTTGTCATCACCATCTCCGCCTCTTTCACCTGGGGTTGCAGTGCAAGCTCCGATCTCTCCGTTGCACATACAAGTGTAGTTACCGTCCTTCTGCGGCTGGCAGGTCCCATTCCCCCCGCACGGATTCGGTTTACACTGCTCGTCGCTGATACAGGTTGCTAGTTCCCATTCTTCGAAGCAGTAAGGTTTACTGGGGTCTGTGCAGATGACAGAGGAGCAGAAACCGCCGCCATTGCACCCCTCGCCAACTGAACCGCCTTGAGAAGAAATTGCAGCGAACTTGTTGGGTCCCGAGAACGACACGTGTAAACCGTCGATGTTTAGATCTTCCATGCAACCGGAGAAATTTGCCAAGTTCAAGCCCGACATAGACGAATCGTAACCACCAAGGAACCAGATTCTTATGTTCTTACCAAGAAAATCGTGTGCTGAACTTTCGAATGACTTTGGATGAATATTACCGTCTAGCGTGACCGTCACGCTCTTATCAACATGAAGGACAGTAACATTATGCCATTCGCCATCAGAAACAGTGGAAGATTTGACTTCAAAGCTTGCGATGTTACCCCCATTTCCGAAGCTGTACTTGAGATTTCCAGATTTAATCTTCAAGAAAGTAACAAAAAAACATCGGCGTAAATAAGGGCTGAGTGTTTTCAAGCAAGAAGTAAACAAAGCAATGCTGTACTTTGCTAAAAAAAATTACTGCAGGGACGCCGCCATTTATAAAAAAAAAACGTAGTACCGTGGAAGAACTCGCAAACCTATAACTCACGATCTTCAAACTGCTGCCTTTCATGTAAAAACACGACCAGAAGCTATGCGAAACAGTGGGAACGCAGTCAATTGCCAGCATGGGAGGATACCGGAAAAGTGATTTCAAACGAGCTCTTTAAAAAGGAAACTTATTATTAGTTAAAAAACTGATTAGTAACTCTACAGAGGTACGAAAGAACTTCATTGCGAACTACGGACGAAGAAATTTAAACGGCAACAAGCGCATAACAGTGTATGGCATAGGTGTAGGTGGCTTTTATGCTAATTGGAGTTAGGTACGTTGTTAGAAAGTTCTCATTCAATGGGGAAAAATAAAAAAATGTTCAATCAAAGTCATTGCCGATAGAAAATTAGCTTACCTCCAACACAGTGTAGCCAGAGGACACAGTCGTGGTTGAATCACTGGCGAGAAGGAGAAGGCTGTTCATGTTCCGAGTGCGGAATCTGAATGAAAACTGTTCCTGGTTGGAGGACACTGTTCTTCTTCTCCGAGAGGAGATTCCTTCTTTTTCTTTTCGCTGCTGCTCGCGACGGTAACTGTCCTTAAACTGCAGCACTAGGAAGCTATCCGAGCTAAATTTCACTGGTTGTACCACTGTAATAAAGAAGAAAAACAAACGATTGAAATCGATCACGAATAATCGCCAGGATGAACTGGGTTTCCAATAAATGTAAGGAAAGCCGCTACCATACAATGAGGCTTAGCCCTAGAGAGGCACTGAAAATGGTAGCGTAGGAGACGAAAACTAAGAAAATACTAACCACTCAAAAATTCACATTTTTTTGTGTTTTCGTTACTTGCGTAATAAGAGATTCTTTTCCAGAACAATCACACCAACCTTTTTCGCAGTTCCTTCCACTAAATCCTTTCGGACATTCACACACGTACTCAAACCAATAATCAACACACGTCCCCCCATTCTCGCATGGGTTTGCAGCACACTGGTCTAACCGTGGACAGCTGTCAATGGTGCCACCGGACTCCGTGGCAGCACTTGGCTCCAGTTTCTTGCCGTTGATGAACACATTCCGCACACAGCCAAGAAAATCATCAGTCTGAATGTGTTTGCCCGGGTGATCCAGGGACTGATCGAAGTCCTTTATACCACCAAGAAACAACGGCGAGTTGTTCAAGTCTAGTTTCCTTCGAGGCAAAAAGATCACTAGTTAAAATCCGATAAAAATGTCTGCAATTAAGCCAAATGACCTTCCAACCGCAGTTTATCCTGGTTTCTGTAACAAGGAGCAACTAAGAATATTAATGCTCCCCCTGGATGCCACTCCACCGCAGGTTACCCCCACCCCTCCCCCTGTATTTTGTCAGGCTGCTCTAACATTTTGCTGGTACCCAGTTACACTCCTGCGCGGAGGGAGGCACTGTAATAGTTAACTGTTTTCCCAAATAACAAAACACCATGACCAAGCCAGATCTCGAACCTTGAACTCTCGACTCGAAGTCCATACCGCTGACCGACAGGCCATTGCGTTTATGACGAGCATTCGCTAAGCTTGTGGCCAAATATATTCTCAGAGATTAACTTAAATCTTCAATAAGCACCGCATGCTCGTACAATCTCTTTCTAAGAAATGTTTCCTTTAGAAATACTTACTCTAGTTGTCCATCGGAAACCACGGACACTGTGCGGGACGAATCAACAGTGACTTTACCTTCCTAGATGGGTTTAAACAAATGTCGGTTTAAACATGTTAACTACAACGCAAACACACAAGAAGAATGAGCGCGCGAGGAGTGTTTCCTTGTCTCCTGTAGAATCACGAATTTCTCGCGCTTCTTAAAAAGAGTTCTTTTATAATTATCATACTGACACCATCAGGTGATCTGCGTATAGATTTTTCTCTGAATGGTAAAATTCGTTTCGCACACAATGTTGGAAATGAAAAAGGCAAACTGTGGTAGTTCGCAGGTCCAACACTAAAACATAATTTCTCTTGACTGATCGCCACATATTGACAATAAATTAGTGCTGAGACTTTGTCATCTCATCAGCCATACGTCTTGGGGTCTTAGTTGATTATTTGGGTTATTCTCAGCACATGTCTTCGGTTCAATGTACTGGTATAGTGAGGAGAAAGTATATTTTGAGCACTCAAGCAACCGGCACATACCTTCCTGTTTCTTATAATTGTAACTGTGTGCCATTGTCCGTCGTCCACAGACTGACCAGCTTCCACCACAACTGCGCTCCTGGAATACCCGAGATTAAACGACATCTGTATCTTACCACGGAGGATCTGTATGGCGATGAAATCGGAATCCAAGCTGTACTTTCCGTCCGAGTTGTAGAGTAACAGCCCTTCGCTCTTGGAGGTAGAAAACTCAATAGTGATGTTATTAAACTTTCCTTGCTGTTGGCTGCTAAGGGTTGGCAGTTTTAAATACGACACAGATTGAAAGCCAATACAGGGGCACCGACAAGCCTTCCCAGAGGCGCACGTGCACTTAGGCGGGGACCAACTTGAAGGCGAGGACACTCGACAGAAATCGTACCCAGACGAACAGTTCTTTCCCAAGTAACCAGGCTTACAATGGCACTGGTAACTTCCAGCCAGGTTTTCGCAGTGTCCGTTGTTCTTGCACGGCTTATTGGCACACTCATTGATGTCACTGGCGCAAGTGGGTCCATTAAATCCAGCTGGACACAAACATTCGAACGAGTGGTCCCTATCCAAGCAGGTAGCTCCATTCTTGCATGGTTTGGAGCTGCAGCCTTTCACGCTGATCTCACACCTCTCTCCTTTGTAACCCGGTTTGCACACGCAGGTAAAGCGCCAGTCATAATCCACAGACAAGAACACCACAGGCACTGAGGTCAATGTGCTCGTTGTTCCTCGAGTTTGAATGTAACTTGTGCACTCGCCGCCATTTTGGCATGGACTGTGAGCAGTGCAGGGAGTGTAGTCGACCTGTTGGATTTGTACTTTACCATTTCTCTCTATATCCGGTTTGTTTTGGCTTAGCAGGTCAGAGAGAGTCTCTCGTACCATGTACAGACCGCCATGTGCTTTTTTCACAGCAATCGACAAATCGACAAAATCACCTGCAATTGACTTCACACTGAATAGCTGAGAGACATGGCCTGCTGGAAGAATGCGGTTGATGGCATCTATGAACTTCTGATAGGATTGTGCAAGGAAAGTTTCTGGAGATGAATTCATCACTCGCACCGTTACACTGTTGTTGATGGTTAACGAGTTGTAGGCGACAAAACGCACTTTAACATTGTATTCAACAGCAGATCTTCCATCAGATCCGTTCACCATTATGTCCAGTTCAGCACTTCCGTCGTATCTCTTGTTTGTACTCAGTATACAGCTTCCCGGAGTGAATCTAAACAATCCTTCGCCATCCCGGATGATCTTGCAGGTCAGTTTGTCGTCAACATCCGGGTCATTAGGTGGGACGTTAGCTACTAGCCCCGATGCAAAGCTGTTAAAGCTATTCACATGCACCACACGTGAGGTTGCTTGGGGTGGATTGTCATTCACATCCTGGACAAGCATCTGACAGTGTGACACAGCCTGGAGCTTCGGAGAGCCACTGTCCGTGATCCTGATCGACAAATTGTAGGAAGAAATCTTTTCGCGGTCCAGCTCAGCTGTGGTTGTGATCTCACCACTACTACTGCTCACTTGGAACTTTCCATAGTCAGCACCATTGATAGCAAAAGCGTATGGTCCTCGATTTGGAGCAATATCTCGATCGTGAGCCTGCAGTGTCACCACTGTGGTACCAGCGAGTTGGTTTTCCTTGATCATACCCGTGCAGTTTGAAAATAAGCGTGGCGCATTATCGTTGATGTCATCAACCTTGACATTGACAGTAGCGTTGCCTGACATGGGCGGCCGCCCTTGGTCTGTAGCACTTACAGTCAAACGGTAGTGAGCAATAGTTTCTCTGTCTAACTTCCTTGCTGTTGTTATCGCACCAGTGGTTTTATCGATTTCAAAAGCATTTCCAGTATTACCAGCCACAATTCCATATGTTATCCCTGTTGGCTGCTTGGTTATATCATCGTCTACAGCAGTGACACTGGTAACAAGTTGACCGGCAGTTTGTTCTTCCCTCAATCCGGCGTTATACACAATTTGCAGAAACCGGGGAGCATCATTAGCGTCCGTGACAGTTACGACTACAGTTGACAGATCGCTGGTATTAGGTGTCACACTCGTTTGTAACGCGTTCTTGACGAGAATACGAAGGGTGACGACACCAGCTTTCTCATTGTCCAAGCCTCCTGAGACACTTAAAACCCCGGTTGATCTGTCGAGCTTGAATCCCTGGTCTTTACTTTCACCGACCAGTAGAAACACAATTTCACCATCGGGTCCTTTGTCCAGGTCAGTGGCGTATATCTGTGTCACAGACTGCCCAACCGGTGCGTTCTCGGCCACAGAAGCCGTAAACAATGACTTGTTAAACTTGGGTGTGAATTCATTAACACTAGTGACGTGAATGAAAACTTTGGCCATTGGTTGTGAGATTAATGATGGTGTACCCCGATCTTTGGCCATAATGGTCAACTCGTAAAGCCGTTGCACTTCATAGTCGAAGATAACCTTGCTCTTTATTTCCCCGCTTCCTGAATTTATTTCAAACGAGCCCAGTAATGCGGTGTTGAAGATGCTGTACTCAACCTGTCCGCTGTCACCAGTATCAGGATCTCGTGCCGTAACAGTAATTATCAGCTTCCCAGGAGCTGTATTCTCGGGTATATATCCGTGGTATTCCTCAGGTGTGAAGACTGGTCGGTTATCATTTGCGTCTAAGATTGTTATTTGAACAGTGTGCTTGTCTGTGCGGGCAATTTTCCCTCCGTCAGAAGCCACAACCGAAAGTAAAAATGTTTTGTGAACTTCATAATCCAGCGTCTTTATCACATATATTGACCCATTCTTACGACCAATTCCAAAGAATCCCGGCGGATTACTGCTGTCGATGTGATAGGATACTTGACCATTCGTTCCGGTATCCTGGTCTTTGGCTTCAACTTTGACAACTTCATCCCCAACAGCCTTTGTTTCCGATATGGAAAGAACAGTCTGGCCAGGTGAAAACTTTGGAGCGAAGGCATTGACTTCGACAACTTCCACGTAGACGTTGGTAAAACTTTCCTGAACTGGCTTTCCTAAGTCTTGAGCTCTGACCCTTACGTGGTATAAACCTAGGACGTTTAACGTTCCACCCACGGTAACATTCCCACTATCTGCATCTATGTTGAATAATGATGTACCGTTTCCACTGACTGCCTCGTAACGTACACGCGCATTGGCACCGTCATCCCGATTATCGACCGCTTGCACCTGACCAACCGTCTCGCCGGCCGTTGAACGAACAACGGCGAATAACACATACGATGAAGACTCGAACACCGGAGCATGGTCATTGATATCGGTCACCTCGATCACAACATTAACTGTTTTCTCGTGGAATGGCGCATACGGATTCCATGCTTTCACTGTCAAATTATAGAAGTTATTATTTCCAGAAGCACTTGGCTTGTGGTATATTAGTTCTCTGTAGAGGCGAAGAACACCCGTCTGGCGGTCAATTGTGAATGCATCGCTTGCAGGTGACGGACGAATCGAGTACAAAATCTCAGCGTTGGTGCCTAAGTCGTCATCAGTTGCACTCACATTCAAAGCCGGTGCTCCAACTGCAAACTTTTCGGGGATTTGGTGTGTCACAGGATCTGAGATGAATCTTGGAGGGTTGTCATTTACATCTAAAACAGTCACAGTGAAGTTGGACATGGTTATGTGTTGTGAGTCACTCACTCTAACTTGTAGAGTGTAGTGGGCTTGTTTCTCCCGATCTAAATTCTTGCTCAGAGTCAATCTACCACTGTACGTATCAAGACCAAAAGTATTGCCTGGATTTCCACCGGCAGTGAATCTAAACTGCAAACGAGTGCTGACCTGAGTGGTGTCGGCATCGTGAGCCTTAAGCAGTGCCACCAAGCTTCCTACAGTGGTATTCTCGTAAACAGATGCAGTCAGAGGATCTTCAAAAACAGGAATGTTGTCATTAATATCTTGTACGTTAATTACCACAGCGGCTTCGCTTGCCAAGGATTTGTTTGCCACGTCTTCAGCGCGAACCATAAAAGTGTATGAAGAGATATTTTCACGATCGAGTTGGATTTTAGTGGAGACACGCCCGTTCTTGGCTGAAATTTTAAAAGCTGAACTAGCCTGCATGTTACCCGGGACCAATTTATATTCCACCTTAGCAAAAGCCAAGGAATCTGCATCAGAGGCCGATACCCACAGCACTGTTGTATTTATTGGAAGTTCCTCGCGAATGTCCGCTCGATAAATGTTCTCACTGAACACTGGGAGGTTGTCATTTTCGTCTGCGACATTTACGTGAATTTTCACAAAACCTGAAAGTGGTTGGCTGCCAGATGCCTTTGCACCGACGATCAAAGTGTAGTTTTTCCGTTCCTCGTAATCCAAAGGTGACTTGATGGTTACGTCTCCACCAAGTTTGCCAACTTCAAAAGCATTTCCAATGTTCCCTGCGGCGATAAAATACATGATGTGACCGGTGGCATTTACAGTTACCAATTCAGTGCCCACTGGTGCATGCTCAGAGACTGTTATCGTCTGGTCCAGGTGTTGAAATACTGGTATTGTTCCTGTCGCCACATCAATTTGGACTTTAGTAGACGCAGAGCGTTGGGGAGCGTTGACATTAGTAGCTTTTATACCAAAGGTATATGAAGAAGGACTTTGGGGAACGTTTTGAGCCACTGAGACAATACCTGTCTTGGGTGCGAGATTGAAGACCTGAGAAAAACCACTCGTTATCGTGTACTCTGTTTCCGCGTTAGGGCCTATATCTTGATCCGTAGCAGACACCATCATGATAAAAGTACCTGGAGGGGCTGCTGGTGCTACTGTAGCTGTGTACAGATTGGAATCAAATATTGGATCATTGTCGTTCTCATCTTCAACGGTAAGATGTAACCACGCTTTCCCTTCTCGACTTGCGATCCCTCCATCAGTGGCGAGCACTTCGAGCTCAAACTCTGGGTTAAGTTCACGATTGAGGCGAGCGGTGGGTTTGGTTGTTATTTCCCCAGTATCACGGTCAATCTCAAACCACTCAAAACTCTTGGACAGAGAGTATATAATTTTTCCGTTGATACCCGTATCAGCATCCGTTGCAGTCACTTGGAACACACTTGTACCTGCGGGAGCATTTTCTTTTACTGAAGCTCTCAGTTTGTCGGGACTAAACACGGGAGAATTGTCATTTTCGTCATCCACTTTTACGATGAGTTCAGCCTCTCCTACCAGGGAAGGAGACCCTCCATCTTTAGCCTGGACTCTCAGTTTATACTCTTCCTGCTCCTCTCTATCCAAAGAGACCCTGAGTCCTATTTGGCCAGTGTTGCTGTTGACAGTAAAGACACCACGTTCGTTACCTTGGACGATACTGTAAGTTACACTGCCGTCTCTGCCTTCGTCATCGTCCACTGCCCTTAAAATGATTACATTGCTTTGTAGCTGGTTTTCAGTAACATGTCTCGTGTAAGAAGGTTCAGAGAAGGTGGGCGTGTTGTCATTGACGTCGAGCAAGAAGATCGCCAAATCTCGGTCTGCAAACATGGACGGCACTCCTCGATCAGATGCTCGCACAACAACTGTGTAATTGGGTGTGGTCTCTCTGTCCAGGGACCGAATGGTGCGGAGGATCCCATTTCTGGGATTTATCTCAAAGCTTCCATCTCCACGTCCTGCCACGACACTGAACGTCACTTCTGCATTGCTTCCTTCGTCATCATCTGTGGCTGAAAAGCGGGCAACTTCACTTCCTATTGAAATGTTCTCATAAACTTGCACTTCAGGTGGACTAGGCTTAAAGACCGGTGCATGATCATTGTAGTCATCAACTATCACAGTCATCTCAAATTCTGCGCGCTTTGCTGGAACACCCATGTCAGTTGCAACCAATTTTATTACGTATTCCTCTTGAATTTCGCGATCCAACATTCCAGCGACTCGCAGCACACCATCACTCGAACCTATAGTAAAGGGAACCAGACCATTATTGGCGAGACTGAAGCTAACCTCGCTATTACTTCCAGCGTCCAGATCGACTACGAGAACAGTTGTGACAACATCACCCGTTGAAGCATGCTCAGACACATGACTGATATTACCGGATATAAAGTAAGGGATGTTGTCGTTGATATCACCAATATCCACCGTCACGGTAGCTGTGCTGGAAAGTTGTGCCGAAATTGGAACTGCTTTGTCTCTGGCCAGGATGGTGAGAAAGTAAGAGTTCTTCTTTTCACGGTCGAATTCTCTAAGGTTATAGATAGTGCCATTGGGATGAATAGAAAAGGTGCGGTCATCATTTCCTGACAGAATTGTGTATGTAAGAAGTGCATTGGAGCCAAAATCTTCATCAGTAGCTGTAACAGTCAAAATATTGCAGTGGATTCCAGTAGCTTCTGAGACACTCACAGAATACGAACTTGGATTAAATTGTGGAGCATTGTCATTTTTGTCCAGGATATTCACATAAACTTCAGTGTAAGCAAACAAAGATGGGTCACCTTGATCACTAGCTGAAATATTCAGGATATAGATTTCAACTTCTTCTCTGTCAAGCCATTTTGCAACCTTTAAATTGCCACTGATTGGGTCCACTGAGAACACATCCTTGTGGTTACCTGTTAAGCTGTATCTGATTCTCCCATTTGATCCACTGTCACGGTCTGAGGCGCTGACTGTCCCAAAGATTATGCCAACCGCCGTCCCTTCCTGAACATTAAATGAATAGAAAGGACGGGAAAACTGTGGTGCATAGTTGTTAGCAGGAAGGACTGTCACTACAACACTGCAGCTTGAGAACCGTTTAGGTGATCCACCATCTGTTGCATTCACAGTTAACCTGTACACAGCTTTGGAACTCTGGTTCAGTAGTCTAACGGCGGTTAGAACACCAGTTAAGCCATTTATCTGAAATACATTACCATCATTACCACTAACGATGGAATACGTAACCTTCGCATTTGAGCCAACATCTTCGTCGAGTGCAAAAACAGTAGTAACACTGACAGCCGGTGATGTGTATGCCTTTACACTTGATCTGTAAACATTTGACACAAATACAGGACTGTTGTCATTAGTATCATTCAGATAAATGTCAACTGTGACATTTCCAGTCTTAGGGTTTTGTCCCGTCAAATCAACTGCATATACAGTCAGCGAAAAAAGCGAGGTAGAAAAACTCTCACGATCAAGCTCGAAGGCAGTTGTGATTTCGCCATTGTCAGGATTTAAGAGAAATGAACCATTGCTGGAGTCAGAGGTGATGTAGTACTTGATCTGTGATCCAGGGGCAACTGCTTTGACTTTAGTCACAGATGTCCCATTGCTGGCATTTTCTAACACAGAGGTGCTATAGACTGCCTGGCTGAAGGCAAGGTTACTGTTTGGTCCTCCTTCCTTGAACACTGTTACTACAGCATCTGTGCTACGAGATGGTGATCCACCATCTGTTGCTGATACTGTAAGGTGGAAAACATTCTTTGAAGGTAACATAGATCTCATGGATAACTTTCCTGTGGTGACATTTACTTGGAAAATATTGTCGACATCTTGCGTGATTTTGTAGGTCACCAAACCATTTGTTCCAGCATCATTATCATAGGCTGACAGAGTTGCTATCACATCATTGGGAGCTTCATCACCCTTCACTACAACAGCTGGTGCAGTCACAAACCTGGGATTATTGTCATTCACATCCTCTACAACAACAGTGATCTCTTTCGTTGCAGAAAGCTGCATCGGAGCATTTGCATCATCTATTGCCCTGATTACAAGTTTGTAGAGGCTGGTGTGTTCACGGTCAAGTTCTCGTTTTGTGGTAATCACACAGGTGTACGGGTCTATCTCAAATGCCATTTCTTCCGTAGGTGTTTGGCTATCAATGCTGAATGTTATGCGGTCACGTTCCCCACTGTCCTCATCGGTTGCTGAGCACTGTCCAATCTGCTCCCCAGCATTGACATTTTCTTGAACTCTGATGGTATTTAGTTTATCAACAAACACAGGAGCTTCATTGTCATCAAGGACATTCACTGAAATTTTTGACATTGCAGACTGGGGTGGACTCCCACGATCAACTGCCGTAATGTTCAGGGTGTAACTCCTGGTTCTTTCAAAGTTCAGAGACTTAGTAAGAAACACCTCCCCTGTCAAGTGGTTGATATCAAAGACAGCCTCTAAATTCCCAGAAGCAATGGCGTAGGCAATCTCAGAGTTGACCCCTATATCTCTATCTGTTGCCTGAACAACGGCTATTTGAGAAGATACGGGCAAACTCTCAGAAACATTCACTGTGACAAACTCCTTCGTGAAGTTGGGCTTGTTGTCATTAGCATCACCAACAATAACTTCAAGATGCTTTTGAGAGAACAAGGAGGCATCTGCAATATCTGTGGCCTGCACAGTTAGACTGTAATGATCTATGTTTTCTCTGTCAAGTGAGCTGTTAAGGAATAGATTCCCACTAAGTGGGTCGATCCAAAACACTTCGGATTTGGGTTCATCCACAATAGAGAAATTAAACTTAGCATTATCTCCTTCGTCAGGGTCAGAAGCTATCACTCTGTAAACAACTCCTAATCCAGAAAACTCTTGGACTGTGATATAAGCCACTGAACGGCGAAACTCTGGAGGACTGTCATTCTGGTCCTTAACAGTCACAACCACTACTGCAGAATCTTGCTTGAGTGATGTGTCACTGTATTCTGCCTTTACCAGAAAAGTCAACACATTCTTTCCACTTTGAGCAACTAGTTCTTCACGATCAAACATTCCTCTTGTGAAGATTCGTCCTGTATCAGAGTCCACCACAAAATCATCATGAACCTCAACAAGAGAAAAAGTTATTTTCTTGGTTTTCAAAGAACCATCTTCGTGAAGAAGTAGGTGGCCAACAGTAGTTCCGGGAAGTTTGTTTTCAAGAATAAAAAATTCAAAAGTGTCATTAGCAAATATGGCTTGATACTGCATTGAGCTCTTCACATTGATAGTCACTGTAATGGAAGCTTTGAGAGGTGGAGTTCCCATGTCAGTTGCAGAAACAGAGATGGTAGATGTGCCATTTGCTCTGCTGAGCTCCTTATTTACGAAGAGTGCACCATGAGGAGAAATTCCAAACAGTTTTTCTTCATTGCCTGTTGAATCAATTGCATAAGTTAATGCTCCATTGACACCAGGATCTGGATCAACCGCAATAACAGGAAGAAAATGTTTTCCCACAGGCAAATCCCTGGGGATATCTGCCACAAGGGATGACAACAAAAATTGTGGGGGATGATAAGTGATAATCTTCACAGTTAACATGAAGGGAGAGCGAAGTGGAGGAGCTCCTTCATCAGATGCAAACCCTTGCACAACATAATCAGAATCATCAATGTTGGTTATCTTCTTAGACAGGGAGATCACCCCTGATGTTGCATTAACTTTGAAGAGTCCATTACCATCAGCAGTCAACTGATAACGAACCAATCCATTCAGACCAGCATCTTCATCAGTAGCAGATGCCACATAAATTTGTTTGTTCACTGACCAGTTAGCATCAATGGTCACTTGAGCACTAGGAGATTTGAATACTGGCTGGTTGTCGTTTCTGTCCAGAATGCTTATCTCCACAGATGTGGTTGCTGACAAGAGATAGGCTTTTGCAATCACACTTAAGACATAGTTTGCTTTCTTTTCTCTGTCCAAAAGTCCATTGACCATAATAACTCCACCAGAACCATCCACAGTGAAATGGTGTTGCGGATCACCAGAAATGATTTCATACTGAATGCTGCTGTTGTTGTTGTTTTTTGTCGTAGCAATAACTTTTCCAACATACGTCCCAGAAGGGACATTCTCATGCACTGAAAAATTGTAGATGCTGTGCTCAAATTTAAGAGGGTTATCAGATTGTACCTGCACAGTGATCTCAACAGTGGCTGAAGTTTTTGCATAAAGACCACCTAAGTCTTGAGCAGTGATGTTCAGCTTGTAAAAACCTTTGGTGAGAGGTGGTGATGATATAATCTCCCCTGTGGAGCTATTTATGGAGAAATTACCATTATCCCCAGCTGCAATGGCATAGATAATCTGTGCATTTGTTCCATCATCAGCATCTGTTGCCATCACCTGAGTGATAACTGTGGACTGTGCATTAGACAACACAGTTTCCACATAAGTAACAGGATAAAATACTGGATGATTATCATTATCATCATCAACATTCAAATGTATTAAAGTTGATGATGACAGTGGAGGATTTCCATGATCAGAAGCCTTCACCGGAATAGTATAGGAGCTTTTCATCTCCCGATCAAGTCTAACTTTGGTAGTAAGAACACCAGTGAGAGGATTAAGGCTGAAGGTATTCAGTACTTGTTGAGAAGCAGAATCAATTTTGTATGTCACATTCCCATTATCACCACTGTCATCATCTGTTGCATTTAATGTCATAATAACAGTTCCTGGCCTTAAATTCTCAGCTAGTTTTTCAAAGTAAGCACTCCTAGAAAAAGTTGGCTTGTTATCATTCACATCCTTAATTGTTACAGTTACCACTGTGCTGCTATTAAGAGGTGGTGATCCACTGTCCTTGGCAAGCACAGTCAGGGAAATCTGCTTGGAAACTTCTCTATCCAGAGGCGCAGCAGTGCTGATAAGACCTGAGAGTGAGTCAATTTGAAACCAATTCAAAGAATTACCGCTCAGAATCGAGTAAGAAATCTGACCATTAGAGCCTCCATCAGAATCTGAGGCTTGAACGGAGTAAACTGTACTTCCATTCTGTGCAATTTCACTAATTGATGCTTGGTAATTCAACTTGGGAAATGTTGGTACTCCATCATTCACATCAACAACAGACACCAGCACATGAGCAGATGCAGAAAGAACAGGTTTTCCTTTGTCTTTCGCAGTCACTGTGATATTGTAAGTTGCAAACTTTTCACGATCTAAAGAACCCTTGGTCTGTAGTTTGTACACGGAGCCTATGCGGGGTGCAGAAAAGACAAAGCTCAAAGCAAAACTACCATTTGTGTTTGAAAGAGACACCTCAAATTGGTCATTTGAAGGGTGAGGATTATCAAGATCTCGCACAACGACAGTTGCAATTTCTGTGCCATTTTTAGACGCCTCAGAAACTTGAGCATTCACATAATATATTTGTATTGTTGGTTCGTTTTCGTTGACATCCTGTATAAAGATATGTACTGTTGTCTTGTTTACATTCGCCTGTCCTTCTTCAGGTTTGTCTCTGGCGAAAACTTCGAAGATATATGACTTTTTAAGTTCGTAGTCGAGATGGTGGAGTGTCCTAATGACTCCAGAGGTGGCGTTTAATTTAAACATGCTTGCATCATTGTTCAGATTGTCTACATCGTTCACGAAATAATAAATTATTTCACCGTTTAAGCCCTGATCCAAGTCTGTTGCAGTCACAGATAAAATCTCTACGCCAGCTGGAGTGTTTTCATCCAAGGTAGCATTGTACAAGTTACTTGTAAACACAGGTTTGTTGTCATTTAAATCCAAAATTGTAATATTCAACAAACAATATGCATGCAGCGAAGGTCTTCCTCGATCGCTTGCAGAGATGTTCAACTCGTAAAAAGCTACATCCTCACGATCAAGTTTTCCTTGTGTGATTATACACAACAGGGAGTCATTGCATTCGGTATAATTCCTACCGAGTTTGAATTTCCCAGCTTCGTTGCCGGACACAATGGCATAGTCTATGATGGCATTTTGTCCAGCGTCCTTGTCAGTCGCTGATACTAACGAAGACTTGGTTCCAACCACAACATTTTCCCAAAAATTAACCAGATAAACTGAAGCAGAAAACTCTGGCGAATTGTCATTGATATCGCCAACATGTACAAGCACGTCGATAAGTGTTGCCGAGGACGACGAACGAACTTGCAAAGTAATCGGATTTTTGCTCAATGTCTCTCGATCGATCCGAGATGCTGTACTAATGGCACCGGTTTGAGAATTAAGCGTAAACCGCGATGGATTTCCTTCAAATGAATATGTTACTCCTGGTGAAGTATTAATGGTCCCAACAGGAGCTCCAGGCGCTAATTCTTCTTGAACTTGAAATACGTATTGTTGAGCTGAAGCAGAGTTGATTACTAGACAACAACACACAAACGTCCATAGTAGCGTTCGAATTCTGACTTTCGGTTTCCCGACTGTTTCTTTAACCATAATTTGCTGTATAAGACAATTCCGTGAGCCTTTTACTTGTCATGATAATGAAACTCGAAGAAGAGAGCCAAAGGTGAGAGCTCCCATCGCCTCAAAGTCTGGAGTCACTACAGTAGAATGATTATACAGAAACCGTTAGCGGACTTGCACTGCGTTACATTTCACGAAATACAAAAGCTTTGCCACAGTTGTTCGGCATTCGAGTCTGAACGCTTTAACAAAGTATCGGCTATTTCCAGCGATTTCACGGCATAGATTCAAACAACGATATCTTTGGCACTTCCTTTCGACTCAAAGAATGATAAAACTTGCGATTTAACCAAATATATTAGTAGCACGACTTATTTCCACTTCAACATTAGACAAAATTTATGAGAGTAGCAAAGTCACCGATGAGTAAGAAGCTGTCAATCATTACTGACGCGTAACAACCGAACAACACAAGTGGGAGGGCGCATGCTAAGGCACGTGACCAATAGATAAATTATCTAAATTCCTTACTTGTCACAAGTAAATAAACTTATTTCTAAGGAGGAAAATGTGGAATTCAAGCCTTGTTAACATTTTTATTGAGCTTCAACAAATAAATTTGCTTGTCAGCGAATTTCCCTACACGTAATTTCTCGTGAGCGCGCTTTTCCGGAACTAAATAGTAGGCATTATCTGTGCATAAATCGGTTGTGTTTTGTCCCAGGGGGCGGGTGAGAACCTGAGTGCCTATCAATTTATGTCTCGCGAATGAAAAACAGTAGGCGCAAACAACTCTATTGTCACAAAAATTGAAAGATTGGATTCCCGGTGTAATGTAAGACGTATTGTGCGCCATGACCTCTACCCTCTTGAGGCCAGCAAAGAAATAAAAACATTTACTTCGAACGAGATATTTAACGCACGATGTTTCAGTCTACACGGACCACCGACCATGTAGTAGATATTACCAATGACCTCGAGGCGATCTGTGCTCTGCATGCGCCAGCTCTGCGGACAGGCAAATATTTTTGTTCTAAAGCACTTATAAATCAAGCTCTGAAGCGAGTATTCGGAGGGTTTAGAACTTATCACTGTTAATAAAAACAATTATTTTCAAAGAAGGAAAAATAAGCAATGTAATTGGCTAGAAATACATGTCTGGCTGGTAAATCAGATTAATAACTGATTTTCTTCCTTCCAGTGGTTTTAACCTCGCTGCGGATAATGTGCCGTGTACTCATGAAAATGCTCAATCAATCTGCTTGCTTAGGGCCAATTAACTGACGGAAACTGCTTTACTGAAGGACTGCTCACGAAAGTCACGAATAGAAATTAAATGATTCTTGATGAAATATCATACGTTAGCGTGATCAGAGCCTGGAAAACTACTGTTCAATCTCCGTGGCCATCTTAAAGGCTCGTCTCGAAAACTAATCTAGTTAGAATAAACTTGGAAATTTGATAAATGCGTAACTTTCGCTCACATTATCGGCATAATCTTGTTTTTTCTTCAACTTGAGACAAAACTGACCTACTCAAGTTACGCTCGACCTATACCTTTTAAACAATTGACCCAAAACAAGGGGATTTTTTCGAAAAACTCTGCTGAATGAGTCCTTGGACATTTTTATTCAACACTAAAGGTAATACGCGCATACCACAAGTAACTATATAACTTTATGTATTGTTATATTGCTATAAGAATAATGTTTGAGTGGCAAGAGTTCACCTGACGTCAGAATTAAGATACAAATCGTATTAGTGGTTGTTTGAAAGATACCTTGCACAATCAGTTAAATACTGTTTTCTACAATTGGACTTTGGAGTTGCCCTTTTTAGGCTGGAAAATAAGCAGGACAATTGCCATTTAAAAGGAATGTTGAGAGATTGAAAATTCTTTCCTGTTAGCATCAAATTTTTTTAATTGTGAATTCCAAATTTTATCACTGGCTTTGAGGCAGTTTTGAATATGTGACAGAAATTAGTAAAACCGTGACGTTTCTTGTTGGCGTCAAATGTTTACTTGTCAATTTCAAATTTGATCACTGGCTTTAAGGCAGATTTAAGTATGAGATAGAAATCATAAAACGTCTATTTCTTATTGGCGTCAAATGTTTACCTGTGAATTCCAAATTTTGTCATTGGCTTTGAGACAGATTTGACCATGCAATAGAAATAAACAAAGCGTCTATTTCTAGCTTAATAATTGCTGTTCAAACATAAACTGTGAACGAATATAGATGGTTTCGTTCACGTTACAGTAATTCAGTTATTTTGTTTGCTCAAGAGCTTTGATTGTTCAATGACAGTGTTTGCTTGTCTTGATGCTTAAACCGACTCTTAAACGTTGATGGTTAAACTATCAAGTATGTATGTGTCTATTCTTCTTACTTTTAGGAACGATAAAACGAAAGAGAAAAACGGTGCAAACTGAGAATTACTTTGTTTCCTTGGATTTCCGATCCTAAAGCCCGCATCTTAAATGGTCTGAAAGCCAGAGGGAAGAAGAATACTGCAAAAATCCTCCTTCTCTCAAAAGTCGATGTTAAACTATTGAAGCGTTCGCATTGGAGCCACGTGCTGTCCACGTGAGAACCAAATGCATTTTGTCCAAATCCCATCTTTTTATCGTAAGACGATACTTTTAAGAAGCAATCCCGGATTACTACAAAATAAACGTGACCTCCTCAACTATGTGTCAAGATATTTTAAAAAAGCATCAACAAGGGACACGCATGAGTTATTAAATACTTTTTTTAAATGAAAACTTCACTAGCTTCGATCCCACTTTGGTTGAGCTTTCCGTCGTAAATCATACTTCTCTCAGTGAAAATGTGAAAAGTTTGGCTGCGCACGCGTAGTGGGCGGCGAAAGATCTCGGAATGCGCTAAGTAAGACTTTCCTTCGTCGCTGTTTTTCCCACTTTGAGAGTTATTTTGAGCTAAGTACCGCGAAGTCAGCTGAAATATTTCAAACTAAACGAACGACAGATTTCTCTGTGAGAAACTGAAAACTTTCGACGACTATAACTAACAAAACTGAGGAAATATTTTGCTTACCTTCAAGAGACAGATTATTTCTTAATAATGCGTGATTATTATCCAGTAACATGTAATATAATATTACGATACCTTTTTTTATCACGTGCGCTGAGTGCCTGAGGAAGTTTTTGGTTTTGAAAGTTCACGAAAACAAAACTGGATCGATGATGATTTTACTGTAGAGTCAGCGGCAAAATTGATGTCAAACACTTAAACATACCTGAGCTGAGCACAAACAAGCTGCAGTGACCTTGTATTTTCCTTAAAATGTCCCAAAACCTGATTTATAGCGAAAAAAAAACCGAAAATGACGCAAAATACATCAATAAGTCGTCTAGTAAACTCTCTGTGATTCACATAGAACGAATATGTAATCACGCAGTTGTGAATTCTCACGAATAAAACGGTGTCCGGGAGTTTACACGGCTGTCGCGTTTGCCATGTGAAGGTAGCCTAGATCTTGTAATAGAGAATGTCGACTGAGTAAGCTTGCATGACATGAGGACATATTGCTTCGTTAATCAGTTGCTTCATGTTGGTTCTGCGGTGAGTGAGTTCACGACGGTTGGGCGAATGCTGCTTTCGCTGATGACAACATGCCTCGAATTCTCAGACAATTTGGTTACAGATCGGAGTTCGACCACGCGATTGGACATAATTACCAAACTGATCAATCTTACTGACAATTAAAAATATGTACTTCTGTAATCTGAACAGCTACTGATAATAAGCAAAATTAACCTGAAATTTAATCACGGAGACATTCTGACAGAAGCTCTAATATTCCGCTTTACTAGACAGATCTTTTTTTTTTGGCGGTTAGGATTGTCAATAACAATGTTATTTTTTTGATGCAATACTTGTATATTGATTATAGCCAGGAGGCTACAACTGGGAAGACAGGATGTTTAGTTCAGAGGTTTTTCTTTTCTTTGTCAAAATTATTTTTTTTTATGAGGTTAAAGTTGTTCATACGAAAATCATACATCGACCGAGTTTGAGGCGTCGAGGATTTATTGTCACAAAGAAGTTTACGGAAACGAATCCTCTTGACTATTTATTTATAAAGTAATCATGGTGTCTACAGTTTAAATAAGATAGACAGTTGTATACATCCAATATAGTAAGCTGTTATGTAATATTAACGGTCTGTCGCCAGTATATTTGCCTTGAGATACTTCACTGCTTCTCGTTCATTTCCGAAATCTGTTAGTATCTCAATGATAAGTCAGAACAACTAACTGTTTGCTGCATAGGATGTGGATCTTTCAAGGCACCACTTTTCACTCTCGTTTATCCTGTCATCGGGAGACCTCAGCAAGAGGTATGTGAACAATTCGTCTTCCAGAAGACAAACAAAGGTCACATTTGGAATCCACGATAAATTTTTTGCGCCGAAATCTTTGTCTGTATATGGTTGTTGAATACAATATCCCAGTACGCTTCTTAGCAACGTAAAAATAGAGGCATAAAAAAGATTTTCTTCTTATCTCGCATACATTTCAATGGGAAATGCCCTCGGAATGAGATCCGCAAGCTCTCGCTTCAGTTACAGTCTTTCAGGAGCCAAAAAAAGAAAAAACACGGTCTCGTTTCAATTTATCGTGGTTAGTTGCTGATCGGACATGCGATAACTGTGATCTATCTATTTTAGTTTCCTAATCATCTGTTTGCAAGGTTTTTGCGGTTAACCTTGATTAACGAGATCCTGGAAAATCAACTTCTGTCCAAAAAACCCAAGGCAGAAGATTCAACTGAATAGAAGGTTACTGTTAAGAGATGCACACCGAACGGAGACGAACAAGCTACCGGAAATTATCAGCTTTAAAAGTCAAATTCTAAAACAGGGTGGACTAGAATTTCCAAACCTCAGTGGTACAGCGTTTTTGTGAAATGATCAGTGAAAATAGTAAAATACCTTGTAAGAGAAGACAGCTACGCTTCGTAGAAATCGCCGACCGGCAAACTTACTTGGACAATGTACTTCAA